CTTCTAATGACAATGTCTACTTAATGACTCATTTTTTCACTCCAAATGTCCCTCTAATGACGCCTTTAGTAAAATATATGTATACATATATATATATATATATATATATATATACAAATTATTTATTGGGCTTATTTTGCTTTCTAATGGATCCGTACAATATGGCACAGCTTTAGGGGCCTGGAAGAGCCCCTACCAGGGGTTCCAGGGCGGAGCCCCAGGATGCTCTCGAGTTTATTTGACTTTCAAGAGAAAGTGTCTCTAAGATAAAGAGAGGTTATTTCTTCAATGAAGTGAAAGGACTCATGAAAATAAAATAGCCCTTTCATTTCATTTTAGAAATAAACTCTAATCCATCCCTTGATATTTAAATTGCACTGCTCCTACTTCGTGCTTTGTTCACACTCTCCTTGATCTATAAAGGGTGCTTTCTCTATTTGATCATCAACAGAAGCAAAATGCTAGGCCACGAACTTTTCGAAGCGTGACCAGATTCAAAGTATGCTTAAATGGGGGCATTGATGTATGTAGAAAAAAAGGATTAAGATCCCATGTAACGCTTCGAAATGTAAAGAAGAATGAGAAAACTAAAGTTGAGATTCGACCGTTATGTCTAGACGTTGCTTAATGCATTTCGTATTGGTATTATCTCCCGTCTGACAGTGATTAGAGACGTTATTTATATGGATAATAAAGATAAAGCTGTCCGGGTCTTTGAATATAATGCTTCAAAACAAATCGAACAAGCTGTTTATTTCTTTATTCATGGTCTGTTTTTACTGTTTATCTTTTTTCCTTGCCAATCCTCGAAAACGAATGTATTATGCATTTCACAGAGGAAAGTTTGCATATTGATGAAACATATGGGCGCAGGCCAAGATTTAAACCCACTCAAGTGTGAATTTGGCGCATCTTCACTCATCTTCTTCAACTAGGAAATGGACTTCATTGTAGCCTTAGGACAGGATGGTGAAATAAAATTGATAAAAGAACATCATAATCAGATTATCCGACCCCGGAAACCCCATGAATTCATCAACTTTTATCATACTGGTCCTTTTCCTTTTGAAACTACGCTTGACCTTTAACTCGGATGGCGGCCATTTTTTATTTGGCCAATATGGCCAGCATGACAGCCCCATGGAGACCTGCAATATTGATACAAGCAACATCATAATCAGATTCTCTGACCCAGAAAACCCCCTTACTATATAATTTTTTTTTTTTTTATCATTTTAGCTCTTTTCCTTTTGGAACTACTATTGATCTGGAACTATCAAATGGCGGCCATTTTGGATTTGACCAATATTACCAGTATGACCCGAGGAGATCTCAAATCGATGAAAGAATATCATAATCAGATTCTCTGACCCCGAAAACCCCATAAATATATAAACTTTTATCATACTAGCCCATTTTCTTTCGTAACTACACTTGACCTGTAACTATCAGATGGCGGCCATTTTGGATTTGACCAATATGACCAGTATGGCAGCCCCAAGGAGATCTTAAATTGATGAAAGAATATCATAATCAGATTATCTGACCCCAAAACCCCATAAATATATAAACTATTATCATACAACCGCTTTTCCTTTTGGAACTACGCTTGACCTTTAACGCAGATGGCGGCCATTTTGGATTTGCCCAATATGGCATACCCAGAGGGTACCCTTCTTGGCGTCCGGAAGAAATCGTAAAAGTATGGTATAATCTACCTCTGGGCCAAATTTGGTGCTTTTAGAAGAATCTGCACCAAACAACCCCTATTTAGCCCTAACAGCCTCCACTATATTGACTATGTATATGTGTGGACTAGAGTACGGACATTCGGTGCGGCAGGCGGACTATTGGTGCGAGACCTCTTCCGCATGGATTGTCCGTCAGACATTTGAGGCGCGCACGGAATGTCCGACACGGACATTCTGCGCGGATAAAATCCGCACCGATCGTCCGCTCTCGATCGATCTCTAATAGTCGGACGATCGGTGCGGGTTACATTCTACGCGGTCACACCGGCCATACGTAAATGACAGTGACGGTAACGACGAATTAGGAGGAAGGGGTGCATACGTGAACTACAAGCGTATTGGGGATGATCATACTATCATTTTAGAGTGTGCAATCTGGGTCAGAATCCAGCGTAATATATTTATAAAAAAAGAGGTTCACATAAAAGCACTCATGATAAAGCCGCGCCCGGCCCCTACAACATCATTTTGGATTTTCAGATGATGGGGCGGGTGGCAGGGGTAGGGGGCAAAGTTCGCCCCACTCTTCAAGTACCCCCCCCCCCCAAAGGGCCACTTTTACTTTGTAAAGAAGTGCCCCTTCCCCTTTTTAACTCGGATAAGCGCACATTTCATCAACACATGTGCTCCTTCTCCTATCTGATAAGGGCTATTTAGAAAAATGAGGCCCTTCATAAATAAAAAGTGTCCCTTTTCATTTCTGGTAAATGACCATTTTCATATATATGAAGTTAATTCGTTTCACTTCAGTGCGCTCTTCACCTCCGATAATTGCCCCTATTCGAATCTGAGAGATGCTCATTTTACTTTGAAAAGTACCCCTTCCCCTCCTGATAAGTACTCTTTTCATCTATGATGGGTGCCCATTTTCACCTTTGCTAACTGCCCTTTAATTTTGAATCGTGCCCCTTTTCCTTTCTATATAGGGACCTATCCCCTTTTCATAAATGCCCCTTTTCATCTCTGATAAATCAATTTCTGATGGATGCCCCTTTTCCGTCGACAAATGCCCATTTCCCATACTCATAAGTGCCCTATCTCATTTCTGGTGAGTGCCTCCTTTCAGGTGTAAGAAGTGCCCAGTTTGAACCTTTGATAATTACTCTTTGTACCTTGACACATGCTCCTTTTCTTTTCTAATAAGTGTCTTTATACCTTTCGATATGTGTCCCCTTAACCTCTCATCATCGGGGGGGGGGGGGCACGTGCCCCCTAACCTGCTCATCATTAGTCTTGCACCTAATTTAAAGCGACTAAGAGTAATTTCCCCTAAAGCTCGCTCGCTCGCTCGCATTTATAGATGATATAATATTATATGTCACTTTAAAACAAATGTTTTTTTAGTCTTCCGTGATGCTAACCCCATCATGATTTGTTTTTTTCCCTCTTTATAAGATGTGATTTTTCACTCTACGACCTCACAGATCTTACATTTTTTCTCGCTCGCTTTGCTCGCTAGCAAATGAATATTCAGACAATCACACTTAGCCGAAAGTGTGATGCTTAAGCAATAACTTGTATGATATATAAAGAAAAACAAATATTGAAATCGTCCCTGATAATGGGATCACAATGAAAGGGTATTATACCAAAGCCTAAAAAAATGTATATTTTCGCTTTGAGATTTCGCTTTGTAGGTGCCCTTTTTTGTTGGTGCTTTCCACTTTGGAAATAGCTCCTCCGCCCCTGCTTACGCATTAGCGCCAGCGTTAATTTCATGCTTGCGCGCACAGGGTGTGTGTGTGTGTGGGGGGGGGGGGGTTCCTCTCTAGCTCTGAAGCTGATTTTTTTTTTTTTACCTAGATTCGTGCGATTCGGTTAATACTTTTAGAGGGAGTCTGAGGGGTGATGTGCCCCCCTCTGAAGCTGACATTTTTTTGGATTTTTGAAACTGGATTCGTGCGTTTTGGTTAACAATTTTTTGGGGAGTCTGATTTGATTTCAAAACACCTGCAGTTAATGCGTGATGGTGTTGCAGCCTCTCTTTCCCCGAAAATTTAAAAATTACCAATATGCATTTGTTATATCTTATCTCGTATATTTTGGTGACAATTAACACTTTTCACAACATACATAAGCTCAAATTTCCGCTCACTCGCTTCACTCACTCGCCAAATTATTAAACCAGGAAATAGATATTGGGGCAAGAGGCTTCAGCCCCCCACTGATGGAAATGTCAAAAAAAAATTGCGCGCGAGCATAACTTGAAAACGGGGAACTTTGATATCGGACAAGAGATGTGACGTGAGCATGTCCCCTTTCCAAAATAATTGTGCCCGTTTGTAGGTACCAATACACTATTAAAGTACAGTGCTTCTAATATGACCTTGTCAGTATTGGTAAGTTTATATAACGGTCTGCGCGAATTTCGAATTTCCGGCCCCCCCTATTGGAAAATCCTGGATCCGCGCCTGCAGATGTATCTCTGCTACTAGCTTGAAAATAGTGTTTTGCATGCCCCGTCAACATGCAAGATAGGAAAGGAAATGAAGAGGGGAGAAAAGACTGCTAAATTGAGATAAAAGTATGTATCTTTAAATTCAATTCATGCTGATAACTGGAAGATAAAAAAATATGCCTATTTCACTGACTTAGTATACCTATCTCACACTCAGGCGCGTACACAGGATTTTTTCAAGGGGGGGGGGGGTAACATTTTTAAATCGGGCCTAAAATTTCGCAACGACTCAGCCAGCCGCTGGGGGGGGGGGGGGTAAGAGGACACTTTTTGTTTTTTGGGTCTCGAAATTTGAAAAATTTGACATTTGGCTCCGTTGGGGGTGGGGGGTAAGGTCACTTTTTTTTAGGTCGGCCATTGGTATAATTTTTTTTTTTTTTTTTAGTTAAAAAAAAAAAAAAAAAAATTCTAAGGGGGGGGGGGGGGGTTCTCCAAAATACACACACACAAAATACCAAAGGGAGGGAGGTTCAACCCCCCCCCCCCCCCTGCGTATACGCGCCTGCCCACACTATCTGCTTAATTAATTATTCAACAAATGATAGGGGGTGCAGAGTCTTCTCCCAGTATTGAAGAAAAAAAATTGCGGGATGGGCGGTGCCAAACACCCATGTTATTGTATTAAAATAGATGTCTTCTAAAAAGAAAAGGCCCTCCACAAAATGACAGTCCTACATTTTACCTTGATGGCGAACTTGTGCACGTACGTGTCACAACTATCTCTTTTAGTAAGCTATGAAAAAGTAGCACGCAGCGGTAGGATGGCTGAACTAGGTTAGGTTAAAAACAGACACGCCCCCAGGAGGCCTAGCACGCCTACTAGTTACTACTAGTAGGCCGCGCCTACTACTAGTACTAGGCTACTATAATACAAGGAGCGAGGCATGATACGAATGCAAGCTCGATTTCCTAAAAATTGGCTGTCACCAGTACCATTTATACGGCTGACCGTTTGTGTAAGTATTTTGAAGAGGTAATTAGGCGCCAATATAAATGTATTTTCCCTCCGTTCATGCTTTATTCTGTCACACGTGCAGATATTTGTACTTGTAAAAGTTGTTATGGACTAGCTCTAACTTGGATCTAACTTGTGTCTGATCGAGCACCACCAGGTTTTGGGTGCTCAAAGTCTCAAACCCTTCCCATAGACATTGCACACATCCCTATGCAGTCTATGTGCATTGCAAAATTGGTCAACTTTTAAAAAATAAATTTAGATTCAAACCTTTATCTGTTGTGATCCTGAAGGTTATACTCAATAAATGAGGTGTCATATGAAAGGGCAGATTAATCCCCATATTTCCAAAGGGTTGTCATTTCAGATTTCAAAAAATATCTTGTCAAAAATAGCGATTTATTTTAAATGTTGTTTCCATGGGCATGGCAACTCTGGAGATTTCCCACTTTTGAGAATCGACCCCCCGAGGGATAATTAGTTCAAATCGTAAGGAATATGTTGATGTTCTTTTTTTTTTCGCTAGCCCCAAGGGATCACGTACGATTTAAGTTTGAAAATACGTACCTTCCCCCACTTTTTGCATATGGCCTAAGTACGGCTGCATTATAGAATGCAGCTGTAGCAAAAAATGATAACTCTGCGTGAACCACTTTGTCCATTCTGAGCAAAATTAATGCTATGAATATTGCAGAGTTTTTGAGGGGTTGTATCTTTTGATAGAAACATCGCGCATCGGTAAGTCTTGAAATTTGAAATGTATTATTCTGATTACATTTTTTATTCAAATATCCAACAAAAATGGCGAAAAACGATCCCAAATTGAAAATTGAAAATCAGACACCCTGTACTAGTTAGCAACCAAGTTAGAACTTAGAAGTTTGATTACTCACTCACAGTCTCAGCCCTCTGATTTGTATTTGTACAACTACAAGCACAAGTTGTAGAGTCTCTAGAATTAAGTCTTTAGAGAACGATCAAGCAAAAGGGAAATCTGTGCATGTGATCGGAGTGAATTTAAGATCGCACACTAAACGATCTAGTAATCATAATTGCATGGGGCTGGGTAATAATTAGACAGAAATAACTGTGTGGTATGGCCGAATCCTTTTATAATACTGACATTTTTCAACCTTTTTGGAGCCAGATCAGACGTACATGTATACGTCTCAGCTGAAATACAATCACAAATGTCAATACCGGAGACTGAAGCTTTCGGTCGAGTAGTAGGTCTACTAGTAGTAGTAGGACTTACATGGGAAAGGTTGACAAGTACAAGTGGCACTGGCAGGCAGCTAGAGTAGATCAGATATCGATTAAAGAAACCAAACGTGTTACTTTTTGTCTGAACTAGCTTAGGTGAATATTTATACTAGGTCTAGACCTATAGGAGATATGCGAGTGATATCATGCAGTATAGTGTAAGTGTTTTGATCACCTAGCATATTAAAGATAATACTAGTACGATCGTAGACCTAGTCTACTTTGATATAAAAAGATTTTAAAAGAATTTGCAATAAAATAATTAATTGATAATGATAATAATAGTTGTGTGATGAAGAAAGCCTAAATTTCAAGAGACTTCATCATTTCATGCTTTCTAATTAATTGGAAAAGGAAAAGCTAAATTGGCTCAGCCTTGCCATTGAGACATTGGACGAGTACTAATGTTTTATAAGTGGATAGAAAAATTGCTGTATTTACTAGCTTTATTTCAATCGATCAATTGTTTTCTTTTAATTGTAGGATATTTCCTCATTTTCCTGTGTGAAAATGTCGAGAATACAAACCTGGACAGAAGGATGGGCAGAGGGCAGGACTTCATTTCACGGGACAAATGTTCACAAGTATGTTGCTTGATTTAAAAGCTGATATCCACCTTTTATGATTCATTATATGATCTGTTTGGAGCCAGAAGGGCATTAACTCCTTTACTTCAACTTGGCTTTAGTTTAACGCTCTTCTAGCTGGCTCTGAACTGACAAATTTCAATTTTGATTCTACTAAATGTTCTCTGCTTGCACAAGTTTTGGGGCTTTCCATTAATTGCCTTGATAAAAGATGTTATCCCATTTTCTTGAAAGCTGTCCAAGTTGAACTAGTCCTCTGATGTATGAACAGCCAAGTATCATGCAGTCTTTCCATTAATTCTCTACAAAGTACTCTTATTCAGGTGCGGCAATCCCGGGGGGACACTCCCCCCCCCCTCAATTTTTTTAGGGGAGAATTGTAAGACTGCAACACACTTTAAGACCCCGTTCTCACTCACTCCCTAGACTTATCGGCACCCCAGTCTAATTCCGTCCTTCCGTCACTTCCAGCTCCATGCATGGAGTGCTCATCCCAACTCCCTAAACCATCGCAACCCCTCAGCCCACCTGAGGTGGGACCTCAGTTCCACCCAGTCCAATGGAAGACATTTGTATAATCAAGACCCCTGCCGAGAGTGAGGATGAGTAAGTGCCCCCCCCCCCCCCCCCCCCAAAGTGCCCCCCACCCCCAAACATCAAACTCTGGCTACGTGCCTGTGTATATGATCAAGTTACCAGCCCGAGGCAATCTAGTATATAACTTTAATGTCTGGTTTACAATGTTTTGCAAAATTGTTTTTACTTTCAGGTCACTGCTGGAGTTCCAGAGCAAACTTTTGGTGAAGAAGCCAAGTCGAGTGTTGGTGCCATTGTGTGGAAAAACATTGGATATGAGATGGTATGTATTATGGAAGGAAAAAAATGAAGAACCTATACTTAGCAGTGATTTAAAATTATAAAAGAATTTAATGTTCAATGAAGTACCCCTGGTAGCATCATTAGCATGTTTGATTTAGCCATTGATGGATGGTTACACAGTCATTGCAAATTCAGTATATTTTGTACTGCAAATTTGATAACCTCTTTTAATTCCATTACATTGTGGATGCAGTTGGGGGAAGAAAAAATAAATCAAATGCAGGATAAAACTAGAGACATTCATTTTGTGGATGGCTAGTTATATGCTTGTGTAAGACTCATGTTCAAAGAATATATGAACGTATGATTTTGGCATATTGTGCAAGTTATTTACTCAAGTATTTTTAAAAGGATATACTACAAAGAATACATCCATGAGTCATGAATTTAGAGGAGTTCTAAACGATTTAAGATAGTAGGATAGTATGGTAACAAATGACAGTAAAGAGAAAATAGCTAGTGGATTGTTGTCAACATTTTTGTATTTTAAGGCATATATTTTCATCTGTCCTGTTTGTTAAGGCTTGCTGAAGAAGGTCATGAGGTGGTTGGCGTAGAGGGCGTGATCCAGGCTGTCATGGAATTCTTTGAAGAACAAGAGCTCCCCTACAAAGAGAGTGATGTCCCTGGGATCAAGGGTGCAAAACTTTTTGAGGTTTGTCTGAGCTAGGCTTCTTACAATACAATCTGATATATTTCATGATAATTACTGCAGTTACTGTATGCACATTTGTAGTGTATTTCCATATGAGCTGCTGTTTCATATCTTCAATCATTTGATATCCTTGTTCCCTTCTTCTTTTTTTCCAGAATGAGGACAAGAAGATCAAAATATACCTGTGTGACTTCTTCCAATTCTCTAAGTAAGTGGAATAGTGGATTATATTCTATGTGTTGTATTCTTAGTCATCTCATTATAGTGAGTTGTTAGAGTTTTCCTAAATAGATAATAAACAAATATACCATGCACTGAGAGGCTCTAGTTGAAATTATGGATCGAGGTGGCAGGAATAGCACTATTTTCTGAGGGGCATAGCCCCAAAGAAAATAGTGCTACTTCTGTCGTGGAGGAATCTATAATTTCACTAGTGGCTTAATTGAAATAGTGCATGATATATTTGTTTCATATTTTTCAAACCAACCTTATATATTAAATATTAATAATAATGTTTACTGTCTCTGAAGTTGTGTATAATGCTCTGGCTGGTGAGAGCAGCGCAGACGGACATATCACGACCCATAGGACATTGATCTTGATCTATCGCATATATATGACGTCATCCATGGTATAGTGCTACGGTTTAGTGCACTATACCATGGATGACGTCACGGTTACATCATAGCAATGTTATGTTGGGTCCTGTGATGCTCTGTTGACCAATCACGGAACAGGATTTCATTGATCAAAAATATAATACTATATATATATTTATATGACAGGGCTGATGAAAGATTAAGCATCATACAAACTGAACTGATATTGAATTGCACTGCCTTAAGGTTTTTAAATGATTCAAAGTTATTTATAAGTGTGAGGAATGGAAACTACTCATTTATTGCACTCTTGCTGAAATGAATGAATAAATTGTGTCTTGTATTTGTTCCTTTTAACAACGCAGAGATATTGCAGGTCAGTTTGATGCAATTTGGGACAGAGCTTCTCTAGTTGCTATTGATCCTCCATTACGACAGCAGTGAGTACCAGTTCTTCTGCTTATTTTTCTTTTTTCTTCTTCTTGTCCTTCCTCTTGTTTTTTGTTGTACTTCTTCTTCTTGTTCTCGTCAGAATCAAGCCATATATTACATGCTTTCATGCTTGTCATCTTTTCTTTTCAAATCTTTTCAAATGAAGAATGGTGACAAGAATTGCTTGTTTCTAGATGTTATAACGACACAGAAAAATAACACAGAAATATGAATAACATTTGTCACAAGAAATATCTACTTTTCCTATATCAATCCTACAATGATGAACTAAAGCTTGATTAATTGATATACATGTATCACTATCCTTAGGTACACAGACGTCCTTTTGTCAGTACTATCTCCAGGTGGACGAATTCTAATTGAGGTGTATGAGTACAACCCAGAAGAAAGGAAACAAAAAGGTAAAAACCTATTGTCATTTCTATTTCTCTTAAAGCCCGTCTGTACAAGTTTGGCCGGGGGGATTAGACCTCCCTGCAAGATCACTGACAGCCTGTCTGTACTAGTTTGGCCAGGGGGATTAGATCTCCCTGCAAGTTCACTGACAGGTGGTTATCTCATCAAATCAGCTCTCAATTAACATAAGAAAAAGAGGATCATGGGGAACCAACAGGCACCGCTAATAGGCATTGGTTGCTATTTAGAGAGCGCAAGTAACTATATGTAGTGCAGCAGGGCTTTAAACCCTGTTCAGCCTGGGATTTCCACTGGTAAGTGGTAAATTTACCACCCCCCCCCCCCCCTCTTTCATCTAAGATCTAGGCTGAAGTAGTTCCAATTGATGCAAAATTATTTGCGGTATGTCAACGAAAGTGCTTGCATGATCATTTTGTTTTGCTTTTGTGTTTTTATTTAAGAAAATTGCTTTTTATTTACTACTTTATTAGAATTCATGTAATTTTTTTTTACATGTTTATAGATATTTCATTGAAAATGAAATAATGAATGAAGTTCAGTGTTTTACCAGTTTGTTTAAAAGCATAGTCAACAATATTTTGTTTATACCTTATGAAAGAATAACAGTATTGAAATCTTGTTCGCTATAAATCATTTTGTATCAAATTTTCTTTCAGGTACTCCCCACTTTGTACCTGAGGAAGTTATACAGAAGTTATATGGTGAGAATTTTTGTTTTTTATTGATACAAATTTTGTAGCCGGGAAAAAAGTTTGTATGTCTTTTATTTTTCAACATTCAGCGACTGGAATATATTGATTAAAAATCTGCCAAAATCTTGGAATTTTTTGTGGATATGCCTTTGTAATATGCTGATCATGAATACATTTGTATGGAGATTAAATTAACTCCTGAAAATCCAATAGAGAAATTAATAAAAGATGAATCATAATCAAACTTGAGATCAAATAAAATGTAAGCTTTAAACCTAAATGCGAATCTGGAATTGATTTTGTCTTTAAAACATCTGTGTTGTCTCGTATTGCTCCGTGTATGTAATTGTGCAATACATTTAATCTTTCTCTACCCTTTGCTTACATTCTGTCATTCCAAATTCTTGCTTTTAATTGCCTCCTATTTTTTCCAGGAGAGAAGTGTACTACCATAGACCTGCTAGGTGACAATGATCACTTGGAAGGGAATGAAAGATTCAAAGAGCGTGGACTAACATGGATGAGACAAAAGATTCGCATTATGGTCCTCAAGTAGCTCTGTCATTGTGTTCTAAGACTGCCTTCAGATCAAAGAATACCTGAAGCCCAGAATTAGGGACAGAATTTTTTTATCGGACATGAATATAGCAACAATTTCAATTTTGTATTAGTTACCAATTTCCATTTTTTTCTTTTCTTTTCTTTCTTCTCATCATCCATTTTTCCGGCCTTCCATTGCCTCTTCAATTGCCACTGCTTCCATCTCACATTGCAGGAGAAAGATTTTCCATCCAGCTTTTGGCAACTGAAGATATCTTGGAGCAAAACAAGTTTTTCAAAGAAGTTGGACTAACATGGATAAAGCAAAAGATTCGCATCATGACCCCCCAGTAACTTCATCATCTCATTCCATGATTCACTGACTGAACCAGAGAGTAAATCTGGAAACATTGTCTGAAATATGATTCCTGTTATATTATTGATATTATCAATTATGTTTTTGGGTTGTCTGTCCGTCCATCCGTACGTACATCCCGATCTCGTGATTGCGTTATCTCAAGAACCGATTGATGGATTCCCGCCAAACTTGGGTCATGTATTGATCTTGCAGAGCCAATGAACTGATTAGATTTTAGGGTCACAAGATCCAAGGTCAAAGGTCACAGGACTCATTATGTATGCAGAAATAGCTTGTGAACTCATCTCAAGAACCCATTGATGGATTCCCGCCAAACTTGGGTCATGTATTTATCTTGCAGAGCCAATGAACTGATTAGATTTTGGGTTAGGGTTTGCTGTTACAAAAGTTTATTCAATAATTCCAAGGCATCTGGATTGCTCATGAAGTTGTGATAGTGCCATGCACTCAAAAGATTGTGGTTTCACAGTATTCCTTCCTTGAGTAACCTTTTGAACTTTAAGGTCAGGGGTGATACAGAATGGCTGTTAATTGAGTATTCAGAAACATGTGGGAGGAAAAAGATTCAATCTGATTTTAAAGTGCACTTAATACCTAAAATATATTGTGAACTTGAAGGGGGATTCTTTTCAGGTTTATTTTGGATAAGATTATATTCAGAAAACAAAATAGTAACAAATAAATTCACATCTTTGCAGCATTTCATAGGACCTTAAAATGTATCATTACCCTGGTCATGGGATTTATCCAAGCAGGAAATACGTGCACCATCTCCACTCTGTTGACTATTAGTACCATAAGGTTTCTATGTCGGCACTTGGCCATTATGATTGCAATATCTGGCTCTCATCATATCGTACCAGGTCCCTGTTTTTTCTTCTGGGTAATTTCTTCCTGAAGTAGCCATATCATTTTATGGAGGATATAAATTGAAGATGACCAAGAGTCTGTAATGTTTTATATATTTCTTGTTTGTATAAATTAATGTATGCAGTTAACTCTGCATAACTTTCAGTGGCACAAATTTCCCTAAGTAATATCAATTTTTTTAAACCAAACTATACATGTGTGTTATTTACATATCCTAAGTTGAAGTATATTTTGTGATACCAACCGATTTGACTTATGTAGAGTTAACCGTATATCTTATACAGTCTTAACAACGTATTCATACCCCTAATTGTAAATTTGATGTTTTTCTTTTTTTTCATAACTCGAGAATGAAAGATGGACAGGTCGAATGAGCTAGGGCCTTTGTTGAATTCTTTTAGATATAAACTTTAAAATGTCACATTCTCAAAAAACACAAATCGGGATAATTCAATTTTTCACATATTTGGTACTTAAAAAATTAAAAAACTTAATTGGTAAGGGAATGAATCGGTACCGGTATATCTTTCTTCAGCTTCTACATTCTTTCTGCCTCTCTCAATATCTATCCAATCCTTTCATCTAGAAGAAAAATGTTTGATTGAGCTATATTGGCCGATGACGTGGGAGTGACCCATTTGAGAAAGATTCACATTATTATCCTCAAATAGCCTTTGCATGCATCAGTACCGGAACAGTTTGATCAGGGTGTAGAGAAGTGGTGTGACGGATTCAGGTGGTGGGGAACAAGAAAGTTTCATAACTTACCAATCACCATAACAAAAAAGAGGGAAAAAACTTGCATTGTGTCTTTGCCTTAAAAAAATGCAATGATTATAATTTAAGTGAACTAGCATAACCTGGCATCATTCTCCTCAAGTGCATCCTTTACGTACAGGACCAGCTTGATCAGTGTGTATAGGGAAGTGCCGCGGAGGCATATTCAGGTTCTGGAGGCACAGGATGTATAAAGTGATATTAAGAAAATGAATAAATATGAACATGTAGTGTATCGTAAAACAGTTTAGGGTAATTGTTTTGTTTAATTTATAAATTGACTTATATTTTTATGATTAAAATGAGAGATCTATACAGATATTCATTACTTTTATTGTCTGTGTCTTTGTATTGCTTGAAAGGGAAATATAATAATGGAAAATAGGGAGAAATTAAGAGCAGAGGAGAACATGATAGAGGAGAGAGGAAGATCGAGAAAGGAACTAAATAAGGGGTATCTATATAATTGGGTGTAATTTGGGCTTCTTTTTTTATATGGGGGATGCCTAAAAAAAAAATCTAAATTTACATTTGAATAAAGCATTTAAGTATGTCATGGTATTTAATGACTATGCATGCTTCCTTCACAAGAAAATCGCATTCGTTCTATATCAAAATTCATATAAAAATAAAAATCAGAACCAAAATATAACTTGATTTATCAGCAGAAAGTGGATAAACAACGTCTGATTGCCTAGACTAGTGTTGTGCATGTGTTTTGCTGCCACGCGATCTAGCTGTCTGCTGCATGTAGCTTGGTGTGTCTAGCCTATAGTTTCATCTAGCTGAAAATGCCTCGCAAAACTCAAAAAAAAAGAGAAGAAGAGGAAGATGTCACACACGAAGAAAATGAATGATGGAGAGTTGCCAGAAAAAATAACAACTTCAGAGAGGAAGAAGAAGTGTGGTGACAGCCAAATTTGTAATGCTGGTCCCACATGTAAGGATCCGCGTCGGGAGCTAGGGGGTTTCTACATCATTAGTGGCCCACAACTTGAAGCTGCTTTGCAAAAGGCTCACGTGTGTCTGGGAGGTATGTACTTGCTATAAAACAATATTTTTGATAATTTGTAGATTGCAAACTTAGTGTAACTTTGACTTTTGAGATTGTATTGCAAGGCCAAGATGGAGTTGCCAAGGGGCACAACGCGGTTTGCTTCAGACTCTGCTTCCATTTCTAATCCTTCCCTAACAAATGAATGTCACTGATTAAGTGATTATGATCGAATCATTTCCAATCATCTTTTGTGACTCTGTATCTTGTATTTTGTGGTTAAGCTATCCGTTGTTGAGCATGTGGCATGGTATTTAAATGACCCAAAACAAATAGCAAGGGCTTTTAAATGAACAGTTGAACCAAACTCGTATACAAACAAAAATTAGTGAAGACGTTTATCAAAGTTTCTGATTTTGATTACATACAAACAACAATACCTGGGGTAGACCCTATGTCCAATATTCCAATAATGTGAGTTTTGGTTGGGTAATCCCTTTGGCAGCTCACTCAGGAAGCTATACTGGGATGGTAGGTGAGGCAAGTGACTACAAGGAGTGTCATGAATTGCTGGAATGGTGTGTGGACAAAGCACTTGTCAATTTACAGTAAAATATGCTAAGTCCAGTGCAAGTAAAAACCAAGCTAGTAAGCTTATATGATGTGAGAACCAACGGGGGGCTGCATCATTCTGATGGAGGGTAGAGCAGCCTCCTTGAAGTTGGTTATTCCTGTTGCATTGACTGCAGAGCCTGGCAGATGGTTCCAGATCCTTATTGCTCTTGGGTAGTATGAGAACTTGAAGGAGTCGATAATTGCAACAGGAATTACATACTTCAGGTTGTGGTCATGTCTTCCGAAGTATGTAGCAGGGATAACAATAGTTGGTGCAGGTATGGAGACAAGTCGGTGATGGATCTTGTAGAGAAGGGTGCATTGGTCGAGGATTCGACGTGTGTGAAGTGTGTCCCACCCTAGAGCTGCCACAAGAGCTGATGGTGATGTGGTGTATCTGTAGTCACGGTACACAAAGCGAGCCGCTGTTCTTTGTACTTGCTCTAGCATTTTTGTGACCGTGACGCTGTGTGGGTTCCAAGCCTCCGAGGCATACTCCATTTGGGGGCGCACTAAGGCTGTGTAGGCCCTGGACTTTACATCCCTGGTACAGGGTGAGAGAGTCCTGCGAAGAAGTGAGTTTTACCATGAGTAAATAAATTCAATTCAAATTCATATGTGCAGTGCTTACAATAACCAAGTTGTGTTATGATTCACTGTATTTAATATTTGTTTTTAAAGATGACCTGCGAGTGCTCTCGTCTGTAGAGCCAGTGGCAACACCTGACATGGTGGACGTGGAGCCAAGTGAAGAGGGGAGAGGGCAGTATGGTGAGAAACCTCAGATTAATAGAGCATCTAACATTTTACTTTTACTATATAGGGTCTACAGTGACTTTGTTCTCTCTCTGAATAATTCTTAAATCATAAAATGTGATAAACCAAGATGGATTTTGAAATAGCTGAAAAGATACCATAAACTTGTACCAATCGGTGTCAACAAACACTACTAACATCAAGAAATTATTTTAATCTCTATTTAATTTTATTCATAATTTGTTGAAACATTGATTTTTATTTTAGTATTCATTTTTATTTTAGCCTGTCTATCGCCAAGTTCCAAAACTTTCCGATTGTACAACATTTATGCTTTATTGTGAGTAATAATATTCATGTAGTACAGGCCATTGCATCAGGAACATTTCTCTTCTTCATTTAAAGTATTACATACCATATCTTAAGTTTTATTTGAATCTAGACAAACAATTATTTCTTATAATTTCATAAAGATGACCTCCGAGAACTGATAGATAGAGATGATGTTCAGGAAACCCAAGAGCTGCAGACTGTGCAGAGTGAAAGCTCCAACCAACCTGGTGAGAAACATTACACACGCATTGACATAAAGCCAGCAAATATATCGTTAAGACAGATACATGTTTTCCCAAATACATTTTTCAGATCATGATATTTCCATTACCTAGTTATACCTATAAAGCAGGAATACAACCATTGGCTGATATTTCTTGACAGCACTAATAGAATAAATATCTCTTTTCTTAACAGATACAAATGAAGTTCAGGTTCGTCCACTAGGATACATAAAGGACCCATCAACTAGAAGAAAGAGGTTTTGTGCCAGAAAGAGAACTCTTCTAGAGAAGGTATGAGTAACAGACATATCTGGCTATGTACGCATAAATTAACTTTCAATTATCAATCATTAATCAGGTATGCAAGATCTTTGTTAGTCGATCTTAGTCTATGTGAAATACTTCCCTGGGTTAAGAGAAGAGGAATTGATCCGTCCATCCTCAATTGTGTTCTTTGCTCTGTAGGTATTGTCAGATAGCCGCTAGCTCTTTTGCAGAGTTGCCCGCGTTCTTGCTACTTCCCGCTGCCTCAGTTTTTGGTGTTTAGGTTCACCAGTTTGAGTTGCATAAACAGTTTCCTCGCAGAGCTGACAAATATGGCACAATAGAAATAAATTATGTTCTGTTTCTTTTCACATTTCTTTCTATTTACTTTTTCTGCAATTGTTACTTACCGGTATACAGGCCAAAGAAATACACATCATGTGTGGATCTACGGTCAAGTTTGATCTGAAGGCCGAGAGTGGAAGACAATACACCTACCATTCCCACCCAGTTGCACAGAGACATGTCAAGCTCCAAGCAGGTGAGTGCCAACTAGAAATGAGAGCTTCACAAAAGCCGAAGTATGAGGTAACACGGCTGGCCCATCACATATTGCATCTAGTTCATCTAATGTGCAGGGGCTCCTGGGCAAAAAGAAGAAAACCCTCAGCAAAGAAACATTGCACATGCATTGACATACCGGTATGACTAATTGCTGCCAAGTTCTGATTTATTATTGATACAGTACATCTTTGTATTTCTTTCTGTGAAGCAGGAACATTTCCCATTGGTTTTAATCTCTTGTTTTTCTTATCTTATGACACAGATCTCAACAGCACTGTTGAAGTTGAGCAAGGTAAGATATATAGAGATTCAAGATTCAAGATAATTTATTGTCATGTAAAAAAATACATAAAATTTGTCTTCGGACATTTGAAGGGGCTATACTGTACATGTATAAATATATCAATACAGACAAAATGATTACATTTTGACTTAACATTTAACAATCATCACAATTTTAAGAAGGAGTGTATGGGATAATTTTACAGTTCTGGAGTACACATTTAAAGATAAACTCCAGTTCTGGTAAAAAAAAAGAAAATTAATTCTCACAGAATCAAACGAAACTTGCACTGAATGTTCAAGATTACAAATAAATGACATGTGCCAAACAATTTTGGAAGAAAATGTATACTGGCTGAGTAATGAGCATAGAAAGACAAGGAAATCAAGGTAGTACTAGCCCCGACACCATGTGTGTTGTCCCATATATAGCTTTCTGTGTACAGTGCTTGTTACTTTACCAAGACTCGGTCAAATTTATTGTGATTTTGATGACTCCAGAACCTTGCAGTGCACACCAATACTTACATGCTACATGATCAACTGTTTCTGATCCTTTCCACACCTTTTCTTTCACAATGCAATCGCATTACCGCAGTACTAAAGTTTATCTTTAATCTGAATCATGATTTAGTACTTAACAATACTTCTGCATGTTGAATTGGCTAAACAAGAACTGATACCTTGGCAAGAAAATTTAATAAAAAAAGGGATGTAGCCTATTTGTGTGGAAAATATAATTTGACATCAAATATTTTTATAGAAATGTTACACATTATTTGTTTGAATAATGATACAATGTAATCAACATGACATGACATGCTGCACATTTTTATCATGCTACTACTATCAATGCTATTGAGTTAGTAATTCATTATTTTTTTTTTTATTTCTTTGATTCAGTGAGTACTGGTACTACTACTGTTAAAGGACAAAACACAGACATACCAGAAATCGAGATCTATGAAAATGAAGGTATGATTAAATTGTGCCAGAAAACCTTTCTGACATTTTGATATTTTTTAAAAAGTTCTTTATGTATGCTAAGTAATTGACAATTAGAATTCTAAATCCAGATAATATCAATAAGACGGATAAATGTATTCCCAAATACAATTTTAAATCATGATATTTCCATTCCATTTCCATTACCTAGTTATACCTATAAAGCAGAAATACACAATTGCCTGATATTTCTTGACAGCACTAATAGAATAAATATCTCTTTTCTTAACAGATACGAATGAAGTTCAGGTTCGTCCACTGGGGTATATAAAGGATCCGTCCACGAGAAGAAAAAGGTTTTGCGACAGAAAGAGAACTCTTTTAGAGAAGGTATGAATAACAGACATATGCACATGTATGTACGCATTAATTAACTTTAGATTAACAATAACCCTGTAAGATGGGGCTTTGATCGGATCCGAAGATTTGAGCGAATCCCTTGCACCTGTGATCGGTATCGGCAAAAATTATCAGCAAAAAAAATCATTTTTGGCGGCCCGCATGTTTTGCCTCTTCTCTTAGACCAATATCATTAATTTCAAAGTCATGAAAAGACACTAAATATCAACAAACATGCATGGTCTACATCAAATCCAAATGACAAAGTAATCCCAGCTATGCATTTTTTTAAGCATTTGATAGCCCAAAACTTGAAATTTATTGATCGGCGATCAGAAATTATTATCCAATCTCGCCTGATCGGCTCAAGATCGACCTCCGATCCGATGATTGGTTACAGGCCTAATTAACCATCATTTATCAAGTATGCATGATCTTTATTATGCCCAAAAGCATAAAATGGGTATTAAAAAAATCGGCATGCTACGCCTACTTTAATCACATGTGTACTGTGTAATGTCACTTGTCTTTGTCACTGTCAACGTTCTCTGGAAAATTCTGTCGCATTGCTTTTCCAACACTTGGTAGTAAAAGTCAATGTTGACTCAGGATCGTACTGTTTTATGATATGGTTGTTCAGAAGGGAGCTTACCGGTATTCATTTCACCTGTTATCCTTTCTTGGATTTCTACGTTTTAACTGAGCTGATAAATATAACGCAAGAGAAATTAAATTAGGTTTTGTTTCTTTTCACATTTGTTTCTATTTACTTTTTCTTAAATGTTTACTTATACAGGCCAAAGAAATACACATCCTGTGTGGATCTACGGTCAAGTTGGATCTGAAGGCCGAGAGTGGACGGCAATACACCTACCATTCCGACCCAGTGGCACAAAGAAGTGTCAAACTTCAAGCAGGTACCTACCAACTAATAACGAAAGCTTCACAAAGGCCGACTTCCCATCCCCCAACCAAGCGACGGGTTGTTGCAGGTGACACGGCTGGCCCATCACACATTTCGTCTTCTACATCTAATGTGCAGGAGCTCCTAGGAAAAAAGAAGAAAACCATTAGTAATACAAAACATGAAAGTAAAAAGGACAAACACAAAAAAGAGAAGAAAGGGTTGTGATTTACATCAGTAATCAATTCAAAGAACGGTTAATAACTTTTATTCTTTTTAAATGCAAATTGAATTGTGTGATGTAGTTTTTCTGTCCCACTCTTACTTTCTCAGGTTTAGTCAGGTTCCTGAAGACAAGTGTCCACCTATCATTGTTAGGCGCACCTCCCCTTAACTTCAGCCATGACTTGCCAACTTGCCCTGCTTATTAGCTTCTTCAAGACAACCATCTCCTCCTTGATGATGGCCAGTCCGCCCTGTTCTGCATACGGTGTAAGAACTTTCTAGGGTCTCCCGAACCATGAGGACCTGCATGAAATAATACATAATGGAGAGAAGAAGATAGAAGAAATTATGAAAAATTTGGCGATTCCACCAGTTCATGACAAGCTTATACAAACATGTGTTTGAATCTTAAGTATATCAATTATTATCGACGTTGATTCATATTTTCAGATATGTGGAACAAAATTTGTCATAATTAAATGCTCTAACATGGTCCTTGTTTAGAGTATGTAATTGCATTTATCATTTTACATCATTCATACACGTACATATTTCATCTTTCATAATTATATAAGAATGCTTCATCATGCCAAACCTGGTCATGCATGTCGCGATACAGGATATCCTGGTATTTTGGATGATTCCCAGCATACATTACATGGAGCAGTTTTGTCTTTGCTGTTGAGATTGCTTCCACATTGTTCCTCCGAGCTCCAGTGCGTAGCATCATGAGGGCATGAAGGTAGGTGATTAACATCTGTTGCATATAGGTCAGTAGGTGTATGTAATTCGTATCACTGTCGCTCCACTTCCAATACCCCTCCATTCAGCTTCAGATTAATTTGATTGGTCCATTTGGAAATTCAGTTGGCATTACATAAAGCACATGAACAATATACAATAGAAATAATATACCGGTACACAAACAGATAATACACAGTAGCAAATGTACAATGACATATTCATATGGAAATACGGATATAAAATCGTTTTTATTGACCTCATATATGAATTAGGGTTCATATGAGATCCGGTTCGCATGACAATAATATTCACATTTGGGTGGTATGAGTATAGTTGGCATGATAACAATAATCCATGACACACACCAGACGTGTGTAGACATATTGACGAGGATACCGAAGAACAAAACGACACATAATGAACGTACAAAAACAGAAAATTAACACTAGTACAAAAACAAGAACACCAACTGGTTGCCACTGAGCAGCGCCCTCCTTGCTATTCTTGAGAGTCGAGACATTCTTTGACATATGAATATTATACAAGGTCTTTATTTGCATGAAGGGCAAGGTATAATATTTCAAGTAATTTCCATCTCTTGTGGTGATCGCTGCCTTTCTTTACGTACTGTTGGGCCCTGTCCGATATGAACCCAAGAGTCCTATAGCCAGGGTGGAAATAAACATTTCCCATTTCAGGGGCAAGAAACTTCTTGCTACATTTAGTTCCGGGTGGAATAATCCCACCACTGAAACCATCCATGACAATTCCGTAGATCTAGTGCCCTTCCCAAGAATCTAGCACATGTGGTTCTCAAATTGTTCTTGACCATAGTAGGACTGCTGACATGAAGAACACCACAACACATTGTCCATGATATCCCTTATGATCTTGTATGGAAGTCCATGTTACCACCGTAATTATGGTTACGATGTCGGAATCCTAAGTACTTCGCGAACTTCATGAACTATTCGCTGTTGAAATGTTGTCTGTTATCAGTACGGACAATGTAAATGTGGGATGACGGCTTGACTAGAAGTAGATGTGAGAATTTCAACCACTGGAATCTGCTATAATCATCGATGATGACAAGAAGATGCTCTCCGGTTGGAAGATCTGAGAAATCTATGCTGACTTCTTTCCAAGGATGTGTTGGAAGTGATGACATTTGGATAGGTTCACGCTTAGTTGAACTGCTTGTTGCTTGGCATGGAATACATTGACTGATCTTTTCTTCCACGCGCTTGTCTATACGTTGAAACCACACTTTCTCGGGAATCAGCTTTTTTCGTGCGAACGACACCTTGGTGTCCTTGGTGTGCAGTTGTGATGATGCGATCGCCTAGGATAGACGGAATCACAATTCTGTGATCACGGAGTAGCACTTTTCCGTCTTTTGCTACATTGAGCTCATTCTTTACGTTTTTGAAGCACTGCAGCTCTGGTATAACCAATGTCGATCCTCTCCACAATATTGCACTCTGCCTGCGTGACGACCAATATTTCAAAGAACTTCTAAAATGGTCGCGTAACTGTTGGGGTGAACTAAATTGGGCCTCCGGGAATATTACTTTGGCTGAATTTTCCTAAACGTCTATAGCATTAAAAGCAACATATGGGTCACATAGTGTTCCATTACTTTCAAAAGCTGAAAACTCAACCTGGTGGTAAGGTTAAATGTCCCAGACAGCTTCTACAAATATTGTAAGATCTGTCATTTTCACCTCCACATTCCATACAGATTTTTTCTGTTTCGACATTTGTAAGCTTTTCGGCGCATTCATCTATTTGGCCATTTGCTACACCCAACAATTCACCTACAACTTCAGTAACATTTCTATCAATATGTACATCTCTACTCTTCCAAAATTTGTCATCATGCTTACGAAATACTAGTGAACATGAGCAAATCCTTTCTTTGTTCCTCCATCAATTCCTTCCACATCCATTTATTTGGTTTCAGGTTTTCATCATGTTGCATATCGTTCGTTTCTAGCTGCAGATATGCAGTGCTGCACACATCACTTGAGGGAACTTTGTTATCCCCACTCACCGCAGTATATGTCTTGCCTATTACCCGATTGTTATCAAAAGCAACTCTGCATAATCACTTTGGAACCTCAACAGGGTCATCGGCTGGCTTATCGAGGCACCCCAGAATTGAGCTATATATCCCTGCAGGCCCAACACTACTAATAAAGTTAGTGGCTTGTTTGCTGCTAGTGTACGAATACAGCAATATGTTCTGCAACGGAAGCAAAATGTGCGTGTTCTTTAGGTGATATATCTGTTCCACAAGCCTTGCTAGCTAGCTGGTAAGCATTTTTGTCATCAAACTTTTTGGAATCTACTTTGCACAAAAGTGTCGGGACACTGATGAGCTCATTTTGACGTTCTTGAAGCCAGTCCTTGTGGTCATAATTGAACAGTTCGTCAATGGTATAGTTTCTCTTTTTATAAAGTCCTGCAATGTCTTCTTTCAGCAGTTTTCCAAGGTCCCTACCATCCTCTCCACATGCTTGTTCAAGTTGTTCTACTTCTAATGCGCTATCTTTGCATGATGAGGCTTGCTCCTCTTGAGAGTCAGCATTCCTGCAACGATACGTGTACCTGTCTTTGTTCCCTTTTCAACATATTTATTACATACATACTTCATATAATAATAATAATAATAATTCTACATTTATATCACACACATGACTCTGCCAACAGGCACCCTTGGTGCACAGATCAACAAATCAAACACATTACAAGAATATGGTCATTAATCAAAATTCAACAGAACTAAGATATTACAAAATGAAAAAGGCAACAAATGGTCAACATAAATACAGATATACTACTAATAACCAAAAGTAATAAAACAAACATTCTAACTCATATAATAATCCTAACATCAACAGTACGCCTTATTCATCAACAAGATCTTCAATTTTTGTTGAAAGGATCTAATTGATGAGCTCAACTTCAAGCACTAGGGCATTCCAGGCACGTGGGGCAGCAATGCAAAATGACCTATCACCCCATTATCTTTTACATCGCGGTACTTTGTATGGTCAACATTTCCAGATTTGACTTGACTTTGAATATCATGGACAGTAGTTTGTAGTCTAGCCTCTGTCCCTCTCGGAGCCAGTGCAATTGTTTGAGTACTGGTGTGATGTGATCCGAGGATTTAGAACCAGTGATGAGGCGCGCTGCCAAGTTCTGAACCTTCTGCAGACGTCTAATTGGCAAGTCAGGTAATCCGTGGAGTGTACCATTTTATAAGTTCAGTCTCAAAGTGACAAGAGCATGAACTATTTGCTTGGTGGCCTGTGGAGTAAGATGCTCGCGAATCCTGCAAATGTTTCTCAAATGGTAGACGACAGTTCTAACACGGGCAGATACTTGAGGTTCCATTGTCATGCTGCTGTCTACTATTCTTAGTCCATTTCTGTACTCTGTCAATAAATGTTTGTTTTGCTTCAGGAGTCAACCTTCCATGTTTCGACAACAATTCGTACGAATAGTAATACGGTAGCGGGTTCTAGATACCAGTAATAATAATGATAAGAAAGAAGCAATATGAACAGGAATCAGCGCTGGCTGCTGATAATTGATAGGGGCCTTTTCCATCCATCATTTGTAATTAGTGCAACTAACCTCTTTCATTAATGTGTTTTAATCCAATTTTGGCATTGAAAAGCATGTAACTATTATATCTGTAAATATTAAATATATTTATATATTGTATACATCACCTTCTTAGTCTGTTTATTATGCCGTACCGGTGTGTAGTTGACGGATGTTTGTGTGCAAAGTGTATTTCTTTTTAATATTTTTGCTTTCCCAGAATGGAGTTTTTGAGTGAGTTGGTGACATTGTGGTCAATATATTTAGGATGAAGGGACTCAAAGTGGAGAATACTCAAATCTGGTGTGTAATATCAATGATATGTCTGCTACAAGGTTATGAAACAGTTTTACGAAATCTTTGTTTTTACTAATTATTATTTATGTATGAATACATAATTAGGCTACAAAGTATCTTGCATGTGATTGGTCGAATACAAATTCATGATGAATAAAAGGAGTGGATTTTTTTTTAAAGCTCCCATATATTTGCTTATAATATACAGCATCCATAAAACGATGTGATAAAGTTGGTCCTAAAGCTTGGGGCACCCAAATTTCTTATGTTTTTCTTAATACATGCAAATTAGGGATTAGTTCACCAATTTTTTACGCACATATAATTACACGTTTGGGCACATTCCGGTACTAAGTATATGTAAAGATTTCACTGAGATGAATATGCCAAGGTAAAGGAACAAAATGCACTGAAACGTAATTTCTTCAAAAACTGATAACTTCTTATCGGTTGACATCCAAATGTGCAGGGCTGCATACAACTCAAATTTTGTTATTCAAATATCTAAATAGATTTAATAGATTAAAAAAAAAAAAAATTCTCAGACCTACTAAGCTCCACCTTAAAATTGGCTACAGGGGGATGAGGGGTGCTTCACAAAGACTGAGATCGACTTAAAGTTGGACTTAAATATGGCAGGCTGTTCGTGCCATATTGTTTGCTCTCACCATGTACTGGCATTGGTCTTGTCAAGGGACGTATAAATAGACGATTTCACGGTTAGCACATTACTGCAATGACCCCGAATATCCACAGATCTTCAAAATATGAAGAGGTCCCACTTTGTACATTTTGAAATAATCACTCCTACAGCGATGGAGGTGCTATATAAATAGCCTTTGTTTCCCCTTTTCAAAGAATACTTCCACCTGTGTATCAAGGAGTGCACTGAAAGTGCATGAATGAATAATGATTACATAACTTTCATGAGCACGTATCCAGTAATTTGTCTCCGTGTATTTCAAAATTTGTTCTGCAATGACCTTTATCTGCTCATGCTCAGACTGCAACCGTGAACTGGCTTATTAGGTCTCACAACATTTTTTGATAGTTCATTATTGAAGTAGAAAATATTATCTAAGACTAAGTAATGGAGAGAGCAACCAGAGGCATTAATGACCTGCCATAGTTAAGTCCAACTAAAAGTCGATCTTAGTCAAGACAGAGGTATGTAACTTCCCCAATCTCAGCACATGATAACAAAAGAATTGCATTCTTTCGTAAATACCTCCACATTATCTTTCTTTTCCTGGTGATGCGACAGCACGTCTGACATAGCAACTTCTATGTTGGTATTTGTATGGTCTATTGTAAACAGGTGGTCAGCTCTGGTAAAGCTACATACCTAGGCTATGTCTCTTTGGGGGTGCACACTAGGGAGAGAGAGGGAGGGCTCCTGAGGAGGCACGGGGGCACAGTTCCTCCCCTGCCCCACACTTTTTCAAGTACCCCAAAGTGCCCCTTTAACTTTGTAAGAAGTGCCTCTATTATTTTGTAAAAGTGTCCCTTCCCCGTTTTACCTCTGATAAGTGCCCCGTTTCCTTCGACAATTAGTTCCCACTTTGCACTTTTCCATTCTCATAAATCCCCTTTTTAATCTCAGATGAGTGCCCCTTTTCACCATTAATAACTGCCCCTTTCCCTTTCTAATAAATGCTCGTTTTCCTTCTTATAAGTGCCCATTCCCTTCCCAAAATTACCCCTTTTCATCTCTGATAAGTGCCCTGTTAATTTTAACATAATGCCTCTTTTTCTTTTTGATAAGAGCCATATCCCCTTCTCATAAAATCCCCCTTTCACCTCCGATAATGCCCCTATTTAAATCTGATCGGAGCCCCTTTTCTTTCAACAAATGCACATTTTCTTTTACTATAAGTGCCCCTTTTCATATTTGTTCATTACCCCTTTTTAGGTGCGATGAAGTGCACCTTTTCACCTCTTATAATTTCCCTTTTTACAATGAAACATGCCCCTTTTCCTTATAATAAGGGACCTATCCCCTTTTCATAAATGCCCCTATCAAAATCTGATGGGTGCCCCTTTTCCGTCGACAAATGCCCATTTCCCATTCTTGATGATAAATGCCCTTTTTCATTCCTGCTAATGGTGCCTATTTTCACCTCTGATAATTGTACTTTGACACATGCTCCTTTTTTTCTCCAAAAAGTGTCTACTTTTCCTCTCATCACTAAGCTCCAGATTGCCGCTTCTTCTTGTAGTAATATCTTTCACACGCCTTCCCTTTGCTGAGGGTTTTTTTTTTTGCGGGGGGGGGGGATATAGTGATATTGTATAGGGAAAATTAGGCTTATTCTTGTAAGCAAATATTGATAGAGACAAGTATATATAAGCGTTTGTATTAAGAAGTATATAGTCCTACAAAATATTAGTATGGTCGGAGGAATTTAGAAAACGTTTTAAGAAACTGATTCTACTAATCCGGGCTATATAATTGGGCATGGGTTTTTAATTGGTACATTGACATTGGGTACGTCAAGACCATCTAGGTTAAACAACAATACAAACGTAATTTGAAAGGCGATCTATTTCCTTGTAACTATATTAGGTCATATTATTGTATGAAAACTATAATTGCGTATACAAAAATATCATTAATTTCTTATTTTCTAGCTTCCAAACGCCTTGGACATTACCCAAAATATATCATGACTATAGTATATTATCATGTCCTCTATAAAAAGAAAATTAGACCCTTGATAGTGGCAGAACATGGTTATATAGTTTCCTGCACTCTGATTGGTTAAAACTATTCCATTCGATGGACTTGTTCATAATAATTAATGGCCTGTACAGCCTGCCATATACGCATACGTGAGAAGCTCTCTATATACACTTGAAACCACTTGTACAGCACCCGCAACACCCGCGGCGTGCACGCCCCCACGTTTCTATAAATGTTATTACGTAATTCTCATATTTACAACATCCCTTGTAATCGTCGATCCTCCGGCCGAGACTCTGCCCAGCTCAGAGGCTTCCAGTAACAACGCGTGAAACTGAAAGTAACCTCGATTTCGCTAAATCAGCTGTTATTAGTGACAATTTGTGTAAGTACATTCTAGAGTCTAAAGTCAATCATTAGATCTACATTAACTCCGGGAAGCTCCAACCTGCCAACACCGGCGCGCAGCGTCGCGTCGGATGTTGGAGCTTCCCGGAGTTATCATTACATTAGTCTATGTAGACTCTAGTCTAGAATAGATCTACGTTTTGAGAATTTAAATGTATTTTCCCACCGTTCGTGCTTCATTCTGTTATGACTATGAGCAGAATAGCAAAGTCATTTGTCCGATTTGTCTGAAGCTAGACTTTACTTTAGACTCGATCGGACAACAAAGAGTCAAGGAGCGAGAGAGAATGAGGACGTTCTGATCGGAATGAATTATTAAATTTAAGCCAGCCAGGGCTGTCAACGTTGTCTTTGCCTGTGGGGAACTGTTTTGAGCTGGCGTACTTCGAGTCGGGCTAATTCGGACCAGGGGACAACTCGGCCCAGATGCAAAAACGGTCATTTTTTGCATGTTTAGCTTTAGGGTTAAGTTTAGGGTTAGGGTTAGGGTAAAATGACAAAAAATGACCGTTTATATTGCAGCTGGTCCGAGTTAGACCGGATCCTTCGTATAGGGGGGGGGGGGGGGGGTAGTGAGCACTAATTTTTTTTTTCCTTCTCAATACCCCCTGCCATACCCCTACCTCCACCCCCCTTTGAGCAAATTAAAATTGCATAGATATTTTTAAGTTGGTGCGGAGATTTTCATTTTTCATTATTCGGGAGATTCTACAAAATATAATTGTTTGTGGGAGAAGCTAGGCGTGTGGTGACGGGAGTCTCCCGCTACGAGCTGTTGGGAGAATGTGCGTGGTGGTGTGAGACTCGATCCTTAAAATGCGGGATTTAAGCCCACCAGACACTAGACTATACGATCTAGGTGATAAGGCCTATAGGTGCCAAAACATTGGTCAGTCGTCAGAAATCTTTCTTCTTTTTTTCTCCCTCTTTTGGCTGATATTTCTGTTTTGAATGCTTTATTACGGACTTTAATATGGTAATATTTTTTTTCTCTAAAAAACGGTTTTAAAAAAAATCTTTTTGAAAAGGCCTACTGTAAATTCCAAGATTTTGGGGTCAGTCATAAATTTCAAGGGACGTCACGTCATGCTTCCTAAAAAAAGGAATTGGAAATTAAAAGAAAAGGCTCAATCGGCTCGGCCTCAGGAATACCGATAGTAGTGACATCGGACCAGATCGATGGGGGCCCAGGTACGGGCCAGGTGTCTGGACACTTAACAAACATATTAAGACTTCACTGTTCATCAAATATAACTAAACCTCATGAATATTCGTCCTTTATAATATTGTCCGACGTAATTAAGTCTTCAAAGATTTTTATGAAATATTGCTTGTAAACTTCTTCAAATTGCTGCTTTAAAAAAGTTGTCCACATACACAACCTGTCCAGACACACAACATCTGTATATAATTATAAACCGTATACCAATGTTTTATGAGTGGATAGACAAATCTGTATTAAGTGTATTTAATCTTTATTCCAATCAATTGCTTCAATTGTTTTCTTTTGATGGTAGGATATATCCTGTGTGATAATGTCAAGACTAGAAAGATGGTCAGAAGGATGGGCAGAGGGCAGGACTTCATTTCACCGGACATATGTTCACAAGTATGTGGCTTGATTAAGTTGATTCCATCGTTTATTCATTATTTTGTCTGTTTTGAGCCAGAAGATATAGGCATTATACTTAAATACTTTAACTCAGTGTTATCAATTCTCTAATCTTATGCTTCTCAACTGACAATTTTAGTTTTTACTCTACTAAATGTTTTATGTTTGCACAAGATTTGGGGCTTTCTATTTGTCTTTAAAGATAATGGCCCAATTTTCTTGAAAGCATTCCAAGTTAAACATAGCTTGAATTAGTCAACTGATGTATGGAAAGCCAAGTATCAGCCTTTCCATTCCCTACAAATTACTTTTAAGTATTTTCTGGAAATAATTAATAGACAAAAATACTTTAGTCATTAAAAATTAAAATTAAATAATGTCATAGTTGCAAGTCTTTATATTTCCACGTACGGTAGTTACCGGTAAAGAATTTTAGAAGGTTGCAATGGATGAAAAGGTTGATATTTGGCACTCATATCACTGGAATAAATCTAGATGCATTCAGACAAGGATTAAACTTGGCTCAAAGTTAATTAGCTATATTGAGGATACTCATTTTTTTTAGTTAGACCCATCATGAGTTCAAATGCAATTAAGATAGCTGAATGTGTTAGACCAGGAAGCTGTAATGAATGGAGATCCCGTCCAAGAGGCCCCTTTGAAGTCATCCGTGGCACCGCGCGTCTTTTGTTTCCCCTACCGTAATCCCCTTAATCCCCCTCCAAAACCTTACAGCTCCCTAGTAGCACTAAGTCCTCCCTTTCCACACACAGCCCAGCCCAGCGAGCACGGCGGCTTTTGCTTTGCCGGCCCGTACTTTGGGTGAATAGTGGTGCTAACTTGACAACTTCTAGCCCTAAATCAATAAATGCGCAAACATATAACACAATTTCATTTAGTTCTTTAGGAAGATAAACCTTTGGACTACCTTCCTAGCTATGTACAAATTTCGGAAATTTTCGGAAAATGTCAATAATTAGATGAGAAAATCATGATTATGAAAATCTTTCATTCGCTCTAACTCATGATTTCCTTGGTCAATTTCGCTGGTTAAAATGGCCATGTCTTCAGTAGAGCTATCCGAGAACGGAAAACGCATTTGATGACTAATAGAAAGTTGCATTGGTCATAATGTTGTGAATTCTGCATTTTATATGTTATAGCTAAATACATCTTCCATGAACATGACTTAATTTGTCGGTGCCATGCATGGCTTCAAAGCCCGATGCTTGCATATTTTTTCAAACGAGTGAATAGAGAACTTAGGGAAGCAGATGGCGTTGCGTAACATTTCGTACTATTCGGAATGCCAGAGAGGGACTGTGCATTGATACGGACAGCTGTTGATGGAAATGATGGCTGGAGAGGGTTACATTTCTTTTTGTTAAGCCAGGTTAATCTTGAATAATTTTCCCTCGGAAAATTCTTTCGAGACGGTATCTCCATTCATTACAGCTTCCTGGTTAGACCAGCGTACAGCATAACTGTAGCTTAGGTCTATATCTCTTTTTGTTGTGTGCTTTGACTATCACATTTTCTCATTTCTCGACTTTGTTGAGCTTAGATATTAAATTTACGGTATAAATGATATGCCACAGATTTTGTAATGTTCAAAAAGATATAATCACCCTCTGTCTGTTGCCCAAGGCAATATAGTATACCTGGTAACTACATTTTTCAGAAAACAATTTTTTGCAAAAAAAAAATTACTTTCAGGTCACTGCTGGAGTTCCAGAGCAAACTTTTGGTGAAGAAGCCTAGTCGAGTGTTGGTGCCATTGTGTGGAAAAACATTGGATATGAGATGGTATGTACTATGGAAGGAAGGAGAAAAACGAAGAACCTACCTAGCAGCTAGTAATTTAAAATTGTAAAAGAATTTAGTTTTCAAGTAGCATCTTTGCTAGCTATGATTACCCAGTCATTGACAATTGAATATGTTTTGCTAAAAATTTGATAATAATTTCAATTTCAATACCTCTTCAATGCAGCTGAAAAGAGAAAAGAAGAGAAAATCAAACATGAGATATTTATTACATGTATGTGGATAGCTGATTATGCTTTTTTAAGATTCAAGTTCAAAATAATGTATGAAAATATGATTTTGATAATTTGATATATGCAAGTAACATCTATATTATCTTGAGAAGGAAAAATTACTAATAAGATATTAATCGGTAATGAATTCAGTGGAGTTTTAACAGTTTAAGATAGTAGAATAGTAATTAGTATGGTAACAAATAAAAGTAAAGATAAAATAGCTATTTTTACATTTTTATGCCTCCGCCACCGAAGGTGGTGCCGGAGGCATCATGTTTTCAGGTTGTCCGTCCGTACGTCCGTACGTCCGTCCGTACGTCTGTACGTCCGTCCGTACGTCCGTACGTCCGTCCCGTTTGACCGTTATCACAATATCTCAAGAACCATTTAAGATTTAAACTTAAGACTCGGGAATAGTATTTATCACCATAGGAAGACGATCTGATTAGATTTTGGAGTACGTAGGTCAAAGGTCACAGGTCACAGAGGTCAACTTATGAAATTCCTTGTATTGAGTTTGTTAGCGCGATATCTCAAGAACCATTTGAGATTTAAACTTCAAACTTAAGGATAGTATGTATCACCATAGGAAGACGATCTGATTAGATTTTGGAGCACGTATGTCAAAGGTCAAGGGTCACAGAGGTCAACTTATGAAATTCCATACATTGAGATTGTTATCATGATATCTCAAGAACCACTGGAGATTTAAACTTCAAACTTAGTGATAGTGTGTATCACTATAGGAAAACAATCTGATTACATTTTGGAGCACGTAGGTCAAAGGTCAAGGGTCATAGAGGTCAACTTATGAAATTCCATACATTGAGATTGTTATCATGATATCTCAAGAACCACTGGAGATGTAAAAACTTCAAACTTAAGGATAGTATGTATCACCATAGGAAGACGATCTGATTAGATTTTGGAGCACGTAGGTCAAAGGTCAAGGGTCACAGAGGTCAACTTATGAAATTCCATACATTGAGATTGTTATCATAATATCTCAAGAACCACTGGAGATTTAAACTTCAAACTTAATGATAGTGTGTATCACCATAGGAAGACAATCTGATTAGATTTTGGAGCACGTAGGTCAAAGGTCAAGGGTCACAGAGGTCAACTTATGAAATTCCATACATTGAGATCGTTATCGCGATATCTCAAGAACCACTGGAGAATTTTCACTTCAAACTTAATGATAGTATGTATCACCATATCATAATATCTCAAGAACCACTGGAGATTTAAACTTCAAACTTAATGATAGTGTGTATCACCATAGGAAGACAATCTGATTAGATTTTGGAGCACGTAGGTCAAAGGTCAAGGGTCACAGAGGTCAACTTATGAAATTCCATACATTGAGATTGTTATCATGATATCTCAAGAACCACTGGAGATTTAAACTCCAAACTTGTTTAAATTGCTCTATGGCGGAGGCATCATTTTCGACTGCGCGCAGTCAAAATTCCATCTAGTTTTAGTATGTTACGCATTCAGGTTGGGAGTAGGTAAGATATTTTATAGTGGAGTGATTTTTGTCAAAATTTTTGCATTTTCTAGGTTATACAAAGTTTTGGTATGGGGTCATGAATTTGGTTCAAATGAACATATTGGAAGCATGTATGCGATCCTACAATAATCAGTGATCGTTGTCGCTGTTGAAATCGAGTCTAAAGTGATAACATTTTAAATAATAAACTCTTTATGTTGTATAGCTCCCTCTCAAGGTCAAGATATTAATTTAGCTATAAAACAATGTGTTTTTATTAAAATTGACCGATTGGCTATTCCCGTTTGGAAGTTATATATCACGAGTGGATATTCTGAGATTTTCATGGTCGCAGCTACAATCGTATGGCTGTAGGCACTATTTGAAATTTATCAAAAATTACCTGGAGCACCGGTAAATTTTTATATTCTATTTTTCTCGAAAGCAGAAGTGTTTTAGGGGCTAAATTTCTAGTGCTTACAATACATCCACAGGGGGCATCCAAATATATCAAAATTGTAAAGAATCACTATCCAGCCAAGTTTCAAAATTTCCCCAAACTTTGTATTACCTTTAATTAAGGTTTGCTGAAGAAGGTCATGAGGTGGTTGGCGTAGAGGGTGTCCTCCAGGCTGTCATGGAATTCTTTCAAGAACAAGAGCTCCCCTACAAAGAGAGTGATGTCCCTGGGCTCAAGGGTGCAAAACTTTTTGAGGTTTGTCTGAGCTAGGCTTCTTACAATCTGATATATTTCATGATTCTTGGGCACAAGGATGCAACATTGCCTCAGGTTTTTAGGAATTTTGTAAAGTTTTTGTGGGCTAGCTTGCTCAAATCCTCAAATCTAAGGTAGAAAATGTTTAAGCCCTGAGTTGGACGATAGCACAATTACAACATGGTATGAGCTGCTGTTTCTTATCAATATCCTTGTTTTATTACCCCTCTTTTCCTTTTTTCTAGAATGAGGACAAGAAGATCAAAATATACCTGTGTGACTTCTTCCAATTCTCCAAGTAAGTGCAATTAGTGCATTCTATGTGTGGCATTGTTATGAATTTATCTATTTGTGACTTGTTACTGTTTTTCTCAATACATTTTGTAAGTGGTACTTTTCTATATATTTATATGACAGAGCTAATGAAAGATTAAGCATTATACAAACTGAACTGATATTGAATTGCACTGCCTCATATAATGTGTTTGAATGATTCAAATTTATTTATAAGTATCAGGAATGAAAACTACTCAATAACTGCACTCTAGCTAAAAAGTATGATCAAACTGTGTTTTGCATTTGTTCCTTGCAACAACGCAGAGATTTTGCAGGTCAGTTTGATGCCATTTGGGACAGAGGTTCTCTCGTTGCTATTGATCCCTCATTACGACAGCAGTGAGTACCAGTTCTACTTTGTCTTCTTCTTCTTCTTCTTCTTCTTCTTCTTCTTCTTCTTTTTCTTTTTTTTGTCCTTCTTATTTTTGTCTGTACTTCTTCTTGTTCTTGTCAGAAAGTTTTTTGTTTTTTTCTCGATGTTTTGTCCTATTTCTGAGTGTCTTCCACCCTCTCCATACAGAGCAGCAAAAAAGTAATAGCTCTAAAAGATATCTGGAAAATAAGAAAAGAGGTAGTTAAGTGAGAAAAACAACACAGAAAATATTAACAGTTGTCACAAGGAAATTCTATTTTCCTTTATTAATCTCACAGCTCTTATAAGTTCTAAAAGATCTCTGGAAAATAAGAGAAGAGCACAGGTAAGAAAAACAACACAGAAATATTAACAGTTTTCACAAGAAAAATCTACCTTTTCTATATTAATCCCACGATGATAAACTAAAGCTTGATTAATTCCTACATTACTATCCTCAGGTACACAGACCTCCTTTTGTCGGTACTATCTCCAGGTGGACGAATTCTAAATGAGGTGTTTGAGTACAACCCAGAAGAAAGGGAACCAAAAGGTGAAAAATCTATGGTCATTTCTATTTCTCTTTGGCCCCATTCAGCCCATAGGGTCACTCCCAACATGACTGGCTGCCCACCCACCTCCAGAAAAAGCGTGGAAAGGGTGTCTTTTCCAGCTATACGGCGGCGTCGACGTTTTCCTTAAAAAGGGGTGTTGTTTAAGCACTGATCGCACAAAAAAACAAAAAAGATACCTTTTCAGGATCACAGGTTTCAACGTTTTCTTAAAAAAGGGTCATTTCAGAAAAGGTGCTATACGCCATTAGGGTCCATTTCAGATGTTGATGGACACGGGCAGGTAGCATTTGTGTATGCAGGCCTGATAAAAACCCGATTTAAATCGGTTTCCCGATTTTTTTTATTTTTCCCGATTTTTTCCCGATTTTTTTTTTCTTCCCGATTTTATCCTGATTTTCCCGATTTCCCTCTTATTATCTCTATTCTTCCCTATTTTTCCCCCAATTTTCCCCCCAATTTTCCTAAGTTTGTCTCAATTTTCTTACTCGAAAGGGGGGAATGTTGTTAGATGCCATTTTTTCCCCGCGAATCGTCTTCTTTTTTTTTTACTCAAGGGGGGCGTGGTTGAGGGGAAAACAAAAAACCTATTTTTTTTTTAGTGCTCACTATCACCCCTGTGTATGAGAGTGACCCCCCTGGGCATTTCAGCCTGGGGTTTAATCTGGTAAGGGGTCAATTTACCACCCCCCCCCCCCTTTCATCTAAGGGGTAGTCCAAAGATGTTCCAGATGCAAAATATTTTGTGTACATTGACGTTAGTGCTCGCCTGTTCATTTTATTTTGCTTGTGTTTTTTTAGAAAATTGCTTCTTTACTACTTCATTTTTTTTTTTAATTTTTAAAACATGTTTATAGTTTTTTTCATTGAAAATGAAATACTGTATAATGTTCAGTGTTTTGCCAGTCTCTTTAGAAGCTAAGTCAACATTAGTTTGTTTATACCTTATGAAAGAATAACAGTGTTGAAATCTTGTTCATCTTAAATCATTTGTATCCAATTTTCTCACAGGTCCTCCACACTGTGTACCTGAGGAAGTTATACAGAAGTTATTTGGTGAGAATTTTCTTTTATTTATACAAATTTTGAAGGGAAAATGTTGTTATGTCTTTTATTTTTCAGCATTCAGCAAGTGGAATATACATGTATTGATTAAAAATCTGCTAAAATCTTGGATTTTTTTTGTGGAAATCCCTTTGCATTATGCTGATCATGAATACATTAAGAAATTAAATTTACTCTTGAATCCCATTAGAGAAATGGATATCAGATGAATCACAATTAACCTTGAGATACAATAACATGTAAGCTTTAAAAGGAAACCTTACCCCAAGAAATAGCTTTACTCTGAAAGATTTATTGTATTCTTGCCAATAAATCAACAAAATTCCCCACCAAAGTTTATAAGAGAGGTTTAAAGTAAGAATAATGTACAGTTTCTCAGTACAACATTGACATCCCCACCTTCTTTATAATATGACTTACTATGTAAAGTTGATTATCAAGTAAATGTATTGAAATTTATAGATGCTTCCTTATCAGGAAGTGTGTGTGGTGATGAAGTATTTTATTCACCTGCTATTATCCTTCGAACTACAATTGCCAAAATGCAAATTGCATAAATAAATTGGTGCTCTTCTGGGGTGAATGTTTTGCATAAATGAAATAGATTTTCAACTGCTATATTTTAGTATTTTTAAAGAAATTAGTTACAGTTGTTCCCCTGTTATATATTGTTCACCTAATATAATTTTTACCTCCTCAGCTATGACTTCTGTCATTAAAAAAAGTTAAGGTTTTGTTATTAAATTTAAAATTCTTCCCAACTAAAGCTTGGTGCCATGATACATGTTTAAGTTTGGTTGGTACCTCACATTCTCAAGAAAATGGCTGCGCCCATGTCATGCTAATAGGCATTACATCATGCCAAGAATATCTTCATTTATATATCTTTTGTACTTTTTTGTAAGGAATATTGTACATCAAAGAGCAGGAGTATGCATCTCATTTTTCACCAAACCTTCACTTATTGTTTGGAGCGAGGGTTCCTTTAAACTTTAATGACAATCGGGATTTGGGTTGTCTTCCCTAGTTTCTATGCTCTGACAATCGTCAGGATTGTTCAAGAGTTCTTGTAAAAGTTATGTTTTAATTATGTAGTTTTCTAGTCAAGTGTATGGTTCACCTTTGTCAAGGAAACGGTACTACACGAGTAGTGTGATTTCACCAAGTATTTCAATATATATTTTAAAATGTCAGAGCCTTGGGGGGGGGTGGTGTTAATTATTTGGTTGAGTATAGCATGTGAATGTAGTACCTACAAATATCTTCCTCTTCTCGTAATCATTCATTTCTATTGTCTTTAAAATCTCTTTGTGTAATTGTCTTGTATTGTTTTGTGTATTTGTGAATTCCATTTAATCTTTCTCTACCCTTTCTTTCATTCTATCATTCCAAATTCTTCCTTTTGACTCCCATCATTCTAGGAGAGAAGTTTACCATAGAGGTACTAGGTGACAATGATCACTTGGAAGGAAATGAAAGATTCAGAGAGCGTGGACTTACATGGATGAGGCAAAAGATTCACTTTATGGTCCTCAAGTAGCTCTGTCATTGTGTTCTAAGACTGCCTTCAGACCCAAGACTACTTGTACAGGCCTGAAGCCCAGAATTAGAGACAGAATTTTCTATGGGACATACATATAGCAACAATCTCAAATTGGAGTATTTACTGATTTCTTTTTCTTTTCTTTTCTTTCTTCTCATCATCCATATTTTTCCGGCCTTCCATTGCCTCTTCAATTGCTACTGCTTCCATCTCACATTGCAGGAGAAAGATTTTCCATCCAGCTTTTGGCAAATGTTGATATCCTGGAGCATAACCAGTTTTTCAAAGACCTCGGACTTACATGGACAAAGCAAAACATTCGCATCATGACCCTCCAGTAACATCTCATTGCAGGATTCAATCACTGAACCAGAGAGTAAATCGGGAACATCATATCTTTGATATAATAGTTATTCCTGTCATATTATTTATATTCATATTATATATTCATATTCATAGTCATATTATTCATTTTTCTCTTTTTATTTCTTTATTTGCCCTCTTCCCCATTTTATATAACGCAAAATCAGGGACTTACATGATTTGTTAACGATTGCCGTTTTTGTTGCAAGAAATTAGTATAGATTGCAAAAGTTCAATGTTTTTATTCAATAATTTCAAGGCATCTGGAATGCTCAAAAGGTTGTGGTTTTTACAGGACTCCTTCCTTGAGTAACTTTTTGAACTTTAAGCTCATGAGTGAATCTTTGAGGGATCATGTGTACAGAATGGCCTTTGTTGAGTCAAGCCTTGGTAATGCTCAGTGGCTGGCAATGTTAATCAGAAACATGTCTGAACTAGTCAATTAAGAATTAACCCCTCCTAGAGACTGTGACATATGTAAAGAAAAAGATTAAATCTGGGCACTTAACAAAAGATATACCTTTAGTACTTTACTGGTATTTTACCCTGGCCATGGGATTTATTAAAGCAGAGAATTTTTGCACCATCTCCACTATTTTGAGCATTCCTACCATGTGGTCATTAGGAGGGCACTTGGCCACTATGATCCTATATTCCTTACGAAAATGTACAAGAGATATATATTTATATATATATAAATAAAGATATTCTTGGCATGATGTGATGCCTTTTAGCACGACATGGGCACAGCCATTTTCTTGAGAATGTGACATACCAGTTGAAGTTGTACTTGTACCATGCACCAAACTTTTGTTAAAAAGATTTTTTGAATTAATAACAATAACGCCTAATTGGGTATGCAGATTTATATATCTATGCAGTCTTAACAACTAAATTATTCATACCCCTTGTAAAATTGATGTTTTTTGTCGAAAGATGCCATTCATGGACTGGTTAAATGAGGGCCTTTGTTGTATTCTTTTAGATGTAAGCTTTAAAATGTCACATTCTCAAGAAACATAAATCGGGACAATCAAATTGTTCACATACTTAAAAACTTTTTTAAAAAGTGGTAAGGTTATGAATAATTTACCGGTAGTTGTTTTCTACATCTTTCTTCAACTTCCACATTCTTTCTGCTTCTATCAATATCTATCCAATCCTTTATCCTAGGAGAGAAATATTCTATTGAGCTATTGGCCGGTGACGAGGGAGTGGGCTGTTTGAGTAAGACTCGCATTATTATCCTCAAATAGCCTTTGCATGCATCAGAACCGGACCAGTGTGATCAGGGTGTAGGAAGTGCTGTGGCAGATTCAGGTGGTGGGGGAACAGGAAAGCGTCAAAAAACACAAATTGAAATTAAAAAGTGTCAAAAATATCCATTGACTATACCTCAAAACTAGAAAATACAAATCTGTATTGTGCCTATGCCATTTAAAAACGCATCATTCATCATTCATCATTAAGGTGAACTAGCATAACCTGGCATCATTATCCTCAATAGCCTTAGCATGCTTCAGTACAGGACCAGCTTATTACTGTGTAGGGAAGTGCTGTGGTGGATTCAGGTTGTGGGGGCACAGGTATGGAATGTAGAACTTATGATGCTTATTATTTTCTATGAATGTAATTTGTGCACATTTCAAGTTACCATTTTGGATTTGTAATCATCAGTCATGAATATCTTAAAAACGCATAGTAGTGGGCTGGGCTTTCATAGGGAAGTGTTTAACTGGTGTTGGAAATCACCAGGATTAGCCTTCAGTTTATGATCAACGGGATTTAATTATGTAATGCTCTGCATTTTCCATCCATTCCCCTATATTGGTAAAGCCATTACATTACATTTCCCTCACCGAAAGACTATCTGAGAGAATTATGGCCGTAAGGAGTATAATATACACCCATCAATGGTATTTCCACCAAGTCTGGTGTCTGGAATTTATGACCTTCTGATGACCATCTCCCTAAAAAGTATTGTAATTGGTATCTAATTATGAAAAAAAAGATTCATAAACTTCATAAGATGTGATAGATTTTAGTGTACAAGAAGTCATTGACTATCAGTAGATGTATAAAATGATATTAAGAAAATGAATTTATATGTAGTTATCATAGTACTTTTTAGGGTAATTATTTTTTATATTCATAAATGAACATAATAAGTTGTATTTTTATGATTAAAATGATAGATCTTTACAAAAATTGATTGTCTGTATTTTGTATAGCTTGAAAGGAAAATTTGATGTTGGAAAAGAGGGGGAAAGAGAGCAAGAAGAACATGGGAGAGAGAGAGAGGGGAGAGGAAGATCAAGAAAGGAATTAAGAGAGATTGGGATTAGGCTAGAGAGACGGAGAGAGAAAGTGTGGGGGGGGGTTAAGAGAAAGTTAGGGAGAGCAGGGACCTGTGAATTGTAAAAAATTGTAATGCATGTATGTACAATCCCTGATGGGAGAGAGAGAACTTGGGAGATATGAATTTGATATGTACGAAAGATATAGATTATTCACTTAATATTGAAAGATGGTACACAAAACAACATGTGAGATTAATGAAGAGTTTATTCTTAAATTTTCCCAACCGTCTTTCCATGAAAATAAGACATGAAACGGGCTTTTTAAAATCTTTCAATACTTAAATGTTTGGATGGTATATAGAGCCAATTCACTGCTTTGTGATGATTTACATTCATCTAAAAATTTAATTAAACTATAATAATATAGGAGGGACAATTTTGGAATCGATCAGATTAGTTGTCCCAATTTTTATCATCAATTATTGTGGTCTGTTTTAAACAGGGGAAGGCTCGTACGCAGGGGGGGGGGGGGGGGTTAACCCCCCCCTTGAGTTTTTTTATGTGTATGTTTTGTGTATGATTTTTGTTAAGACTCCCCCCTTTTGATTTTTGTTTTTTTTTTTGTAATAAAAAAGTGTCCTCTTACCCCCCCCCCCCCCCCCCCCCCCCCACTGAGCGACTTTTCGGCTGGCTTAGTTGGTGCGATTTTTTTTTACTCCCCCCCCCCCAAAAAAAAGTGTCCGCTTACCCCCCCCCCCCCCCCCCCCCCCCCCCGCCCCCCCCCCCCCCCCCCCCCCCTGCTGTACAATTAAAGGTATACCCCCGCCTCCCGGAAAGGCGAGAGAGAGAGAGAGAGAGGGGGGGGCGGGTGAAGAGAAAGTTAGAAGATCGAGAGAGCAGGGACCTGTGAATTATAAAATTAATAATATATACAGTCCCTGGTTAAAACTGAGATCCATTAAAACTCCTTTAACGAAACAAGAAAATTCTCCCTTGAAAGGATTTTTCGAGGGATTTTTTTTAAGGGATTTTTCTAAGTGACGCCGCCTTAAGTTATGATAAAACATCGATAATTCTCGGTTTTGTTTTTTCTTGGACGCACTGTATATGACAGTCATTTTTAAAATTCTAAACATAGTAAGCAATTGGGGCGTATAGGAATGCTGGAGAGAGAGAGAGAGAGAGAGAAAGAGAGAGAGTAAGAGAGAGAGAGGGGGAGGGAGAGAGAGAGAGAGGGAGGGAAAGAGAGAGAGAGAGAGAGAGAGAGAGCTCGTACGTACAGACACCATCAAAAGGAAAACAAAAAGAACAAGAAGTAAAGGAAAGAAAAAAATCCAAGGGGGTAAAGAAATTTTGAATAATTAGTCAGATTTCTGATATTTTCTTTCCTTTAACTTGGTTAATCAGCTAGGTTTTATATATTTCTTTTTATTTTATGTTGGTGAAATATAGTTAGGCCTACGGTGAGCCCCAAAAAGCAATAATAACTGCCTATACCGGGGCTTCCTTTGCTGACATCAATGGTTAAAAATTTGAAGGAAAAAAGGGGAATGAAATTGGGATTTTCAATTACTTTGTTTATTCATTTATTGATTATATTATCGGTAACATATCAGACTTGAGAAAGCGAAAGTTGAGCAAATATTTTTTTGGGAGAAGGATGATAAAGATCCCTTGGCCCGATAGAAATTGGGAACATCGAGCATATCAAGAAGAAATAGGAAACTGATGTAAGTTAAATTTATTGGCAGATGAGATTTTTTGGACATTTTGGTGAACATTATGTGACAGGCCAAGCTCGAAAGGAAAGGGGAAACTGTTGCAATAGCTAGGCTAGGCTATATAGACGAAGGAAAGGAATTATCTGGAGGGATACTGAACACAAAAAGAGATGAGACAGGAGAAGGGGGAGGGGGTGGTTAGCATTTTTTGGGGGGAGGCCCTCGAAAATTGGGTGGATATTGATTCTTTACAATTTTGATTAATTTGGATGCCCCTGTGGATATATCACAAGCACTAGAAACTTTAGCCCCTAAAACACTTCTGCTTTCGAGAAAAGGCTTGAATATAAAAATTTACCGGTGCTCCTGGTAAATTTTTATGAATTTCAAATAGCGCCTATGGCCGTAAAATGTTAGCTGCGACCATGACAATCTCAGAATATGTAGTTGTGATATACATTTCCAAAGGGAATAGCTAATTGGTCGATTTTTAGTCAAAAAACATTGTTTTATAGCTTAATTAATATCTTGACCTTGAGAGGGAGCTAACAACTTAAAGGGTTTATTATTTACAATTTCATAACTTTAGACTCGATTTCAACCGCGTCAACGATCACTGAATGTTGTCGGATCGCATATGCTTCCAATATGTTCATTTGAACCAAATTCATGACCCCATGCCAAAACTTTGTAATACCTTTAACATCTTATTTTTAGGATAAAGATTTGAATCGGTTAATTGTCTTTCTTCTTTCTCTTATTCTTTTGTTTGTCTGCTTCCCCTAATTTCTTCCTCTGCCTTTACTTCTTCTTCTCTTTCTTTTTTTGAAAAAAAAGGATATATATCTGTACATCTAGTTTCTTGCCGATAACTATGATTAACATATATACATGATATTGCAAGTTTGCAACATCCATCAGTAAAATGAGATTTTGAGTGTGAAAATCGGGTAATACAGTCTCCAGCAATATAAGTGTAAAGCGTTGGTGGTATAGTGGTCAACATAATTCCAAGCAATTGACCCGGGATCGATTCCCGGCTAACGCAAGTATTTTTGCACTTAAACAAGAAACGAAATATTATATTACCTGCTTGGGCGCTTTCATGGTGTAGAAAAAAATTAATAAATAATAATAGATTTCAGTTTACAGTTTTCAAATAACACATGTTTGGCACTTTGGCGAGGAATTTAGTAGGATCTACCAGAAAATGTCGATTTATATGACGAAATAACGAGAATGAAGATACCCCTTTAAAACATAAGATTAACTCTTCATTAATCTCACGTTAATTTGTGTACCATCTTTCAATATTAAGTGATTAATCATTAATCTATATCTTTCATACATAACGAGCCTATCAATTTCACATTTCCCCAAGTTCTCTCTCTCTCTATCCCCTCGCCTGAGCTCTCCAAACCATGCAGGGACTGTACAAACAGGTTTTTACTAAATTTTACAATTTACAGGATCCTGCTTTCACTTCTAACTTTTCCTTCACCCTCTCTCTCTCTCTCTCTCTCTCTCTCTCTCTTTCTCTAGCCTTTCCCATCTTTCTTGATCTTCCCCTTATCTCTCTCTCTCTCTCTCTCTCTCTCCTGTTCTCCTTGCTCTCTCTTCTCTCTCTCTTTCTCCCTCTTTTTTAACATTACATTTTTCCTTTCAAGGTATACAAAGAACAGACAATACATATTTGTAAAGATCAATCATTTTAATCATAAAAATACAGTGTATATTGACATTTATGTATATAAAAAACAATTACCCCAAATAGTACTATGATAACTACATATCACTTTATACATCTACTGATAGTCAATGACTTCTTGCACACTAAAATTTATCACAAATTTCATGATTTTTTCTTTCATAATTAGATACCAATTGTTCTCATTAAAGGTATTACAAAGTTTTGGTATGGGGTCATGAATTTGGTTCAAATTAACATATTGGAAGCATATGCGTTCCTACAATATACATTGATCGTTGTCGCGGTTGAAATCGAGTCTAAAGTTATGAAATTATAAATAATAAACTGTTCATGTTGTATAGCTCCCTCTCAAGGTCAAGATATTAATTTAGCTATGAAACAATGTTTCTTGACTGAAATCGACCGATTAGCTATTCCCGTTTGGAAATTATATATCCCAACTACACATTCTGAGATTTTCACGGTCGCAGCTACGAGTGTTCGGCCATAGGCGCTATTTGAAATTTATCAAAATTTACCGGGAGCACCGGTAAATTTTTATATTCAATTTTTCTCGAAAACAGAAGGGTTTTAGGGGCTAATTTTTTTAGTGCTTATAATACATCCAGAGGGGCATCCAAATATATCAAAATTGTAAAGATTCACTATCCACCCAATTTTCAAAATTTCCCAAAACTTTGTATTACCTTTAAAGGGAGGTGGTCTTCAGATTTGCTGACACCAGACTTGGTGGAAATACCATTGATGGGTGTATATTATACCCCTTACAGCCATTATTCTCTCAGATAGTCTTTCGGTGAGGGAAATGTAATGTAAAGGCTTTACCATATGGGGGATAGGTGGAAAATGCAGAGCATTACATAATTAAGGCCAGGTGATCATAAAACTGAAGGCTAATCCTGGTGATTGACAACACCTGTTATTGGGTAAACACCTGAGTGGTGTTGAATTCCCTATGAGAACCCACTACTATGCTTCTTTAACATATTCGTGACTGAAAACATGATTACAAATCCAAAATGGTAACTTAATTGAAATGTGCACAGTTTACATTCATAGAAAATAACAAGCATCATAAGTTATACTTTACATACCCCCCCCCCCCCCCACAACCCGAATCTGCCTCAGCACTTCCCTACACACTAATAAGCTGGTCCTGTACTGAAGCATGCATGCAAAGGCTAATGAGGATAATGATACCAGTTATGCTAGTTCACTTAAATGATGAAATTCAGCCTTTTCTTGATTGTTGCATTTAAATGACATAAGCACAATACTTTATTTTTGAGGTAGTCATTGGATATTTTGACACTTTCTTGTTCCCCCACCACCTGAATCAGCGACAGCATTTCCTACACCCTGATCACACTGGTCTGGTACTGATGCATGCAAAGGCTATTTGAGGATAATATATTGCGAATCTTTCTCAAACGGGTCACTCCCTCGTCACCGGCCAATAGCTCAATAGAATATTTCTCTCCTAGAAAAGAGGATTGGATAGATATTGATAGAGGCAGAAAGAATGTAGGCAGAAAGAATGAATAATTTAGTTGTTAAGACTGTATAAGATATACAGTTAACTCTGCACAAGTTGTTATTGTTATTAATTTTAAAAGTCTTTCCAACTAAAGCTTGGTGCATGATACAAGTACAACTTCAACTGGTAATAGTATGTCACATTTTCAAGAAAATGGCTGCGCCCATGTCATATAAGGCATCACATCATGTCAAGAATATATTCATTTATATATCTCTTGTAAATTTCCGTAAGGGATATAGGATGATAAAGCCATACATTGTGATCATAGTTGCCAAGTGCCCTCCGAAAGACCACATGGTAGGAATACTCAACATATAGTGGAGATGATGCAAAAATTGTCTGCTTGAATCAATCCCATGACCAGTCACCAGGGTAATAATACCACAAAGTGCTACATCTTTTGTTAAGTGCCCTTTAAATCCAGATTTAATCTTTTTCCTCACACATGTCACATATTCTCTAGGAGGGGTTCTTAATTGGCTAGTTCAGACATGTTTCTGAATTTACATAATTGTCAGCCACTGAGCATACCAAGGCTTGACTTAACAAACAGCCATTCTGTACACATGGACCCTTAAAGATTCACTCCTGAACTTAAAGTTCAAGAGGTAATTACTCAAGGAAGGAATACTGTAAAACCACAATCTTTTGAGAAATCCAAATGCCTTGAAATTATTGAATAAAAACATTGAACTTTTGCAATCCATACTAATTTCTTGCAGCAAAAATTGCAATCGTTAACGAATCACATACGTTCCTGATTTTGCATTATTTAATATGGGGAAGTGGGCAAACAAAATTTAAAAAATTAAAAAATGAATACTATGAATATGAATATGTAATATCAATATCATTAATATGACAGGAATAACTATCATATCTAAGATGATGTTTCCAGATTTACTCACTGGCTCCCTGAGTGATGAATCCTGCAATGAGATGATGAAGTTACTGGGGGGTCATGATGCGAATCTTTTGCTTTATCCATGTTAGCCCGACATCTTTGAAATACGGGACATCCTCCAAGATATCAACATTTACCAAAAGCTGGATGGAAAATCGCTCTCCTGCAATTTGAGATGGAAGCAGTAGCAATGGAAGGCCAGAAAAATATGGATGAGAAGAAAGAAAAAATGGAAATTGGTAACTAATACAAAATTGAGATTGTTGCTATATTCATGTCCGATAGAAAATCCTGTGTCTAATTTTGGGCTTCAGGTAGTCTGAGATCCGAAGACAGTCTTGGAACACAATGACGGAGCTACTTGAGGACCATAAAGCGAATCTTTTGTCTCATCCATGTTAGTCCACGCTCTCTGTATTTTACATTCCCTTCCAAGTGATCATAGTCATGTAGCACCTCTGTGGTAAACTTCTCTCCTGGAACAATGGGAGGCAAAAGAAATAATTTGAAATGACAGAATAAAAGAAAGGGTAGAGAAAGATGAAAAGGTATTCACAAATACACAAAAACGATACAAAAACAACACAAAGAGACATTAAAGATACTGGTAATAGAAATGAATGAATACAAGGTGAGGAAGATATTTGTAGGTACTACATTCACAAGCTACACTCAACCAAATATGTAACACCCCCCCCCCCCCCTCACAAGGATATGAAATTTAAAAATAAAATTACATTGAATTACTTGGTGAAATCACACCACCTTTACTTTTTTAATGACGGATATTATAGCTGAGAAGGTAAAAATTATATTAGGTAAGAATATATAACAGGGGACCAACTGTAACTCATTTATTAAAAAATACTAAAATATAACAGTTGAAAAATCTATTTCATTTATACAAAACCTTCACCCCAGAAGGGCACCAATTCATTCATGCAATTTGCATTTTGGCAATTTTAGTACGCAGGATAATAGTAGGTGATTGAAATACTTCATCACCACAAACACCTGTGAAGGAAGCATCAAAAAATTTAAATACATTTACTTGATAAACAACCTCGAATAGTACGTCACATTATAATGAAAGTGGCAATATCCATGTTGTACTGAGAAACTGCACATTATTCTTTCATCAACTTTGGTGGAGAATCTTGTTGATTTATTGGCAAGAATACAATATATCTCTCAGAATAAGTAAAGTTATTTCTTGGGGTGAGGCCGTTTCCTTTAAAGCTTACATTTTATCGTATCTCAAGTTGTATTGTAAATCATGTTATATTCATTTGTCTATTGGATTTTAAGAGTAAATTTAATGTCTTCATGTATACAGGATCAGCATAATGCAAAGGGATAAGCACAAGAAATTCCAAGATTTTAGCAGATTTTTAAACAATATATTCCACTTGCTGAATGCTGAAAAATAAAAGACATAAAAAGTGTTTTCCCTACAAAATTTGTATAAATAAAAAAATTCTCACCAAAAAACTTCTGTATATCTTCCTCAGGTACAGATTCAGGAGGACCTGTAAGAAAATTGGATACAAATGATTATGACGAACAAGATTCCAATACTGCTATTCTTTCATAAGGTGCAAACAAAATGTTGTTGACTTTGCTTCTAAACAGACTGGCAAAACACTGAAATTCATTCAGTATTTCATTTTCAATCAAATATCTATAAACATGTACAAAAAGAGACACCAAATTTGAATAAATTCTAAGTAGTAAAGAAAGAGCAATTTTCTTTAAAAAATACAAAAGCAAAACAAAAATGAACAGGCAAGCACTTACGTCAATGTACACAAAATAATTTTGCATCTGGAACATATTTGGACTACCCCTTTGATGAAAATTGGGGGGGGGGGGTGGTAAATTGACCCCTTACCAGTGGAAACCCCAGGCTGAACGGGGCTCAAGAGAAATAGAAATGACCATAGATTTCTCACCTTTTGGTTCCCTTTCTTCTGGGTTGTACTCAAACACCTCATTAAGAATTCGTCCACCTGGAGATAGTACCGACAGAAGGACGTCTGTGTACCTGAGGATAGTAATATATGAATTAATCAAGCTTTAGTTTGTCATCGTGAGATTAATATAGGAAAAGTAGATTTTTCTTGTGAAAGCTGTTATTAATATTTCTGGGTTGTTTTTCTCACCTGAGCTCTTTTCTTTTTTTCCAGATATCTTTCAGAGCTAATCAGATCTATTACTTTTTGCTGCTCTGTATGGAGATGGTGGAAGAAGACATTCAGAAATATGACATACATCCAAAAACGGGAATTCTTGTCACCGTTCTTTAATTGAAAAGATTTAAAAGGATGACAAGTATAAGAACACGACATGGTTTCTGACAAGAACAAGAAGAGGAAGTACAGAAAAAATATGAGGAAGGATAAGAAAACGAGAAAGAAGAAGAAAAAGAAGAAGAAAGAGGAGAAGACGGAGAAAAGGAAGAAGAAGAAGAAGAAGAAGAAGAAGAAGACGAAGAAGAACTGGTACTCACTGTTTTCGCAATGAGGGATCAATAGCAACAAGAGCACCTCTGTCCCAAATGGCATCAAACTGACCTGCAATATCTCTGCGTTGTTACAAGGAACAAATACAAAACACAGTTTAATCATACTTTTTAGCAAGAGTGCAATAAATGAGTAGTTTTCATTCCTCATACTTATAAATATCTTTGAATCATTCAAACACATTATATGAGGCAGTGCAATTCAATATCAGTTCAGTTTGTAAAATGCTTTATCTTTCATCAGCCCTGCCATATAAATATATAGAAAAGTACCACTTACACAATTTATTGAGGAAAACAGTCTCAACTCACAAATAGATGAATTCATAACAATGCCACACATATAATCTAATAATTGCACTTACTTAGAGAATTGGAAGAAGTCACACAGGTATATTTTGATCTTCTTGTCCTCATTCTGGAAAAAAAGAAGAAGGGTAACAAGGATATCAAATGATTGAAGATATGAAACAGCAGCTCATATGGAAATCCACTACAAATGTGCATACCGGTACAGTAACTGCAGTAATTATCATGAAATATATCAGATTGTAAGAAGCCTAGCTCAGACAAACCTCAAAAAGTTTTGCACCCTTGAGCCCAGGGACATCACTCTCTTTGTATGGGAGCTCTTGTTCTTGAAAGAATTCCATGACAGCCTGGAGCACCCCCTCTACGCCGACTACCTCATGACCTTCATCAGCAAGCCTTAATTAACAGGAAAGATTAAAATAGTTGCCTTAAAATGCAAAAATGTTCACAAAAGTCACTCCACTATGAAATATCTTAACTACTCCCACCCTAAATGTGTAACATACTAAAAATAGCTATGTTGTCTTTACTTTTATTTGTTACCACACCAATAACTATTCTACTATCTTAAATTGTTAAAACTCCATCGAATTCATGACTAATTGATATCTTATTAGTAGTTTTTTGATGGTTCGTTTTTTCATTTCCTGTAACCAAATCATTTTACATTACAATGACCAAAAACAATGTCAAAGATATTTCAATGCTCACTTCTGTTATTTCATTACCAGGGGCGGATCCAGGAATTTCCCAGAGAGGGGGGGGGGGGGGGGGGGCACACAGGGGATAAGAGGACATATATATATATTTTTTGTTGGTCCCAAAAAAATCGCAATGACTCAGCCAGCCGCTAAATAAGCGAGGGGGGGGGGGGGGGGGGGGGGGGTAAGAGCACATTTTTTTTTTGTCCCCAAAAAATCGCAACGACTCAGCCAGCCGCTGAATAAGGGGGGGGGGTGTAAGAGCACATTTTTTTTTGGGGGGGGGGGGCTGGGGGGGCATGTTCCTGTTTGTCAGTACATTTTTGGCGAATTTGGGGCTGATTTAGACTTTTTGGGTGGCCGGGGGGCACATGCCCCCTGTGCCCCCCCCCCCCTGGATCTGCCACTGATTACGTTTATTATTGTTTGTCATTGTTTATATTATGTGAAAAGAAATGAAAAATAACTTCGCTCTGTATAGAGCTACTACTTACTTACTTACTTTCCTTCTCAAAATATTATAGATGTTACTTGCACATATCAAATTATCAAAATCATACTTTCATACATTATTCTGAACTTGAATCTTAAAAAGTATAATCAGCTATCCACATAATGAATATCTCATGTTTGATCTCCTTTTCTTTTTTCAGCTGCATTGAAAAGGTATCGAAATTGAAAATGATTATCAAATTTGTAGTAAAACATATTCAATTGTGAACGACTATGTAATCATGGCTAGCAAAGATGCTACTTGAAAATTAAAGTCTTTTACAATTTCAAATCACTGTTTAATAGGTAGGTTCTTCTTTTTTCTCCTTCCATAGTACATACCATTTCATGTCCAATGTTTTACCGCACAATGGCACCAACACTCGACTAGGCTTCTTCACCAAAAGTTTGCTCTGGAACTCCAGCAGTGACCTGAAATTAATTTTTGTTGTTGCAAAACATCATTTTCTGAACAGTGTAGTCACCATGCAGGTATACTAGATTGGCTTGGGCAATTGTAGATAGAGGGTGATTATTTATTTTTGAACATTGCAAAATCTGTGGCATATCATAAGTACCGTAAATTTAATATCCAAGCTCAACTAAGTGGAGAAATGAGAAAATGTGATAGTCAAAGCACACAACAAAAAGAGATATAGACCTACAAGCTACAGTTATGATATACGTGCGTTGTCTGTAGGTCCATGATCTAAGTTATCTTAATTGCGTTTGAACTCAGGGTGGGTTTAACTCAGAAAAGAAAAAATGAATCCTCAATAGCTAATTAACAAACTTTAAGCCAAGTTTAATCCTCGCCAAAGTGCATCTAGAATTAGTCCATTGATTTATGAAGTGCCTAATGTCAACCTTTTTATCCATTGCAACCTGCTAACATTCTTTAACTATGTGGAAATACAAAGAATTAACTATGACATTTTTAATTCTAATCTTTAATTACAAAATTATTTTTGTTTATTATTTCCAGAAAAATACTTGAAATAATTTGTAGGGAATGGAAAGGCTGATATTTGGCTTTCCATACATCAGTGGACTAATTTAAGCTACATTTAACTTGAAATGCTTTCAAGAAAAATGGGCCATTATCTTTAAAGACAAATAGAAAGCCCAAAATTTTGTGCAAATTAACATATAAACATTTAGTGAGAGTCAAAAATAAAATTGTCAGTTGAGAAACAGAAGAGCATTGATAACACTAAGCTAAAGTACATGAGTTAATACCCTTCTGACTCAAAATAATGAATAAACAGTGGAATCAACTTAATCGATCAAGCCACATACTTGTCAACAAATGTCCGGTGAAATGAAGTCCTGCCCGCTGCCCATCCTTCTGACCATCCTTCTAGTCTTGACATTATCAAACAGGATATATCCTACAATCAAAAGACAATTAACAATTGAAACAATTGATTGGAATAAAGATTAAATACAGATTTGTCTATCCACTCATAAAACATTGGTATATGGTATGGAAATATATACAGATGTTGTGTGTCTGGGAAGGTTGTGTATATGCAGACAGTTATCTTAAACCAGTAATTTGAAGAAGTTTACAAGCAATATTTCATAAAAATCTTTGAAGACTGAATTATGTTGGACAATATAATAAAGGACGAATATTCATGATGTTTAGTTATATTTGATGAACAGTGAAGTCTTTATGTTTGTTAAGTGTCCAGACACCCGACCCATACCTGGTCCGACGTCACTACTACCACCATTCCTGAGGCAGAGCCGATTTAGCTTTTCCTTTAATTTCCATTTACTTTTTTAGGAAGCATATGATGTCCCTTGAAATTTAAGGGCGTTAAGTTGAGATGGGAATTCAATTCAGGGGCCCGCCTCAGGGCCCCTAATAGGGTTCAGGGTGCAGAGCCCCTGCTCAGGGGTTTTAGACATTTGATTATGGTCAGATGAGCATATTTTGATACCTCATATTTATTATGTGACACTGGCTAGTCAATATTCTTTCTTTCTTTCTTTTTCTCTTTAACATACTTTTTCAAAAAAGAGTGTGTGGGGAGGGGAGGTGCTCGAGCCCCCATCGGCCCAGTCGTTTAGCGGGCTCTGACACTTAGGCTTCTAAATAACTATATTTTGTGCCCGACTGTATATTTGGGAATTTGTCATTTTCCAGCAAACACATAAAAATGTATAATTTCCAAAAAGTGAGAAGAAATGCAAGAAAATCATGTCATTTCAGCAACATTTGTAAATCGCTGGAATCAAATTGGTATGGAACCAAATTTTCATATTATTGGGGAGGGGGGGAGGCAATCACCAGTAGGCTTCGCCAGTGATATTATATATATATTTTTTAACGAATATCTTCAGAAATAAGCATTGTGCATGTGATAAATATAAGAGTATAAGGGTCCCAAAAATTTTGCAACGACTCAGCCAGCCGCTGAATAAGCGGAGGGGGGGGGGGGTGGGGGGGGGGGGGGTTAGGTCACCTTTTTAGGTCAACCATTACCATAATTATTTTTTTATTATAAATGAAAAAAAAAAAAAAAGGGGGGGGGGGGTTCTCCAAAATACACACATAAAAAAAATCTAGGAGAGGGGGGGGGGGGGGGGTTTAACCCCCAAACCCCCCCCCCTGCGTACGTGTCTGAGGCACGCATGATACATTGTGTCGAGCTGATCGATGAAAGGCGAACTAATTACATTTTTAAATAAAAGGATATTTGCATAGACCTTCTTTCACTCTAGTCTTGTTTTATATGTTTCTTTGTCTGCTCCTTTTTCTTCCTACGTCCTCTTACTTTTTTCTCTTCTCTCTCTCTCTCTCTCTCTTATCATGCCACCCCCCCCCCCCCGAGCCCCCACCCACGCAACAAAGTCCGGCCTTTATTGACATGCAGCCCTGGTTTAAATTTAATAATTCATTCTGATCAGAATGTCCTCATTCTCTCTCGCTCTCTGACTCCTTGTCCGAGTTAGAATAGAATAGAATAGAATAGAATAGAATTTATTGACTCATTCGACCCCCTTCTGGGGTATGAGAGTACAACACATGTACATGTCATGATAATGATACATAATAAAGAATACAAACATAGCTTAATAATACAAAGAATACAGTATACAACAAAACAACAATATAAAAGTATAACGATAAATAGGAATGATCTAAACCTAGCCTATGCTAAACATAAATACAATATTATACAATATGGCAAGCATACATGAAAAGTGGAAAATACCACATGAACAATCTAAATACAAACACAAAGAAAAAGAAAGATAAAAACAAAAAATAATTTTACAATTTTTTTTTGTTGTTTAAATACATTATTGTCTTAACTAAAAAAGAAATTATAAGTTTCATTTTTGTACATGTAAGTGAGTTGTGATTGGATTGTTAAGATATATGCAGACTAACAAAATACGCCATAATCGTCCATTGGACAAACAAAAACATAATGGAATATAATGTAATAAGACAAACAAAACAAAAAGTATACACAAGTACAGGCGCGTACGCAGGATTTTTTCAAGGGGGGGGTTTTAACATTTATAAATCGGTCCGAAAATTTCGCAACGACTCAGCCAGCCGCTGAATAAGCGGGGGGGGGGGGGGGGGGGGGGGTAAGAGGACACATTTTTTTTTTTTTTGGTCCCAAAAAAATCGCAACGACTCAGCCGACCGCTGAATAAGCGGGGGGGGGGGGGGGGGGGGGGGGGGGGGGGGGGGGGTAAGAGGACACTTTTTTTTTTTTTTTTGGTCTCGAAATTTGGAAATTTGACATTTTGCTCCGTTGGGGGGGGGGGTAAGGTCACCTTTTTTAGGTCGGCCATGGGAATAATTTTTTTTTTTTTTTTTTTTTTTTTTTAATAATTAAAAAAAAAAAAAAAAAAAAAAAAAAAAAAAAATCCAAAAGGGGGGGGTTTTAGGTTTTTTTTAGGGGGGTTTACACACAAAAAATTTCCAAAGGGGGGGGTTTAACCCCCCAAACCCCCCCCCCCTGCGTACGCGCCTGCACAAGTATATAAAAGTATACGAGTTTAAAGCCTAGAGTTTAGACTAGTCTAGACAAATATCAGAGTTCGAATGACTTTGCTAAAATTAGTTAAAATATCTGCTCGTGTAGTCGTGTGACAAAATGAAGCACGAACGAACGATGGAAAATACATTTAAATTCTTAATATGATTGACTTTACATGTAGGTCTACCGTCTACTTACGCAAATGGAAATTGTCAGCCGAATAAATTGTACTGATAACCAGGATAACAGCTGATTAAGAGAAATCAAGGCAGAGTGCAGATCAGAGCTGAGTCCGTGTCGGATGCGGATGATCGAGATGTTGTGAATGTGAGGAGTGGTACTAACAGAAATAGAAACATAGGGCCTGTGAGGGCGGGCAAGGTGTGGGTGCTGCGGGCACTACAAGTAGAAGTGGGCGTAGAAGTGAAGAGAGCTGGCGGGTCGAATGGAATAGTTTTAACCAATCAGAATGCAGGAAACTATATAACCATACAACTATCAAGGACAACTTGTATGACCCTGAACGGTCTAATAGTTTTATATACCTCACTTTAGAAATCCAGCCATCTGATTGGTCGAAATTGCATTCATAAACTTTAACTATTCCTGTAAAATTCCGCAGTTTTCAAACAAAAGTGAACGAATATATTTACAAGGACTTGAAGCATGGCTGATCGTCAACGAAACTTTTGTCGACTATGTTTGTTGCTACGACAGGCAACCATGTAAAAACCAATTCCTTTTAATCAAATTTATGGAAATGCAAGCATTACTATAAACAAACAGAACTTATCCTGGCTCATTTTTCCTGATTGAGGTGTCATATGACTTTTTGGCACCCACTCTTCTGATTGTTATCAATCACTCATGCGTGCATATGAGACTTATGAGTTGCATCAAATGAAAGAGGAGGATCTAATTTTTTACAAATATGTGACATGTGTCATTTATTAATTTTAATTGTGATCAAGTTATATGATAAAACATCGATAATTCTCGGTTTCTTCTGGGACGCACTGGGTAGTTCCTGTAAATTTATTTTGAATTCAATTCTTTTCGGCTTCTCTTTATCCCTCGTCGGAAAATATATGTTACATAACACCAATTAATTCTCTTCTCTTCTTTCTGTTTGTCTGTTTTGTTTGTTTGTCGGGGCCGGGGGGGGGGGGAGGAGAAGGCTTTGAACCACTGGCGTACCTATGGGGGGGCAGGGGGGGCAGAGTGCCCCCCCCCCTGACGGGCTCCAGGGGGAAAAAGGAAAAGGGGAAAGAAAAGAAAAGAAGGAAAGGAAAGAAAAAGAAAAAAAGAAAAGGGAAGAAAAAAAGGAAAAAAAGAGAAAAAAGGAAGAAGAAGAGAAAAGGAAGAAAAAGGGAAAAGAAAAGGAAAGGGAAAAAATGGGGAAAATTTTAAAAAAATACCATGGCCGTACGCACCAGGGGGGGGGGGGGGGGCAGTTGACCCCAGATATTTTGAAAACGTACAATTTTTTTCCTGAAAATGTAGTGTAGGCCTATACCAAATCCTTCAATTCTACTTTTGAAAATGCAAAAGTACCCTCATGACCAGTTCGGTCGCTCGAACTCCCTTCACTCCTTTTGCTTTTGAGATTCTTCGAAAACTTTTAACGCATCTTTCCCCCTCCCCCACCAGAAAAATATTCCGCATATGGCCCTGAAAAATTAAGACAAATGAAAATAGGAAAATATAAGTGATATAACAAATTCGAAACTCTTCGCTGGCGCGAACTGCTTGCTAGCCTATTTTGTATTAAATGTTTTCACTTGCTCGTCCCCCTGAAAAAAGAAAAGGATTAGCATTGCCTAGAATACAATTGTGCCTGCCCCGACCTGCAACCATGGCAACAATAACACACAGTGTATGTACCAAATGTTACTAAAAGAGAGTAATTCATTTTTCTCGCTCGCTACACTTGCTCGCGAATAAAATGAATAGATATTGCTTTGGAAACAATTGTGCCCACCCTTGACCTGCAACAATATCATTAAACATGGAAGAGTTTTTCGCCCTCTCGCCAAAAAGGAATTGAATCGCGTTAAACGCGATTGCGTCCATCCTGACCTGCACCAATAAAAACAAGTTTATTTATTAATTTCTATTAAAAGAGATTTTTTTTTTGCTTGCTCGCTATGCTCGCTCGCCAAAATGGAATTGACACCGCTAACGTGCCCGCCCCAATCTGCAACAACCAGTTAATAATTATGTACCAAACGTTATTCAAAGAGGTTTTGGTGTGCTCGTGCTCGCCAAAACGGAATTAACATCACCTTAGACATGATTGTGTAAGCCCTGCCCTGCAACAAAAAAATCTGAAATTTATGAACCAATTATCATTACAAAAATTTTGCTCGCTCGCTACGCTCGCTCGCCAAAATAGAAATAACATCGCTTTTAATAATCACGTCCCTGACATGGAACAATGAACCCAATTTTATGTACCATATTTTCCCTATAGAAGAGAAGTGATTTTTTTTGCTCGCTCGCTACGCTCGCTCGCCAAAATAGAAATAACACCGCTTTTAATAATCACGTCCCTGACATGGAACAATGAACCCAAGTTTTATGTACCATATTTTCCCTATAAAAGAGAAGTGATTTTTTTTCGCTCGCTCGCTAGCTATACGCTCGCTATAGCTCGTGGAATTATGTACCCACCACTAACCTGCTACAATATCATTAAAAAGAGAAATGTAGGGGGTTGCCTGCCCGCCAAAATGGGATTGACATTGCCTTAAACACGATTGTGCCCGCCCCCGACCTGCAACAATGAAACAAATTTTATATAGCAATTCATTGAGAGAAAGATGTATTTTGGCTCGCTAGCTAAAATGGGTATAAAATCACCATACCATATTTTCCCTATAAAAGAGAAGTGATTTTCTTTCGCTCGCTCGCTAGCTATACGCTCGCTAGCTCGTAGAATTATGTACCCACCACTAACCTGCTACAATATCTTTAAAAAGAGAAATGTAGGGGGTTGCCTGCCCGCCAAAATGGGATTGACATTGCCTTAAACACGATTGTGCCCGCCCCCGACCTGCAACAATGAAACAAATTTTATATAGCAATTCATGGAGAGAAAGATGTATTTTGGCTCGCTAGCTAAAATGGGTATAAAATCACCCTAAACACCATATCTTGCGCCCTGCATGGGACAATTGAACCAAGTTTAAGTGGCAATTATTAAAAAAGAAGTGATTTTTTTCTTGCTCGCTACGCTCCTTTGCAAAAAAATGAAATTAACGTCGCTAACAAGTTAATGTTCCCACCCCCAACTTGCAACAATATCAGTTTATATACCAAACGTTACTTAAAGATTTTTTTTTGCTCGCTCGCTCGCCAGAAGTGAAAATTAGCATCGCCTTTTTTTTTTTTTTTCGGTCGCTTGCCCCCCCTGACGGAGTACCCCAGGTACGCCACTGCTTTGAACTGATAATATTCATTCAGTAAGTTGATTTGAAGACATTATGTACTAACGGTATTTAACTAAATTATTTATTTCTGAGGTCTTTACAATTTTTCTTTAGATTTTGATATATGATTTTTCATTTGTAGCCTACTGAGCTGATTAATTAATGCAATACAGAATACCCGGTCAAGTGTTTTCTTTTCCACGTAGATCCATTTTTTCTTCAACGATACCATAATATATATTGCTCGCTCCAAAAATGGAAATACTGTTACGCCGAATTATTATTAATTTCTATCTGTAAAATAAAAATCATCTTTCAAAGTTATGTCTTCGAAGCCTGTTGTATCGCCAGAAGCCTTCCAGGCGATGCAAAATGTCGACATCGATGCTATTGTGAAGCTAGGAGAGAAAAAACTGAGAGTTTTGCTGCCATGTCTTGTTCGCATGTCGCTCTGTGCGCCGCTGGACACCAGCAACATTTGGGTCCAGGGACGCAAGAAGCTTCTACGGGTTCTCTCCGGCCTGGAAGTCGTCAACTCTATCGTAGCCCTTTTGTCGGTCGATTTCAGTACGCTCGAACAAGATGCTTTGAAAGAAGCGAAAATGAGGTGAGTTCTTGAATTTCCAATTGAATAAAAAATGATAAGCTGAGAGTGAGATTCAGATATAGGGGTCTATGCATTATGTTTTGTTTTATTGCTGAAATGTACAAGTTTATGATGTAGATCTAGATCTAGAATTTTTTAAAATAAGACAATTGTGAATTTGTCATGTCAATCATTTTTTTTTCTCACTAAGAATCTAAACTAGAAGGTCTGTCTTATGTCGGGCAAGTAGATCTACAGCAAATTCGGCTGCTTCGGCAGTCTTCTCCTATTTCATCTAAAACATCACAGGTATTCAAAAGTAGACTAGACTATTCCAGTTACAGTATCAAAATTCAAAATAGAAAATAAACTTTATCTTAAAAACAGCAGCTTATTATGAAGTGTTGGGATTAGCAAGAAGATAGAGGTCTTATTAAAAGCTAATCCCCCTATACATGAGAAAACAAAACAAATAACGTCACAAACATTGTAAAAGAGATTTGTTTTTAATGCACTCCGAAGAAAACTTGATAAACGGTGATATACTCTAATATATCAGATGTTTAAACACATGGCCTGATGATGAGGTCTTTGTATCATACGCATTTGGAGATAAATGTTTGTTTGTTTGTTTGTTTCCTTTCCCTTTTACTAGGCAAAAACTAGGAGATGCAGAAAACCACTTGACGGCTCACATTCAGCATGGTTTAGCTCTGGAGTTTGAGAAGAGTGATTCTGCCAGACGTTTGAGGTTACTCATCAGTGAACTTCTCTTTATATCCAGTCAGGTTAGTCATCTTTGATCGAGAAGCTGACACAGAATTATCTACCAGTAATAAATTACATGTTATTGAAATTAATTTAGCTCTGGAAAAGATCAAAGGACTAAATATGCACTAATACCCTTTTCACATCTATTTTTCTTAACCCCGGACTATCCTTAACCCCATACTATCCTTAACCCCATACTATTTTTTTTGCTGTTCACATCTATTTTCTTAACCCCGGACTATGTGCTTAGCCGGGGTTAAGAAATTTCACGCGATTCACACTACGTTCGCCTTAGCCCCGGACTATTCGATAGCTCATGAATATTAATGCTTTTGCTACCGCGCATGCGCCTTTCGACTAAATGAAGGGGAAAAACCCGCGCGCTAAATTCAATATAAATATAAATTCAATTCCGATCGATCGGAATTGGAAGTAGTTCTAGGCCTACGTAGTAAACGATCTCGATCTCGACGCATACTAGTAATCATGGCTCCGAATGAAATGTTGAGTGCGATCGTTCTGCTCTTGAACATCTATTTCATGAAGAGGCGAGTTCGGGAGAATTCTAGAAGGAATGCCCTAGCAAGGAGAAGAGCGTACGTAATAATTTTAGCTCGCTCGTGTTGTGTTATCCAGCCTTGCGCAAAGCGTTTTCCCTTTATTATTTTACCGATACAAATCAATTACCCATTTTTCATCCAATTCACTTGATAAATTTACCTACGTAAATATGACTGATAATAATAAATGCAATAAAAAATTATGAGCTACATGTTCTTTCACTATTTTTTTTAATCAATTTTATAATAAAGATTTTTTCATAATGACCTCTGCCTCGTAAAAGACTAAACGTCAATATAGAGAGCATGCATGCGTAACGTGAACTGCATGCATGCGTAACGTGAACTGCATGCATAGCGCGCGATAAATGCAAATTCACGACCACACGACCACGCTGTCTGTGATTGGCTGTTGCTTAGCCCCGCTTCTCCTTAGCCCGGTTCGGATTCACACTACGCAGCTTAGCACCACAATTGCCCGGCTAACCCCGCAATTGCCCGGGTAACCCTGCTATTTTGCAGGGCCAGATAGTCCCGTACTATTTGTGGGGTTAGCCCACTTTGGCAAAACGTAATGTGAACAGAAAGCCGGCTAAAATTACCCCGGGTAATTGGTGGGGCTAAGGAAGGAATTGGTGGGGCTAAGAGCCCCCTTAGCCCCACCTATTTCCCGGGGTTAAGCAATATTTGGTAGATGTGAAAAGGGTATAAGAAACCTCACCCTTTCTACGTGAAACAGGTTCAATAAAATACAACTGAATAAACCAGAAATGATATCATGGTGCCTCTTAAAGTCTACCATTATTTAGGTAAGCACTCAAGAATAAATTGTATAAAATGTGCCATAAATGAAAGTGAATACTGTTACTTGTGGGAAGTTACTTGTGGGAAGTTAATGAAAGAAAGAATTTTTTTTTTTAAATTTTTTTTTTTTAGTATTCATAATATTAGCTGCATCATGTTTATATACATATACTGTCACCTGTAAAGTGTTGTAATGTTTTTATGATTTAAATTTATCTTGCAGATCAAGGAACCAACAGATTTCACTCCCCGGACTTGTGAGCTGTTTGAGAATGAGGTTTACAGGGAAGAGGTTTCTGATGTTCTCTGTATTGCTCAAGCAGGTAAAAACGATGTACTTGCACTTTTGTACACCAGACAACTTTCTAAAAACCTGGGGTGGTATTATGAAAAGGATAACGAGTCATTAGTTAATGTCTGCACAAATCTGGCTGCGTTTGCGAAAAGGTTAAAAGAGACATCTTCGCAAGCAATATGAGAAGTGTTAATTCCGAAAAATGCGTGTTTATGACATCATTTTCCTTAACTTTAAAGATAACATCGGTTTCAGAATATAGCCCCAGGTTTTAATTCATTCAACTTGTTGTCAATTTGAAGCAGAACATTACCATTTACACCTAACAAATTTGCAATGAAATACTAGTTCCAATATCAGGGATCACAAATTATTTGTATCTGTTTGTTACCTGAATATGAATACTTCTTGATAATTTAGAAATAATGATATGGGCAATTGTTAAATTTACTTTTATTTTCCAATTCCACAGAAAAGGTACCTTTTTGATAAATTTTGTTTGTAATCTGAACTTGCATTTCCTTCTCTAGAGTTGCCGTCCTTGCTTCCTGTGAATAGACTGGCTGAGGTGCTGCTGAGAGTTAAGCTAGGACCAACCATGCTATGCAGACTTGTAGCTAATATTCCAGATAGCTTCTTTCAAGGTGAGTAGAGATAAAATAGTTTAATTTTGCAGTAAATCTATTGAAATTAGTAATAACTTCATGGTTCAGGTAATTTGATCTGATAAACCCTTTAAATACTCTGTGTCAGTTACTCGGTTTTACAATTTTTTTTATGATGAGCGATAAAAATGTAGTGATATTGTTTTCTCAAAACTGCTTTCTGGGGGAAATTTGCACACTTCCTGTGCTTCCAAGTGATAAAAGGCTTCTTTCAAATGGAGTCTTATTTGTAGACAGCATTGCCTGTTTTATTACAAATGATATCTAAAGAGATTTGTGAATTGGTTTTAAAAGTCTTTCTCAATCATTTGGCAGCCATGAATATGGACTTGAATTAGTTTATGCACTTTTTAAAACATCATTTCGTTTTATGCATTTTTGTTTCCTTCAGTGTGCAATGTTCTGATCAAGAGTGGAGAGCGTCAGGATGAGGACAGCATCGGCGGTAGAAGAAGGACTGAAAGCTTGAGACTACTAGCAGCCATGAATCCCAGTCAGACACTCAAACTCAGAGCCCTAGCTGTAAGTATCCTAGCCGTACATTTAATTCAAATTATTCAGTCAGAGTGTTGAACACTCAGTGTCAGGGCATCAGATGTAAGTGTTCAGTCGGACACTCAAGTTCAGGGCACCAACTGTAGTTTTTCTAATCAGGTTGATTACGACAACAATGCTGAGAGAAGATACCATGATAGAATAGTATTATTTGAGCTCATAATGTCTGCAGTATAAGATAGACTTCAAAGATGCAAACATTGTCGTTTTGGTGATTTATGTTACAGGTTGAGCACTGTCATGTACCAGGTTTAGCTGCATTTCTATGTCTATACCATATCTAGACACATGACCATTAATCTTTATAGAATTATAAAATGTAAACATTTCTATTTTTGTGATTGTTGTGTAAGGTTGAGACATGTCTACCTATAACTCTGTCTCTAAACCATAATTTGATCATTACTTGTAATCTTCAAAAAGATTTTTTTTTAAATCGTTGTCATCCTTGTTGTTTCAAATTGAGCAATGTCGTCTAGCTGTCTCTCTGTCTAGACCACACTTTGAAGTACATTACAAGTAATACTTTAATAGATTCAAAGATAAAACATTTTTATGGTGTTTCTTGGTTTCAGGTTGAACAATGTCGTCTACCTGGTCTAGCTGTCTCTTTGTCTAGACCACACTTTGAACATTACAAGTAATAATACTTTAATAAATTCAAAGATATAAACATCTTTATGGTGTCTCTTTGTTTCAGGTTGAGCAGTGTCGTCTACCTGGTCTAGCTGTAGCTCTATCCTTAGACCATGCAGTGAGGAGTAAAGCTGCCGGGGGCCAGGGGGACATGGTGAGCTTCCTGAGTGGTCTGCTCCTGGGAAGCAGCTCTACGGTACGCAACTGGTTTGCTCAGTTTGTACGCTCCAGTCAGAAGGTCAGTTTATATTTATGTGCCTTCATACTTGCATTATACCTCTTTATCCCTGTCTTTTAAAGACCTACTGCACCACTTATAGCTACTTGCTCCCTCTATATAGAAAACAATACCTAAGCGGTGCCCATTGGTCTCCCATGATCCTCTTTTTCTTATGTTAATTGAGAGCTGATTTGATGAGATAACCACCTGTCAGTGACCATGCTGGATGGTCTAATCCCTTCTGGGCAAACTAGTACAGACGGGCTTTAAAGCTTATCTGCCATAGTTTACAGGAGGGATTAGAGCGCCCTGCAAGGTCACTGGACAGGTGGCTATCTCATCAACTCAGCTCTCAGTTAACATAAGAAAAAGAGGATCATGGGGGACCAATAGTCACCGATTAGGCATTGTTTGTTATATAGAGGGCGCAAGTAGCTACAAGTAGTGCAGTGGGCCTTTAAGTGAATTCACATTCGCATCATACCTCTTTATCCTTGTCTTTTATCCAATTTCTGTTGTTCTTCTTTCTCTATCTCTACCTTTCCAAAATCCATCTTTCCATCATACTTCTGTTCCCTGTCTATCATATTCTTAGTCATGTCTCTCCTCAACCATTTCTCAAGTAACATATTTTCTCCTATATTCTCCACAATGTTTGTATTATGTTTTGTTTCATTCCTATTTTTCACCTGTCTCTCCCTTTAAATCTCATGTATCCTCATGCTTCTTTCCCTCCAAGTATCTCTTTTGGTACCTCCCCTCCTGGAAAATGGTACAGGCTAAACGATTAACAACAATTTGCATATCTTTACATATTCTAGTTGAAGCAAGAGAACACAATGTTGCAATGCCTCAGGGATCATCTTCTTCAAGAGCTCAAATCCATCACTCCGTCCAAGGAACACTTCAGGGACCTCCCCGCCAGGAATGTAGTACAGGCCAGCGCATTCATGAGGCTCTACTGTGCACTCAAGGGGATTGCAGGCATGAAGTAAGAAATACCAACCAATTTTAGATTATATTTATTTATATATTTATTTATTTATTCATTTATATGTATTATTGTTGTAGTTTAACAAAACTGTTTTTAAAGAAAGGACGATACAATTAATGAGGGTGAATAAAGAAGTACCGGTAGATATCATGTGATTGTGTAATCGTAATTCAAAAAGTTGAAAAAATAAGAAGTTGTCCATTTGAATCCCGCTGGGGAAGCCACCCTATTTTATGGCTCTATCTTTCTTTCTTTATGCAATATTCTTTTTTAGATCCATGGAAAATTTGTCCATTCAATTTCAGAACTTTGCCTTTTGTAAATTCATTTAAAAATGTACAAAACAGTGCTCAGATGTGGTGCAGACGCTTACCACCGACTTGTTCAGAATTGAACCCAAGAATGGTCTGCTTCAAGCCCTTGTTATATACTTGTCATTGAAAATGAAAGTCCTACAACAGGTAAAGTTCTTCTAAAATCAGATGGCAGTTAGATTATAGACTGCAGTTGGCTTATAAAGAACACCTTTTGTTTTAAAGCAAATCAGTGGTTTCAGTCTGTCCAACTGCAAATATGGATTGATCATTTAATCACTTTCTCTTCCGTCTGTCCTTTTGTTTTCTATCCTAGGTTCAGTGAGATAGAAACCAAGCAGCTATTACGTCTCTTGACCAGCCACCCTCCTCCAACAGCAGCGGGCATTAGGTTCATCTCCATGGGACTCTGTATGCTACTTGCTTGTCCATTCTTAGTCAGGTAGGGGGCAAACTTGCTCATTGTAACTGCCATTTGTTCCCCTATTCATATACTTCCCAATAAGAGTATGTGTCTTGTCTTTAAGCCCGATTTGGATTTTACCATTCTACCGCTGTGTATGTTGGCCTAATTGAGAAGTGTTGTATAATTGTACATTTGCAATTGCAGTGATAAGACTTGTGCACTACTATTTCTAGAAATATGATAATATAGTTAGAAATGACTACACTTTCTGGTCAGACCTTACTAGTTTAATAGACTGAAGCTATATTTGTATGGAATACTTACGATAAGGGGTTTAATGCACATGGTTTGGGTGAAGTTATAATGAAAGGGACATATTTCAACCCTCTAAATATACCTTGTGATAATCAACAGGATAAACACACATTAAATTACACATTAAATAGAACATTACTTTCATCTTTCGTAGAACTGCTTTAACCAATTTCTTGAATGTTGTTTGTCTTAATACAGTGTTGATGATGAGAAGATAGTGACACAATGGATTAATTGGTTGGTCAAGGAAGGACCCAGATTTGAGACGTAAGTAGATCACATTTCCACTGCCTGTTCTTTCATGATCTGTATGAGAATGTGCCCAATTAAAAACCAACAGTTTTCCCAGATTCCTTGAGTGGTCCAGATTTGATGTGCTGCATGCCACTTTAATAATTGAATGTCAATGCTGGATTTTGGAATTCATGAATATATTTCTTGCTGCAAAAGTATCTTGTTTTTACAGTAATTACTCTGTTAGACAGGTGTTGTGACTCTAATGCTGTGCAAGTGTAGAGCATAGTTTCTCAAATATCAACTCTGCAGCTCAACTGGGCTGAATCTGACTGGCAAAAAAACGATGATAAAAAACATACATTAGTCATGCTTAGGGATTGTTTAGTTTTATTCAAATGTTAACCTATGAATGGCTCACACTTTTAATACAGACCTGGAAGAGTATACTGTATTTACTATATTACAGTCTTTCTAACAAGTCTGGAGAGGAATAAGTAGTGGATATTTTTATGATAAAGAAAGGAAGTTTTGCAACATTTTAAACTGAACATCCCTGTGTGATATGTGCTTAATTTTTCAGGGAGAGTGGTGTAAGCGCTTCCTTCAGTGAGATGTTGCTCCTGATGGCCATTCACTTCCATGCGAATCAGATGCAGGCTATCGTGGATTTAGTTTGCACCACTCTTGGAATGAAGGTATAAACGTTTGCATGCTATCTTTTCCCTCTTATCTTTTTAGTTCTATAAAATGATATGTTATGCATAGAGCCAGTGACTTTGTTATCTGTTAGTTCATGTACAAATGTTACCTCAAGTGATGCTTGACTTTTTATGTGCCATTCAAAAGAGATCTCTTTTGCCACATTGTGCTTAAAAGAAAACCTAGTTTCGAAAAATCTTCCTGAAAATTCTGTCATAGGTTGCTTTGCAAAACTAGTGGTTAAAAAGAAACAGCATTATAATTGGTCATCTGTAATATTCTGACTGTTTCAGTATCATTAGTTTGATAGAGATAAAATGAGTCTTAGGGAGGTATGGATTAATATTCTAATGAAATTAAAATGAGATATGTACAATGCACATATACCCCCATAAATCTTGGATGCTCCTTTTTATTCAAGACATAATCGCAGAACAGAGCCCCACATCAAAGAATTACTCAATAATGAATAATTAATTCAATTTTTGTTCTGTATTTCTCTCTTAGATTGCCATGAGAACAAACTCCCTTGCCAAGATGAGGCTCCTCTTCATTCAAGACATATTCACAGAACAGGTTTGTACATCTTTGTATATGTTGTGAATAGTGATGGCACCCATTAAAACACTCCCTTGTATTGTACAAGACCAAATGTACATTATAGATTGATTGAATACAAAGCTTGGCATTGCATTGAATTCAGTTTGTCAATTTTTTTGAGCAGACATTGAGGCAGTTGAAGACTAGAATCATCATAATGTTAAAATACATATTCTCTAGTATTAAAAACTCTAGGTGATATGATCTTGGTATCATAATTGAACCCTTTGTTGTGTTCTGTATGTTTTTATTCTAGTGTGCATATTTGATATAGTAATCTTCCAAAGTACTTCCAAAGTCTGAAAATACACAGTTGTTCCCATTTTACTACAAAATAAACCATTCAGGACTACTTTTAGATATTGGTAGTTATTTTGAAAATGAATTTTGCATGACCACTATAACACACCTTCATCAAGATCAGACAGGTTTTCTCATTATTCATTATGTCTTATGGTTGTGATGTGTATGATTTTAGGCTTCCATAACTTGTTAGTCTTACCTATTGCCTTACCTATTGCCTTACATATTGCCTTACCAATTGCCTGTATTATAGGTTGCGGCAGCACATGCTGTAACGGTAGCTGTCACACCTAAGCTGAGTGCATCGACGACAGGTTTCCTACCGGTACACTGTGTGTTCCATCTACTCAAGAGCAGGGCATTCACCAAACACAACATTCCAATCAAAGTAAGTTTGTAGGCAAGTTTAGGTGCTCCAACATATGTTCTGGTGATAATTGCTTCAGGATTTAATTTTGGCAAAGACATGGTTTAGGGTAACATATTTTTTGTCATTGTGTTTAGGGTTTGGGTTATTATTATGGTTAGGTATAGTGTGTGGTAAATGGGTGAAAATTATCCTATGTTCAGTCTAGGCCATTGACTGCAGAGGAATTGTCGCGAGAGCATTTGCATACAACCACCAAAGTTTACCCTTGGTTGGTTTGAATAAAGCAAAGATTATAAGAAAGAGATGAGTGAAAATTTCTAATAACCCAATGCAGGATAAGAAAATTACAATATTGTTAATATTTGATAGACATACATAAATTGGAGAATTCGTTATTTAGCTTGCAAGGAGCTCTCCTGTATTGTACAGCAGTTTTTGTAAAATTCCTCTTTATATTCAAAGAACAAAAAAGGTCCTCATACTTTGTATATCTTAGATATATTGCTTTACACATTTTACTAGAGCAGCCCCTCTATGGAATGTATTCATGCAATTACAACCAAAATATAGATATCTTTATTAATCCCTACTTACTGCTGATTTGTTATTTTTCTTGTCCAAAGGATTGGCTGTTCAGACAGATTTGCAATGCGACCCCTCCCCTCCACCCTCTGCTTCCCCCTCTCATTGAAGTGTTTGTGACCTCGGTCGTCATGCCCACCCAGTCAGGCTCCAAGCACCTGCGGAACGCTCCACTCTCTGAGAGGGAGATCCTGTCTGTTTTTAAATCATCCGCTGTGTCCTTTGTGAGTGGGTCGGAAGCCATGGAGGTGGATGAGAAGACAGAGATTGGAGAGGAAGAGCGAATGACGGCACAGCTGCTCATGCTCTACTATGTGCTACTCTATGAAGATTGCGTGCTGAATAATATGAAACATCTCAGTGAGTGCGAAACCCTACCTGCTTCTAGGCAATATTTGTTATTTATATGCATGTTATTGTGAATTGATACACATGTTATTTTGCATACTTTATGTCAATATCGACAATATACTGACTCTTAGCCATCAAAATACAGACTTCACCTTGAGAATCTTAGCATCTCTACTCTTTTTTTTTTTTGTATCTGTTTACTTCGGAGTTAGAACTGAGACTGCAGACTGTTTATTTCATCAATTGTTTTTTAAGTGACAGCTAGAACATATTATGTAGGTGCATTATTTCATCCAAGCACATTGAAGATATCACACAAATTACATGTAAAAAATGTATTTAAAAAAATCTTTTGTGGGTATTTTTCTCCAGTGATCATCAACGAGCGACCCTTGACCTACTCCAGCCAACTCATCTCCCAGCTGCCCATCAAGTACCTGGTGCGACACGCCCAGACCAAGCAGACAGAGTACGGCGCCCTCTATCCCATCCTGCTGCGCTGCGTGTCGACCCACTACCCACACCTGTGCCTGGTGGAGGAGTGGCTGGCGGACGAGGTGGAGGAGAGGACACGACAGAGGACGAGGAAGAGGAAGATCGGTGGGAGGAGGGCGGTGAGAGAGAATTGTACACCAGAGGAACTCAAGAAAGGTACAATTGATGGTGATGATGGAGATGATGATGATGATGATGATGATGATGATGATGATGATGATTATAATGGTGCAGGCCTTAAATTTCAATATTTTTAGGGCAAGGCACAAAAAATCTTCAAGGCTAATGAGAGGGGCATTAAGGCCAATCAAAGGGGCATCCACAGCCATGGCCTTGGTGGCCTTGGATTAATTTAAGCCCTGATGGTGACATGATGATGAGATGATGACGTTGAAGAAGATGATGATGTTAAAGATGATGATGCTGGTAATGATGATGATGATAATGATGATGACAGTGACAACATTGATAGTGATGATAATCATGGTGGTGGTGATATTTGTGTGGGTGTTGGTGATAGTGATGGTGGTATTGGTGATGAAAAACAAAAAATATTGTTTCAATGATAGTAGAGAAATGAAATATGACGACAAGTAGGAAAGGATGCTTTGTTGTACTTAATGTACAACATAAAAGTGGGAATTTGCTTTAAAAATTCTAGCACAAGCTTAAAGATGTTAAATTATGCACCTACAACGAGTTTAATGAATGTTACTGACAATTGACAATTTTGTCTTCCCTCCTAGCTTTGTCCATGGTCTTGACCAACCCCACCCCGGCCGTTCTAATCTTGGAATCACTGCTTGACAGAGACAACCCTCAGCTGATGGAGTATTCTGACACCCTGGTGGCCAGTCTCTTGGGACTGCTTGACCCACAGGTACCTAGGAAGGTGACCAGTATGGCGGTCAGTCTGTGGCACAAACTCAACACTGTCATGCCAAGAAAGTGAGTGATTGCAACAATTCCTGCTTTTCATTGAATATCCAGAAAAAACAACTGATGATGTGCTGAATTCAAAGTGTTATAAATAACATGCAGGATATTATTTCATGTGTTACCTATTAGCACCAGGAAAGATATAGTATAAATGTTTATTGTTGTTGCCATTGCTATTACCATTATAGGTATTGTTATTATAAATATTGTTGTTGTCATCGTTGTCCCCACCATCTTCATCGTCATCATCGCTGTCTTCATTGTTGCTTTCTTTTTTCTTTTCCTTTTTTTTGGATATTTTTTAAATATCTTTGTTCATAAGCAAAATATTCATAGGTGTATATTAATCTCAATTGGAGGGCACCGGGCCCTACCAGGCAGAGCTGAGGAATTGAAATGGGTGATACAAATATTGCAAAATTGTTTTTGAGTTTCTGATAGTATAACTCTATTATCAAATAAACATTTACTTTACTTGTACATGTATTAAAGAGAGCTGTTGCTGAGCTAGCGCCATGAGCATCCCTGGATGGTGTGTGCGCTCTATAAAGTTAAAATATTATTATTATTATTAATTAATGATGTGTATTCTATTCTACAGATTACATGTGATGACAGTCAATGCATTAGGCGAGACCGCACCAGTGACGCCATTCAGTGAGGAAGATTTGACCCTTGACCCCCTCATAGTACTAAGGTGTGACCTGCGGGTATTCAGGTAAGCAGAATATATAGAAAGGAGATGTGACATTGAAGAGATGGTGTGGTAGTTGTATACCTCTGCTACAAAGAAGCTGGAGGCATCATGTTTTCTGGTTGTCCATATGTCTGTACGTCTTGTCTCATGATCACGTTACCTCAAGAACTGATCGATAGATTACCGGCACACTTGTGTCATGTAATTTTTTTGCAGAGCCAATGAATTTATTCGATTTTGGGAATATGAGAACAAAGGTCATGTAGCTCATTATGTATGCAAAAATAGCTTGTATATATATCAACAGCATCTGTGTTCATCTTCACTTCACGTGTTCTTTCCTTAATAGATGTCCGCCCGTCCTGGAGCTGGTGCTGCAGACCCTAAGAGCCTACCTAGCAGCATGCAGGGCGTACCTCTCCTCACACATCCTCTCCAACCCCACCGTGGCACGGGCTAGACCAGACACCAGCAGCCCCACGGCCCTCCCCTCTCAGTTAGAGAGGGAAGAACTCAAGGCGGCACTGCTCATCACACAGGAGAGCGCGGCCATGCAGATACTGCTCGAGATCTGTATGCCATTTGATAATGAGAAGGTAAGTAGAATAATAATAATATGTCTTGTTTACCCAGGGAAGCCTCATCAGTATTCATACTGTTCTCCCTGAGGGCCCTGCAATCATATTATTAGAATGGCAGTGTAGTACATGTAAAAGGAACATTTTCATGATGTCAGTTACCATTTAATACATTACAAGTAGTGCTCTTTTTAAGGATTTTATTATGAGTAAGGAGTCTTGAGTTCCCGATTAGTAAATTACAAATAGTGCTATTTTGAAGGATTTTATTAAGAGTAAGGAGTCTTGATTGCAATTTTTCAGCACAAAGTAATCTTTGTAGTAACATGATATTTAGACAGATTAATCAGTGTGCATAGCATATTGGCCCTTGCACTTTTGCTAAAGTGTATGGTTATTGTGTGAACAGAACTGGAGATTCATTGGTTCCATGGTGATTGTTGAGAATGCTACTATTCAGATACTTCTAGATATATGTCTGCCATCTGATAACCAACCCCTCACAGTAGAAGTTCATTATAGAAGGAGTTAATAAAGATGTAATTTTCCTTGCCTTGTAGGTTGAAGAGAGTCGTCTGTCCTGCCTGAGAGAGATTCAGTGCCAGGTGTGTTCATTGTTACATCAGATGTTCATTGCTGACCCAAACCTAGCAAAGCTGATCCACTTTCAGGTAACTATGAAACCATTTTGACTGTAATGGCTCTTACAATTATTGTAACCGTTTTACAGATAGCACATTACTGCCATGAACATTGTTATGAAGTGTACTAAATGCTCCATAAGTCATGTTGTATCCAAAAATTTAAGAATGTCGCTTTATCATGTGCAAGCTTCTGGATGATAAAGGCAGCATGTGATGTAGCTGTTTTGCTCCATACTTTTGCTTTGATTAGAGGGTGCAATTGTGGAATATTAACTAATCTTTTTTCTTTACTCAAGGTTTTGGAAATGCAAATTTGGTGTTCAGAGTCTTTGTACTCTCTATTATTGTTTTTCTTATATTTTACAATATGAATGGGGTGTTTCTCATGCCAGTAGCCTAATCTTATGTGAATCTCTTATAGGATGATGTGAAGGAGTTTCTTCTTGTGATAATAGCTAAATCATCTCATGTTAATTTGACTCTCTTGTCCAGGGTTACGCGAGTGAGCTTCTACCCGTGACAGTAGCAGGTGTTCCTTCGATGCACATCTGTCTTGATTTCATCCCCGAGCTACTGGCCCAGCCTGACATGGCCAAACAGGTCTGTACTCTCATGCTTTTCACATATCCTTGGCCTTCTGCATAAATATTCACCATGCATCAGTACAATGTTTTACAGGTAGGGTTAGGATTCGGGTTTGGGTCAGGGTTAAGATTAGTGTATTCTGCAATAATTTCTGATTTTCTTTACTTGTTTCATTTGAAGTTTGTTTCTGCATGAGGGAGTAGATCAAGTCTGAGAATCTTATTGATAATAAGGAGGTTGAGAGAGAGAGAGAGTGAGAGAGAGAGAGAGAAAAAAAAAAGAGAGAGAGAAAGCAGGCAGACAGAGTAAGAAGGGAGAGAGATATGAAGAGAAAGGAAAAAAGGAAAAAAGAAGGAGATAGGAGGAAGTAGAGAGAGATGGTAATACAGATACATAATTTTCAATTATTAACAGCACAAATCATTGTAAAAAGGTCAACTAAGGATTTTAGCAGATTCTATGACCAACAGTAAATCAATTAAAAAAGGTTTTCTTTTCCCCTTGTTTTTTTAACCAGGTGTTTGCAATTGAACTCACATCTCATCTATGTCTCCAGTATGCCCTACCCAAGTCACTGAGTGTAGCTCGATTAGCCATCAACGTGATGTCATCATTACTTACAGGTAGGTTCATTGACATTAATTGTGTTTGATAGTGCAGCTTATAATTCTCTCTTTATTAATTTGCTCAGATATGTCAGTTCATCTAAGGTTCCATACACTTTGAAGATATATAGAAGAATTCTGGGATCCTGCTTTCCTACTTACTTAGAGGGCGGATTTCAAATTACTGGGAAAATTGATGTTTCAAGCACATTAAATTATTAAAGTTTTTATCACAAAATTTACGAAAATTACTGAATTTCCCCCCAAGTTTTTTATATCTTCTGCTTTTGTCTTCCCCTTCTCCATCTCTTTTACTGATATTGACCTCTTGCCTTCCTATTCATGGTGTTCTCTATCTGCCTCTCTCTCTCTCTCTCTCTCTTACTTCTCTACCCATCTCCCTTTAACACTCTCTATCTCTATCTTTTAGTTTTGACTGGTGAGCGATGGGCAATCTTCTACAAGGCCACACTGCCCTCCATAGTTCGTATCTGCCGAGCATTCCCTCCACTCTACGAGGACATCACATCGATCCTTGTCCAGCTTGGAAGGGTGTGTGCATCTAGGATAGCTACAGCAGGCAACAGCCCTGATTATATCGGTGAGACACTCGCATCTTTAGTAGGACACGCGCTAAAAAGAAACTTGCAACTGGTTCAACAAATTTCATGACATGAATAGGCTCCTTCCTTTCCTCAATATCAGTTTTGTTTCATGTAGCCTCATGTGGTTCATGTACCTTCTTGTTCAAACTAATATCACATTTTAATGAGGATACTTTTTTGTCTCAATGTGTATTAAAATTTTACCATGTTGTGACCATGTTTTCATGTAAAATTTTTGTTTTTGATCGAGGCAATTGTTCATTTACTGAGAAATAGTTCATATAGGTGTCCCATGTTATATTCTTCTTCAATTTTGATTTGTGAATATTAACTATCTTTCTAGATATGTGAGATGTTTCCTTTGATGCTCAGTATGTTTTGATCAAGTTATCACCGTTTTGTTGTTGTTTCTAAATATTTTCTCAGGGAGCGATGCAGAGCTGGCACAGATGATGAGCACGGGCGGACAGGCGGCTAGTGCCCTCAGGAGCAACGAGAAGAACAGTGACAGGGTGCTTCTGAAGTCGGTAGAAGACACGTTTGCTGAAATCGTGAGACTTGCCATACTGCAGAAGGACTGTGAAGCATGAGCAAGTCAACAGCGGGGAGGTTGGAAGAAACCATCGATATTAGTGTTTATCATCAAGAATAAAGTTATTTGAGAGTTTCGATACTTGATTTGGAAAGCTGCAAACTTGCCTGACAATCTGCATGAGCAGACAGTCCAAAGTCCACTAAACGATTGGAGTCCATTTAAGTTGAACAAATGGACAAGTCCAATGCTAATATTTTTTGTCCATATAATTTGCTTCATTATCTAGTAATCATGTATGAAGTTTTATTTCAGATGTTCCTGTCTATCCCCCCCCCCCCCCTCTCTCTCTCTTTCTGTACCTCAGATATTGTTGAATTGTCATGTGTGATAACTTTTCCTTACAATGGATTTACACCGACTATTGTGCTAGGTAGAAAGAATTTATATTTCTGGAATTAAAGATACTCTATGAGTTTAAACCCAATTTCTTAATACTTTAAACTGGCTGTCATCTGATTACTAGTTTGTAATTGGCCAACAACTAAGCTTAATCAGATTTTTACAAATAAGGACCCTGGTAATGCTTATGAGAATTTTTGACATCCATATTCATTTCATTCAAATAGTAATTACCCTTGTTGGGGGATTTATTCTTTGTATCTCTTTGTCTCATATATTCCAGGAATATTCCAGTGAGTGAGTAGTAATGACATCCTGTTGTCATATCTAAAATCATGCAAAGATATCTTACCCCATTTGAAAGTTGCGATAAACCTTACCTGGATGGATAATGCATGAATGTGCCTGAATTATCTCTCAAAATGTTTCTGTATATACATGTAAATACATGTACAATTATTTGTATATATATTTTGCAAATAAAACTCAAATGCTACACAAAAATGATTTGTTGTTACATATTCATTTATTAAAAAACAAACATCACTAGGTTGTATCTTCATAAAGATATATAATGATTTACAAATCTCATGACATGATATTCAAGTGGATAATTGCACTTGAGATGTCAAAAACTTTTAAATAACATCCAAGTCTACTTCATCATATGCTTGGACAACTGCCAATATATTTCCAGGGTGGAATTTTGGAAATGATTTAATCTGGATTAAAGTGATATTGTTTTGATCATCATACAATTTATATTGTGACTTTCACTGGTGTTTACACCAGTCTTTCACCCATCCAGAGTCATTAACTTGAAACTTGTTATGATGAAATCATTTCACTAATAACAAGAGAAAAAATTTCACAAAGTTTCTAGAAAGATGTAAGATTTGAGAATTTTTGAGAATATTTTCTTTCCTATTCCTCAGACCAGGATATAAAGCATGGTAATCAAAGAACCCACTATTGTGGTCTGAGTATTTCAGGACCTTGATAATTTAAGTTTTAACATGCACTAACCAAAATCATTATTTTGGTGTTCAATTTTGGGGAACCATATCTTGAATTTGGGCAATTAATATGTTGCCTTACAAGGACAACCACAAATTTAGGCCAGTGCCTAAAGAGATGAGATTGATCGCAAGTCCTTGACTAAATTACAAACTTACAACTCTTATCCCTGTTACAGTTGTAATCTATATCAAGTTGCGATCAATTCAAATCAATGATACCAATCCCACCTGTTTATTAGACTGTGCTTAGGTTTATCATTGCAGGCAAACCCTGATAAATCCAATTGTACATAGCACCATGCAAAATCCTTTGTATAAAAATTGGGAGTAAGGAATCCTGGCTATATCTTCATTAGAGCCAGAATTTTGAAAGAAATAACCAATGTAATCATGGTTTGGAAGGTTCATGATGCAGTATTTCCACAAGGAGGGTTTGGTGGGGACTGATGGTCCACCTGGAGAATAACTGGTTGCCATGACAATGAGAACATGCCTGTATGGAGAATGGTCTCGCTCATCTAGTCTGACTACCATGACAACATCAGGTCTATATAATAATAATAATAGTGGGTTCTTGCATAGCGCTCATATCTGTAAGACTTGACACTCCTGGCGCTCCACAATTATTCATGGATCACTCATCCATTCATATACTTGTTGCCATGATGATATCAAGTCTGTATGGGGAATGGCATCACTCATCTAGCTTGATCGGAGGCCATGACATCATCAGGTCCGCATGCAGATCTTTGGGTAACCATTCTTGGTAGGCAAGTAGCAAGTCTGATTGAAAGAGAAAACCAACACAATTACATTGAAGCAAATTTCTGAATAACATGTAATTCATTGATCTAATTCACCACCAAGCTCAGGAACTATTAAAAAAACTTGTATCTGAATATGTGGGGAATTGAAGCATATTTCGTAAGAAGAAATTCACATCTCTGCCGGCTAAAATCATGTATCTGGCACAAAGACCTCTCCTCAATCCATTGTCAGAGCTGCCAACAATTCCGTTTCTCCCAGACTTTTCTGCCTTGGAAGGGTGTCGTGCGTGGTTGTAAGTTTGTTTTAATGAAATCCTTTTTTTTGCTTGAAATTCTTTTTTTTTGGTCGCACAAGGTTGGCAGCTCTGCATTGTACAATGCTGGTTAATGCTCTTTCAAAAATTTCATTTCTTTCTCCCCCGCCCCTCTCTCTGGGAAATATGAAAAGAAATACTAATGAGCAAGGAAGAGAACATCATACAGCGTAATGAGAGCCAGAAGGGTGTTATCTTTTTACAGAGACTTAACACCCTTCTGGTTCCCAACAGATGATATTTGCAATGTATACACATGAAATACTTACATTGTCTGTCTTTTCTCCATACTTCAATGAGTGATGATTTGTTATATACTCCTTTCCCTGCCAGGGCTTTCAGTATGACCTCTGTTCTTGGTTGAAGTCTGTAAATGTACAATCATCATGGAGGATAGATAATTAGAATTAACAAATTTGAATTTTCAGAGCAATTTTCAAGTCTAGTTTTAATAGATATGCAAAAAATCTTTTACTGATCTTCAATCACAAGATCGATCAAACAATCTTTATATACTGAGTGCAAGTCATATAATTCTCTACAACAATCAAAAATTCTCCCATCAAAGACAATTTTTTATTTAAATATCAATTAAAAATCACAAAATACATTTTTAAAAAAATGCATCTTAAATGAATAGATACCTGTATCACAGAAAAAAGGAAATAAAAAGGTAAGAAATAACAATGAAAATTCCCAAAACAAAGATAAATGAGCTTATGGTACATGTACAAAGACAAAACAGTACATATTTAATATTTAATTTATTTTTCATTTAATTTTCAGGTTTTCTTCATGTTTAAATTTGTATTACCTGAATTTACAATGTATTACATGTAAGCTATGTAGGAATTGTGTATCATTATTGTTGTTTGTAATTAATTATTTTCATGTATCAGGCATAAATGTTCATTTCTATTCCGCCCTTTTCCTTCTTTTCTAAGCGCATAGGGACTTTCTTTATGTGAGTGATATGCACTATACAAATAACGTTCATTATTATTATTATTATTATTACATCTAGGAGACAGATTAATACAGACAGGTGCAGAGATACAGAGGGTACAAAAAAGGTATCTGGTGTAAAATGTGCAAAAACAATGAGAGACAGAGAGGGACAGAGTGAAACAGGCAAAAAGTATGCATTAAAAATGGAGGAAAAGAGAGGGGCACCCCCCCCCCCCTCCTTTCCCCACACACAAAAGAAAAAAGAGACTGGTATACTTACTTTGCCCATGTTTTGATCATAGTACTGGGCGTGGATAGAAGAGATGGGGTAAACTTCTTCAGTCCAGGTATCACCTAAAACAACATAGAAGAGAATAAGTAATCACTGCTCTCCATAATCAGATAGGTAAAACATATGTAATCATTTATCACTTCATAATAACTTATCAATTGTTTAAAAATATCAACTGTTATTCAGTATAAGTATACTGAATAACAGTTGATATTTTTAAACATGAGAGAAATATATTAACAATTCTTGCTAATTTTTCTTCATAGTATGATGAATTCTGGAGGATATTGAGAAATTGTATAAAAGTATCATAAAACACAGTGAGTGCGTCTAAATGACTAGAAGTTCCATCAGACAGTTGTATATGAACGACTTTTAGTTTCCAGTATTTAGGAGGGGAATTATGTTGAGTGACTGAAAGCTTTAATCCCGGCTGCAACAGAAAATGAAACATTACGAAAATGAACTTGTATGTCACATATTAGGTGAATTAATATCTAAACAGTCAAGTGAATCGGCCGTTTCAATTTATTGCATGAATTCATATATTTCTGGATTTCACCAGTCCTAAATAATGCACTGCCTTTAATATCATACCCACCTTTCCCTCTAGAAGAAATCTGCCAAACCATTTGACTTTGTCGAGACTCTTCGGGTAGTCCAACTCCTGGGCTGGAAGAGGCCATGCATTCCTCCCTGGGTGAAATAACAACAACAATTATTATTATTTCATTTTCCATTTCATTTCATTCTCCATAAAAAAACATTCAAACATACAAACATGATACAGATAAAAATTTAATTACAAGAAAAATACAAAGGGAAGGAGCAAACAAAATTTTATGGGAATGTGGGTTAACAAAAAGGGCAATTAGCCTTATGAATTGTATACATCTATAGCGCGCATTTGCTTTACAAAATTATATTCTAGTATCCATTTGAATAAGAGCACAAATAACACTGTAGAGAACAATTTAAGTAGTGATAAGCACATTTTAAGGGTACCTTTCTTATAAATTGTCTGCATGCACAGTTTCAGAATTTATGAAGTACACAGAACTGAAAACTTTTGGTGATACAGTAAGAAATATGTTTTGGCAATATTGTACAAAAAAGGTTTCTGCTTACCGAATGTACAGGTCATGTGACATTTGACTGTACCCGATGAAGAATGGTATGAAGGGGAAGGTTCTTCAAGAGGCTTGGAGAAAGTACAGAGGTTAGGAAAGAGAACTGGTAACCACTCTCTTTCAACAGCAGTAACACCTGAAATAACATGAAGAATGAAGAATATAGTCAAAGAACTTTCATACATTCAAACCAAACTTACAGAGACTGTTCAATACTGCAAATAAATCATATATTATGCTACATAGCCTTGGTTGAAAATATAAAACAGTTGAGTAATCAGAAAAGAAAGATTAGACAATCAAGCTGGCTGTCCCAAACATGTGTCGAGCAACTGAACATGTGATTTCAGTGAATGTGATTTCAAACACATTTCTGTGGATTCGTTCACACTGCGTTGATCCAAACGATTGATCTATTGCGCAACAACTCAGATTTGATCTTTTCACACTTGTTTTGCTTAACCTCGTACTTTGCTTAGCCCCGTACTATCCTTAACCCGAACTAACTTTTTTGGCTGTTCTCACTGCAGTTCGTTAGCCCCGTTCTAACTGCATAGCGCGAATATTCATTAATTGGCTCCATTGCGTAGTACCGGACTATCTTTCCTTTCTGTTCTCATTCATTTTGATTGGCACCACAATTGTGGGGTTAGCCCTGCTTTTTTGCAGGGCCAACTAACCCCGTACTATAGGTGGGGCTAGCCCACTTTGGTAAATATGTGTCTGAACAGAAAGTGGAATAAGCTTAACCCCTTAGTAAAGGTTGGGTTAAGACCCCCTTTAACCCCACCTATATTCCAGGGTTAGGTAAAACCGACTTAGATTCAGGCAGTTTCTTCTGCAATGCAGTTCCCATCATCAACATTCATGATACACTATAACAAAACTGACCTCTCATGTAAGGCTTGGTGGTCTCAATGATCTCCTGGTAAACGACATAGTCCGGCAGCTGCTTGAAAAGAGCAGAGTTGGGGTGGATGAAAACAGCTCCCTCTATGCCCACACTCTGATAACCTCCTCGCTCGAAGCCCTCCTGATCAGCTGACATACGTCTGATGGTTAGAGACAAATGGTGGGTTATGTTCAAGGAATTACAATAGGGTTATCGATAAGCATGGCTTCACTAAAAAAAAAATGGAGCTTTTCCAATTTACATGATACAGTGAAACCAGTCTATAAAGACCACCCACAGGAAACAAGCACAGTGGTCTTTATAAGCAGGTGGTCTTTATGTACAGGTCCCTTTAATACATGTTTTAATGAGAAAACTTTTTCATGGGAAACAAAAAATGTAGTCTTTGTAGACAGGTAGTTTTTCTATACAGGTGGTCACTAAAGCAGGTTTGACTGTATATGGAAAACCATTGGTCAAGGAAAAATACTTCTCTTACAGAAAAAAGGACATTTTTTAAATGAATAATAGCGGTATACATCAGCTAATATTTTGCAATGTACTTACACAGCAATTTGTCTGGTTACATAAGATCTGGACCACTTTGCAAAGAATCACAGACAAAATTTCATGAAAGAGAATACTTACTTTGCTACATGGTGTCCAAGGCCTGCTAAGACAATCTGACGAAGCATCTTCACCTGAAAATAAATATAAGGAAAAGGAACGACGATCTAAGATTAATACCAAATGTTATGTTAATTACATGTATGAGGCAATGAAGAAGATTTGGAATCCAACCCATTTTGGGGGGGGGGGGGGAAAGCTTCATTATTTCAGACCTACTGTAGTTTACATCCATGTATTACAAATAAGATCCCACAAGGTTCCTATTTCCGTTTTTTTTTAAGTATCACATTTTTAAATCTATGAGCCATCGATAAATTTTATGAAGAAAAACATTCACATTATCAAAGATTATTTGATACATTACTTTGGGCAGTTTGCTTTTCCCCTTCCCAGTTACATGAGGCTTCCAAATAGTCAATAACTTTAAATATAATGAAAGTCAGCCAAATATATCTATACACTTTCCTTCAAGCATTCTTTCATCTCTAGCTAAAAGTCATATCAGCATTTTAAAACTTCTTTTTAGTCACGGCACCCTTGTTGAAAAACACTGGGTCATATTACCTGAGTGGAAGTGGGTGGGGACATCTTAGGATCCATGAAGACTCCACAGTCGGAATCAACAGAATTCACTGAAAGAAAAGAAATTAGAATAGAGGATTAAAATGAGCTTGAATGACATACCATAAGTACTCTGTCTTACATTTTATTTAAAGAGATGACAGATTGATATATCAAAATGACAGTAATCACGTCACGCTGTGAGCTTATCTTTCCGTTTGACTTCATGTTAGTGTTCTTTTCATGCTTTTTCTCTCTTTCCTTGCACTTTATCATCCTGAAATTAGCAGAGGCAGTTCATCACTCAGCAAGATTTTGACACTTTCTTATTGTGTTTTGATGATGCAAAACTCATATGATAAACACATAATATTATCATTACATAATCAGTCATTCAGTAAGACAGTTTCTTGCAAAATGCAAATTGCATGATTGATACTCAATAACATCTTTAAATTCTCTTCCTCTATGGTCTACTGTAACAGCAGAAAATTTGTGACACAACTTGCACAATTTGAACCAATCGTTAAATTCATAAACATATTGATAGTGTCTGGTTTTACAGGGAAATGATTTGAAGCTTACCTGCGTTGGTAAGAAGTCTCCTCAGTTTTCTGATCTCGACCATAGCCTTGTATCTTAGACCATGTGAAGCACAGAAGCCAGGGGTGCAGCCAACATACTCTGATGCACCCACCGCACCCAACAACACCATCAGGTCTCCTAGAAGAGCATTGTCACCCTAGGAAAGAAAATAAATGGGGCAAAGACTGGTTACTTTCTCATATAGGGTATATTTAAATCCTGTTTAATCTACCGATTTTTAATCTTAAGTATGGACTTGTATCTGAGACCGTGTGAGGCACAGAAGGCAGGGGTGCAGCCAGCATACTCTGATGCACCCACTGCACCCAACAACACCATAAGGTCTCCTAGAAGAGCATTGTCACCCTAGGGGAGAAAATAAGAGGGGTAAGGGCTGGTTACTTTCACATTAAAATCATAAATAAAACCCATCTAATATAATCATGTCTAATCTCCATAATGGCTTTGTATCAGAGACTAAGTGAAGCACAGGATCACAGCCCCCAGCATCACCATCACGTCTCCTAGAAGAGCACTCTTCCCCTACAGGAGGCAAGGATTGGGAAATGGCTAGTTACTTTCATATTTACAGGTAGGTCGAATGTAAAGGTTATACAACACTTGCGATTATTGCTCCACTGCCCGCTTCTTTAATGATAAACCTAAAACTAACCCTACACCTAATTATCCCTTAAAGCCCATCTGTACTAGTTTGACCAGGGGGGATTAGACCTCCCTGCAAGGTCAATGACAGGTGGATATCTCATCAAATCAGCTCTCAATTAACATGAGAAAAAGGGGATCGTCACAGGGGACCAACAGGCACCGATTAGGCAGTGTTTGCTATATAGAGGGCGCAAGTAGCTATAAGTAGTGCAGTGGGGCTTTAAAAACCCTATCACAACTCTCACTCTAACCCTACATCTCTGGTGACATAAAGCCAAGAGCAAATGTAATTGCAGCATCTGAAGCTTCATTAAATGACCCCTTTTAGCCATCTAGCAAAATGGAATTATAACATTTAAGTAAAAATTGTAACATCTTGGAAGTCTCCATCAAGCTGTGAGTAAAACTGTTCACAATCACTTCATGTATTTGCTTTTATATATGTTCATAGAAGAATAATGTTGAAAAGAGAGTAAAGATCCATCACATACCTTTCCAGCCCAGATCTTTTTGTTGTGTGCCACTCTTGCTTGAAGCTTCTTGTGTGCTTCTCTCTGAAAGGATACAAGAAATACACATATCTCACAAAATCATACTGCTTTAATTTTGATTTGTGTTATTTACACACTTTAACTGAATGTTTACTGACATTTTATAAAAAAGGAATTTCATTTTAAAACGAATCATTGTCTCTATATATTTTTTTTCATATGACTAATAATATTAATAGATTAATAATATAAGTTTATTTTATACATCTTATAATTAAAATGAAAACAAATGGCTTGTATATCAAATTTCAGAGACCACTTGGGGAAAATGTAAAGAAATCAACATGATAGAGATCTATAACAGTTTTTTTAATATTTATTTTCTATTACTGTAGACTTATAATGATCAACTAATCATAAAACACAAAAAAGAATTTTCATCAATGTTGAGATACCACTTACCTCTGCATCTGTGTGTCCTTGCATTGAGCTCTCCTCAAAGATTTCCTGAATTAGTCAAACATACACACAAACAATGCAATCACTGATACATTTAAAGGTTATGCAAATTTTTGGGAAATTTTGAAAATTGGGAGGATAGTGATTTTTTACATTTTACATTTGGATGCCCCTGTGGATGTAATATAAGCACTAGAAAATTGATCCCCTAAAACACTTCTGCTTTCAACAAAAATTGAATATCAAAATTTACCGGTGCTCCCGGTAAAGTAACTTATGATAAATTTCAAATAGCGCCTACGGCCATACAATGGTAGCTGCGACCATGAAAATGTCAGAATATGCAGTTGTGATATATAATTTCCAAACGGGAATAGCCAATCAGTCGATTTTAGTCAAGAAACATCGTTTTATAGCTGAAATAATATATTGACCTTGAGAGGAAGCTATACAACATAAAGAGTTTATTATTTACAATTTCATCACTTTAGACTCGATTTCTACTGAGACAACGATCACTGATTATTATAGGATCGCATATGCTTCCAATATGTTCATTTGAACCGAATTCATGACCCCATACCAAAACTTTGACTGTGACTCTGCATGCTGGTACTTACCCTGACTGTGAGGGCTGATACTAGAGCTATGACATAGGGCAGACATCCCTCCTGCTGACCGAGTGAGATCATCTTAGCATAGCAGGGGGCTACAGGCAAACACGCCATAGCTCGACCAACATCTGTGATCCTTGTACTGAAGAATTCTGTTATGTGCCATATCAAAAAGAGATATCAATAAACAGATATCGGCAGCAATTTACACTACTAACATATTTCATATCCATAGCGGATGAAACATAACACCACAAAAGCTGTTTATAATAGAAAATATATGTAATATACAACTTAACATGACAATAAATGGAGAAAGTAAATTGGAATGTTGATGTTAATGTATCTGACGCTGCAATTCGGATGTACATGTAAATATACAACCACAAACTCATCATCATAACTTAATCAATCTAACAGTATTTTCTTTTCCGGCCTAAAACAAGCTAAATTGCATTCCTTTACAAGTTACTCCAACCGTCATTGGTACTCCCAGAAAAATCATACCGTTATCATAAAGAGAGGAAAAACCAATAAATTTCAAAATCAAAGTGTTGTTTACCTTTCTTCATATCTCTGAATCTCTTTGGCTTGGGAGGTTGTTCTAATGCACCTAGGGCGATCAGCAACCTTTCTGCAGCCTATTAAATAAAAAGTATTGCATATAAGATATCAGACACATGTTGAATTTTACAAAGATATCAAGAGGTATCAGCATTTCAGTGCACTCTGTGCCACATGGAAAAGGGATCATTAGACTTAAAATATCACATGATTCATAATCACATTGCATGGAACAATTCGAATCTTTACAATCAGTTTTACAATCTTGATATACACTCATTTTTTAAGAAAATGACAATCGCCAACAAAATATGGAATTCAGACCTTAATGAGCCAACACATTTTTTGATAATTGTCATTAATGAACTTTTTTATTACTTTCAACACTATCATTAATTTATAAATTGACTTGAAATATATTATTTGGGTATAACCGTCTAGATAAATGTAACTTTCTGACATGGTTGAACACTCAGATTCTTGAGTAGGATTTGTGGTTAAGATGCTTAATTTTTCCTAGCTTACCTTCAAACTCTCTTCATCTGGACATGTTGGGAAAGGAAAGTTCACGACCTTGTCTATGCCCATATCCTAAAATTAAAACAAAAAGGAAACATATGACCAATATGAACTTGGGTTTTACTCAATACAACACAGTGTACTCTGGATAGACCAGTTCATGGAAAGCATATTTTGAAATGATGCTTGTTTGAATAAAATTGTCAGCAAAGCAGGGAGATCTCTTTAAACTTTTGATAACTGCTCTGAAAGAAATGGATGTGCTCCATGATTGTTTCTATCATGAAAACAATATTTCACAACGAGTTTAGTTCAAACAATGAAATGACCTTTACTGATACTTACTTATGCTCAAATTTTAATTACAGACTGGAGTGTCTTACATTCATGTAAAGCTAATCTGGACTTCTGAAAATGTAATAATAGGTCTAGAAAACCTCTTTAAAAGTCATTCTGAATTACCTGAAGATCCTTTCGAGTCGACAATATATAATCCACTGATATAATTCTGTGCATATCCTTGCACTGAAAATTTGTAATTTCACTTTAATACAATTCAATTCAAATCATTTTCAATTCCAAATCATTCAAACAATTAAAACAGACCAATATGAACTTGGGTTTTACTCAATACAACACAGTGTACTCTGGATAGACCAGTTCATGGAAAGCATATTTTGAAATGATGCTTGTTTGAATAAAATTGTCAGCAAAGCAGGGAGATCTCTTTAAACTTTTGATAACTGCTCTGAAAGAAATGGATGTGCTCCATGATTGTTTCTATCATGAAAACAATATTTCACAACGAGTTTAGTTCAAACAATGAAATGACCTTTACTGATACTTACTTATGCTCAAATTTTAATTACAGACTGGAGTGTCTTACATTCATGTAAAGCTAATCTGGACTTCTGAAAATGTAATAATAGGTCTAGAAAACCTCTTTAAAAGTCATTCTGAATTACCTGAAGATCCTTTCGAGTCGACAATATATAATCCACTGATATAATTCTGTGCATATCCTTGCACTGAAAATTTGTAATTTCACTTTAATACAATTCAATTCAAATCATTTTCAATTCCAAATCATTCAAACAATTAAAATAAAACTTGGAAACTATCTTTGTCAGTGGGATGATGTACATCCGGCAAAACAAATGTAAATGAATGAAAATGAAGTGCTGCACTTACTTTCATCTGCAGGATGAGGTCTTCAACAGGTCGCCTGGTGATCTCAGGGGGGTCAAAGGTCTCAAAGTCATTCCCAAAGACAGCGGATGAAAACAACCTGATCAAAAAGAACAGATAAACAAGACCAACAAATAGATCAGTTAATCAGTTTGAGGTTTTAAGCATTCAAATGTAATCAAGATTGATACATAACAACACAAATATCAAAATGTCCTAGAAATAACACCTCTCATAAAGCATTCAGGAACAAACACCTAATGCAGACCAAGACGTAAACTGCCAAGAGGCAAAAGCGCTCAGTATACAAATATAATTTCTGAGTATCAAATTTCACATCATTATTGAATTATAATCATTCTCTCTATTTTCTAATAAAGATGTATCTAGTATACAACCTATGAATTGTGTATGAACTCATTTAGATTACATTTTCCCTATTCAGGATGACCCTCGACCCCATCCTTGTCATTGTCATGATCACTGTTACCTGTAGCAGTGTCCAGGTTCCGTCCTACCAGCTCGCCCTGCTCTCTGATTGCCCGAGGCCTTAGATGTCCAGTCAACCTTGAAGGAGGACACACCTGTGACCTTGTCATAGAAACGCCTTTTGACCTATAAGACAAGTTCAGCAAAAGGACAAAATAAGGAATAACGATCTGTAAAGCATACATACACTGAAAAAATAGTTATAAAGGCAGGGTTCTGCTGAATAAGCCTTTACTTTCACAAAGGTTTTCTTTTTGTGAATTTCTTAATTGCTGAGTAGTCTGTGTTATTTATTGCAAAAACAACAATTCACACAAAAAGTCTATGTCAGTGACATGCATGAAAAATTCTGTAGGTGAAAATATTGGCTTACACAGTAAATCATGATGTCTATCATGAAATTTAAACACATTTCTAAATGCATACATACATTGTCAAGAAAGATCCACCAATATCATCATAATTATATAACAAGGTAGAGCAGTGCTCTCATAATCCGGTGACCCGGGTTCGAAACCAAGGCGATGCGCTAGTGCCCTTTGGTAAGGCATTAATCCACATTACCAGGTCACTCGGAGAGGACCTAAAGCCGTTAGCCATCTGGTTGCTTACCTAAAAGCTATATAATTTCTTAGCAGTCAGGTAAAATAACCACCAATATCATCATAATCATATACCATCATACAAATATAACTTGACATACCCTGCCAGTGTCTACGACATATTTGATGCCTGGGATAGTGAGGGAGGTCTCTGCCACGTTGGTTGCCACAACGACCATTCTGCTGCCCTCTGGGGGTGGTTGGAAGACCTGGGCCTGTCTGTGAGGGGCCAGCAAGGAGTACATGGGAAGGACGTGCATCGGGACCTGGTCCTCGGCAGCCTCTGAGTCCAGGACCTTCTCCTGTTGTTGAGGAAAAATAGAGGCAAAGGACAAGCTATCACTTCTGTTACAAGACTAAATTGAAAAGCTTTATTTTTTTTGTTTAAATGTTAACTTTTTTTATATTGTTACATTCTTCTTGCAAATAATCATGCAACTAAAAATGTACATGGACTGAAGCTGTAAAGAATATGTTAAAAAGTAGCCAATTGGTGTATAGAAAACAGTAATTTTGAACTATTCAACATGTTGTCATTTAAAAGATTGACTGTTTTATTTTCCTTTTAAAATCACTGAAAGAAGGCACATGGTAACTTAACAAAAAGTGGACTCACTTAAGGCAGCAAACTTTCATCACTGTCTGCTTGTGTATAAGGACTATAGTTAGGGCTTTATGTACAGTTTGAGCCAAAATACAAAATAAGAGCAGTTAAACTGTGCATACGAAATTGTAAATATTAAGAAAAAGGATTATATTGTTTGCACCTACCTCTTCATCTTTAACTTCATCTTCAAGTTCTTCCTCTGACTGGTCGTCACTGTCGACATCACCATCCACTTCATCATCGACATCATTCTCCACATCACGGGGCTGGGCTGAGTAACTGTAAAAGTAGCGTTGAACAACAAATAGAAATAGTGTGTAAATGCTTAAAATCAAACTAACTATATTCCAGTTGAATAATGTTTTGTTGGGTTACATAGAAATAGTGTGTAAATGCTCAAAATCAAACTAACTATATCCAGTTGAATAATCATTTGTTGGGTTACATAGAAATAGTGTGTAAATGCTCAAAATCAAACTAACTATATTCCAGTTGAATAATCTTTTATTGGGTTGGTTCATTAACTTTATTTTTAAGCCAAAAATAAATGAATAGCAGAAGCATGAGCAGGAGATATAAATTGTTGTATAACCTGCGCCCACTTTTGTTGAACATTATTACCCTAGAAAACTTCATGTGAAAGAGGAAAAAAATAAAATCTTGTGAAGTCCAAAATTGCTGCTTGTTCTATACGAATTCAAATTTTGTAATAATTTAAAATCTGTCCATATATGCACCTTTTTTTTTTTAGAGAGAGAGATACAAATAAGGATAAAATACCAGTGTTGCCAATTTGAAGCATTGCCACTGATCCATTTATCCCTTTTAACATTCTTGTCTTGAACAGATTTAATAGGAGAAGACTGACGAACCTGTCCAAACTGATCTTGGGTAGTTTCCATTTCTTGAAAGCCTTCTTCTCTTCTTCCGCCTTCTTGAGATCTTCGTGAACTGGTTCCTGGTCTTCATCTGGGTCCTGGTCTTTATTAGGACCTGTACCTGATGTATCGGGCTCTCTCTTCGGACCTGCTCTCTTCCCTATAAAACGATATAACAGAGAGGTATGTAAAATAAACTTTAATTTGTAATTAGTCAAAATAATCACTGATTAAATTAAAAATAAGTACCGGTATGTAACTAATTTGATGATTGAAATGGATTCTTGTATGCGAAATGTTTCTCTTACCCACAGCCTTGAATTTACGGCAAAGTGTGTTGACCTCATGCTGACCGGTAACAAAGACAAGGATGCCCCCTGGTGGCAACGTCCGGTGAATTTTTAAGACCTGAAAAGAAGAGAGAAAGGGAGAGAGATAATTGTCGATTGCTCCATACCCAATGGTAGAATATGTTGCTGGTTAAATCATTGATTTCCATCCTTCCAAACTTCTATAGACTTTTGTATTTATATCTCACTGAAAACATGCCTCTTGGTAATATGTCTTTTTTTCTCTTGTAATTTTCATCACTGAATATTTCTATTCCAAATATTGGGGTCATGCTGTCAAGTCATTGTCGTCAAATCCCAAATGATACAAAAGAAAAACACATTACAGTAACTAGGTAAACCTAATAATTCTAATAACATAACTGGACAATCCATAATGAGTTTGCGGTAAACTTGATGACTTTTTGCAAAGTTTAATTTCTTTATGGATCCTTACCTTTCGATGTACTTCAGTGATGTAGTCTTCTACAGGTGTGCGCTTGTTGAAATGAATAGTCACTGGAAACTGTCGAGATTCAACCTTTAGAAGAAGAAAAAGGACAGTATGATATATTTAGCCTTTTTATTGGATTTGAAAACTCCTAACAAAACTCTAGAGCTGAGGGCTGATTCCATTGCAACCCATGCAAAAAAACCTGTGCAATTTTACTCTCCCCCCCCCCCCCCCCAAAAAAAGGGGGAACTTTCAAACTGTGATACTTATGGAACAATTTTAATGATATAAATTAAACTAACTGCTCTTATACAACACCTAACCAGATAATGACTAACCAAAGCGCTTCCAGTGTATTATAATCCTGGTAAAGTGGATTCAATTTTAATTCTACACTATACAGTGAACACTCATCAATGCACTAGAAAAACCACCATATTTTACAGGCACGCACATACTACTCCAAGGACAATGACATTTGCATCCTACCAGGCACCCATCCTACACCTGGGTGGAGAGAAGCAGTGTAGGTAAATGAAAAGTTTAGTACCTTAATGACCGGAGGGGTGACCTTGAAAAGTCTCTTGTTCTCTGTGAAGTCTTCAACTCTCAGGGTAGCCGACATGATAACAAGCCTCAGAGGGTTTCCTTTCTGGAATGGAACAATAGACAAATACAACATACTTGGTGAATAAATAATAGTGAAAATCAGTTGAACCTTGAAGTGAAAAACTTGTTTGTTTGTTTGTATTACCTGACTGCTAAGAAAGCATGTGTATGCTTGTAAGTAAGTAACCAACCAGGGGACAGACGGCTTAAAGTCCTCTCTGAGGGACTTGGTAATGATAATTAATGCCTAACCAAAGGGCATGAGCGCATTGACTTGGTTTGGAACCCGGGAGCTCGCGCCTCCTAGCTGTAGATAGGCATATGTTTCAAAAGAGAGTTGCATAATAGATGGAAGAGAGGATGAAAGTATTTCTTAAAGCGGACTGCCATCCTCATATTACATGTATAAGGTTACTTTCTACTAAAGCAACATAGAAACAGAAGACATGATAGGATGAAAGTTTAAGAAAATCTGATAAATATGAGAATCAAGCAAAATTGGAAACTCAGCCCTGCTGGTAGCCGATACAAAAAAAGATAAATGTCTCCTTTATATGGCAACTTGACCTTTCCAAGTATTTTGTAGATATTTAAACCAATCAGCTTTGCTTTATAACAAGTCTCACTCCCATTTGTATGGAACATCAAGAACTACACATTACTCTTACTTTGATCACAAAATGAAAGCATCTCATAAGATATCCTACCTTGTGTCTGAGTGGTACAATCCTAGAGAGTAGACCAATCAGAATGTCTGTATAGACACTCCTCTCATGAGCCTCGTCAATAATGATGACTGAGTACTTGGTGAGTAAGAAATCCTAGAAGAGGGAATAAAAAAAAATTAAAAAAGAGAAGTTGACAACAAATTAAAACTGTTCAATTTAGCTCATTTCATTCCAGGTATTAGTATAAGGTTAGCATTAGGATAAAGGTCAGGGTTAGGCTTTAGCATAGGCTTAACTTTATGATAAGGTTTGGATTAGGGTTGAATAAAGGTTAGGGTTAGCTTAGGCTCCAGGATCAGTGTAAGGATTGGGGGTAACTTATGTAATGGGATATTTTGCAGTTGGTCAAACATTTGTTTAAATCCAAAAACAAATAATACTCATATTTAGTCACTCCTACTGACATAAGGGTTCTAGAATAATTAATGATCTGGAATAGATCACTTACCTTCTGTACCTCCTTCATTAACACACCATCCGTCATGAACTTGATCTTAGTCTCATCTGAAACACTGCCAGCATAACGGATCTGGTACGAAACCACACTGTGAATGAAAGAAACACACAGTACAGCCCTGTAACTTTCACACACAAGACCACAGGCAAGACACCAAGACATCCAATTGTTTGTCCTTATTGTAGAACTAATATCAATTAATTATGACAACAAATGATAGCTTGATAATCTAGCAGTAGGCATCTATAAATTGCAACAAAAAAAAAAAAAAATGTAGATGAAATGTAATGTTGGCAAATTTCATTAAAAATGTTAATCCCCAGTACCTTTCCAGCCCCCCTCCCCCCCCCCCCTCTCAAACACACACACACACACACAAAACATGCATGTTTTTTAAGTTGTAAACAGCTTTTCACCTCTCTCAAATGTGATTACAGTTGATCTTCACACACTTTTTTGTGATCAAAGAATACATGTATAATCAAAGAAGAATGCAATTTGTAGCATTGACTCCTAACTATTGAGCACAATTAAGAGACAATATTATTACCTGGTTGGTAAGTTCATCTCCTTGGCAACACGTTGTGACATACTGACTGCTGCTACACGCCTCGGTTCAGTTACACCTATCAAACCTTTCCTGCAAAATCACAAGAGAACATTCGTAAATAACAGCAATTTAGTTATTCAAAATCCATGCTTGCAATTTTAGCTTGCAACCAATAGTTTACTATGAAAAATAAAAGGACACTAAAGGGTTGTATCCGAAACAGAGGGAAAATGGATGTATATGACTGAAATGTTGTTGAACCTGGTAGGAATATATTCCTTGAAATGCTAGAGCGCCGTATGGCAGCCGTGCTAAAGCCAGGGTAATAATCGAGAGCGCCAGGAGGGTCAAATCTGACTGACATGAGCTCTATACAAGAACCCACTATTATTATTATTATTATTATTAACACATTCATTCTAACAAAGGATAGCAAAGGTTCATTATTAGATACATAAAAATGTGACTAGCACTATATTATCATGCCAATTTATTTTGCCACAGCATTTATTTTTAGACAGTTGACCATATCAAGAGTAAACAAAGGGTACTTACATCGCATAACCCGCTTCATATAAGAACTGAGGAACTTGAGTTGTCTTTCCACTCCCTGTCTCACCACAGATGATAACTACTGGGTTATCATGGATACCCTCCATCACCATCTGCTCCTCAGCAAGAATTGGCAATCTAAGCCTTGCCTCCTGCAATGAGAAAAAAATAACAACACAAATGTTTTTAGTTGATATCCAAAATATCTAGTACTTCAATTTCCTCTTTCATGCATATCCTTTTCAAGATTACCTTCCACAGAATTCAAGAGCTGTATTCAATCCACTTTTGGTATTTTGGACTGAGTTTGAAACTTTGAATAGAGTCAACTGTACCTCCTTCTTGATGCAATATACAGTGCTCAACTAAATAAAACCAACAAATATATTTAAAAGCAGATTTCCCAGATTTTACTTCACATTAATTGACATTGAAGGAGATGACCTCAACATACAACACAAATTAAAAACTAGTGATTTCAGACTGAATGTTGGGCCCCCTATCTCTTGAAGCCTGTATTTGGTCCTTGAGCTGCCCATAAGTATAGCAATGATTATGATATATTCTTCAGATGATCTAATATTACCTCCATCATCCAAGTATATTACAGCCACAAAGCAAAAAGTTTTAAACTACTGAAGCTCAGTATGCTCCCACGTATAACAAAAGAAAGATGTACATGAAGTACTACACACACTAAAGCTGGGGTAATTGTTGTGGAGCACCAGGAGTGTCAAGTTTGACAGACATGAGCGCTATACAACGACCCATAATAATACAATAATTGGTGATTGCTCAGGCCCACTTACCTGAATCTCTGGTGATCTCTTCACTTGAACATACATAGCTGGCTCGCTTTTGACATTGTCTTTCACTACGTTATCACTTTCACTTTTAGTTCTTGCTTTGTTATCATCTGAAGCACTAGCAGAATGTTGCTCTTTATCAATAGTCCTATAAACAGATGCACTGTTCTTGTCTTCATGAAGGCTCGATTCTCCATCATCTAAATCACTTCCTTGTTCCTGCATTTCTTCTCCTTTGTCTCCCTCCTCCTCCTCCACTTCCTCCTCCTCCTCCTCAGATGACGATGATGCATCATCTTCATCACCATCACTGCCATCATCCTGCTTTCCCATTTTCCTTTTCTTGTTACTGCCACTGATACTGTTGATTTTCACTGGTCCAGTGTTATCTAGTTTCCTGTAAGAGAGAAAGATAAATTGCCATTAATCCGAGCCAAATAAAAATATATCCACATCTTCATAAGATCTAAGAATAATATTCTCCACTGTAATTCAAGTTTCCACTATAAATTAAGCATGAGCTATCTTACTAGAAAACAAACTTAGAAATTATTGCACTTATCTAGTAATAATTACAATGTAGAGACTAGAGTGCTTCAGAACATTGTATTAAGTGCTAAACAAATGTGAATATTATCATTATTTTCTCTATATATGATTCAGTAATAAAAGAGCCCTGCCAAATTCAGAATCTTTTAACTTCCAAGGAGTTTATCTTGCTTTACCTTTTATTGATCTTCTGGCCAATATGTGCAAATGAAGTAAACCTTGCCATCTCTTCAGTAGAGGCTTGATGCTCAGCCAAAGAAGCAAGAATCCCAGCTCGCTGATATTTGGTTGGAAGGAAGATGAAAAATGAATATGTATGATATATCAGAAACTGTGAAATGATTGTGGCTGTGAACAAAAACCTGAAGCTGCTAAATGGAAAATGATTCCCATTTTAATAATCTTAGAACAACAAGGTCAGTTTCATTAATTAAGTGAAGAAAAGATTACTAAGGAAATGATTTTAAAAGGAATCCTTTGCAAGCGAGATTATAGTATGAGACTCAACATTTTAAATGAAAAAAAGCATAAAAGTGCAACAAGAGAGTTACATTCCAGATATTTTCTGAGTAATTTTCAAGGTGTCGTGGTCAAGTGGATACATCATCGGACTGTGGAGTCCCACTGCAGCCTCAAATGTCCTTTGGCAAGAGACATCTATCATGTTAAAAACCCACATGTATCAAATGTATTATTTTCCACTTGTTAGAAAGCAAAGTCTAATGTCACAGTAATGAGCCTTATCATCTTCTAAATTTATTATTTTCAATTAAAAAAAATATATATTAGAAATTATGAAGAACCTATTTAAGTCACCAGTGCAGTCTGCACCAATGGCAATGCTTTCGATAGATACAACTACAAGAGCCAAAGCCAGACACAGAGAGCAAGATAGCTTAAAATAGAGGTCACTCAGGTCAGAGAGGAAGGGGAGAAGGACAAGGAAGAGAAGGATAAGGAAAAGGAGGATGATCAAGGATGATTGAGGGGGAGGGGGAGGGAGAGGAGAGGGGGGAGGAGGAGAGGAAGAGGAGAGGAAGAGGAGAGGAGAGGAGGAGGAGAGGAGGAGGAGGAGTGGAGGGGAGGAGGAGAGGAGAGGGGAGGAGGAGAGGGGAGGGGAGAGGGGAGAGGGGAGGGGAGAGGGGAGAGGAGGAGAGGAGGAGAGGGGAGAAGCGAAGACAAGAACATGAAGAACGTGAAGACTATCTTATTCTTAATCAAAAGACTGCCGAATTCTGAAGTTGAACAGCAGAATGAACACTTAATTTATTTTATTTACCTTCCCTTTCTTTTCTTTCTGCTCCAGTACTTTCTGTAGTTTTTTCCGTTGTTTCTTGCTGAGTTGCCTAGGCTGACTTTGCTCTCCCTTCCATTTTTTCGTCTCTATATTCGCCTTCTTGCCCGGCAGCATGAGCGCATTGCTGTCCAACTCACTGCCATGACTTGTACCCCGAAGTTCCGGGGCAGACAGCTGATGGCCCTCCGCCGCGATGTCTACGGCCACGCATGGAGTTTGATGTGCTTTCCTGACCTCTGAATCATCGACAACTTGACGTGCCCTAGCGTTGAAAAAGCGTTTCCTTTTCCCCATATTAGTCTTGTGCTCGATTTTTGTTCATGAATTATTACAAATACATATTAAACAACTTTCTATTTAATAAGAATCGTGGACGTGGTAGGCGACAGCACACGTGAATAAGACCTTTAAATCAAACTGAAGTTGTCGCCTTGTTTATAGAGCTGGAGAGAGGTTTAAGGCAACGAACATTATGTTAACGTATCCCTCAATTTAGTATGATGGGTCGTTTGAATTATTCGTACTTCCTTTATTTTATACCATTTTTTCCAGGCCTGATAAAAACCCGATTTAAATCGGTTTCCCGATTTATTTTTTTCCCCGATTTTTTTCCAGATTTAAAAAATTTGAATTAATTTTTTTAAATTTTTTTTTTTTACCAGATTTTTTTTAATTCCCTATTTCATCCAGATTTTCCCGATTCCCCTCTTTATTTTCTTTATTCTTTCCTATTTTGCCCTATTTTCCCCCCAATTTTTTTACTCGAAAGGGGGGAATGTTGTTAGATGCCATTTTTTCCCCGCAAATCCTCTTCTTTTTTTTTTACTCAAGGGGGGCGTGGTTGAGGGGAAAACAAAACACCTATTTTTTTTTTTTTTAGGGCTCATATATACTATCACCCCTGTTTTTTAAGCTGTAAAAAAAATCACATTGTTCATGTATAAACTTTCTAATAAGACGTCAGGTAATATTATGTGTTCGCCATCAGATTATAACATATTGAAGCTGTCATATAGACAAATACCTCAAAAAATTTCAAACCCAATCAAACTACTGAATATCTGATTGGTTGAAAGTGTAATTGCTGTTTAAGTTAATATCACTGCAACTTGTCTTGGATCTTGTGGCGGATTCAGAGTATAGATATATATTTAAATCTCTATGAGTATTTAGCCCATAGCCATATACCCCTTCCCCCCCCCCCCCCCCCCTTTATAGAAAAGAAGAAAACAAATCACAATAATTCTCTCTCTCTCTCTCTCTCTCTCTCTCTCTCTCTCTCTCTCTTTCTATCTATTCTTGTTCGTCATGTGGTATCTCACCATGTCAGTCGAACTTCAAGTTTTCTCTCGCTCTCTTGTGTTTGATGCATGATTATTCTATTTGAAATAAAAAAAAAGTGAAGATTTGAAAAGACCTAGAATTATTTTGGGGTGAGATATATGATTACTAGAATGACTACTATACCCGCCACATATACCTTCGGTCATCACGATTGATTAGGTTGCTAGCTTCACAGCTAAAGCAGCGCTGACGTGTTTCACAGTAACCGGTACACTGCATGCACTGCACTGAGCTGCCGTGCATAGTCTGTCTGCGTGTACATACGAAGCCGAGACTCTAACGAGATTGAGAAATTTGCTGAGCTGAGTGCTTCCACTTTATCAAGGTTTACAGGCATTTCGTAAGTAACTCAAGAATAAGAGATAAAAAGCAATCAAATCAAAGAGTGATTTTTCAGCAATCAGAGAAATTGACATGTCTGCATGGTCTGGGGAAAAAAAAAAAAAAAAAATCAAAACATGAAAAATAACTTTTGTCTGATGACTGTGATGTCGTGATGAATTGAACCTGGCCTGATGAGTGATGATGATGATGAAGTTTTAAAACAAATTAAAAAGAATGAAAGAAAAAAGACGTTATTGAAATTGAAAGAGGGAGAGATTATCATGCATGTGATAAGTGTGTGTACGAGCAATACAACGCTAACGGCAGATCGATGATCAACTTGTCAAGACTCGAGTCCGAGTGTTAACTTTTTTTACAACCTCCATTTAGCGTTGTGATTTTCGGCACTAGTTCAGAATCATATCCAGACATTGACCCGTAACTCCGGCGTGGAGGTACCATACAAATCAAGCAGGGGGTGCAACAAATGAGGCTTCGTTAAGCCTCTCCTGTTTTTTAGCCGCACATATCATAGTATCAACTTGTAGTGAGATTTTTACTTGCACTATTCATCTGGGCACTCGACAAGCACAAGTACGATAATACGCCAACGGCGGTCTGTACTTAACTGGAAGAAGAAGAAGAAGAAGAAATCAACTAAATCTTCATCATTTGTTCAAATAATGGACACGATTTAGAATTTGTTTTATATCATGTTTCTTGCCTGTTTCGTGTCAATTTTATTATCTTTTTTTGAGTATTTTTCCTAAAATGAAGACAATTTGAAAATGTGTAAAAAAAATGTAATGGTCTTGATTACAGATTGGTGACCCTCGCCACCACCGACACAATAATAACGGATTACACAAGCGTGAGTGCCATAGGATATTACCATGTACTCCAAGTGTGGTCTTACTATGTCTTGAGAAATCTCCTCATTTATTTTTATCTGAGATAATCCCTTCGCCCCAAATGTAAATAGGTATCCAGAATGGGAGACTCGATCTCTCCCAAATAGGCTACCAAGTTTTTTAAAACTTAAGTATCTGAAAATAGAGACAATCTCCCAAATAGAAAGTAGTCTTCCTTATTGGTTGTGCACTTGTACTGACAGTAATCTGTCTCAATGATGTAATTGAATAAGCTCTTCATCTGTTTGTTTTTCAGGTGAAGAGGAAGAAGGAGGAGGCATCATGGCAATGCAAACTGTTCAGCAGGAGTACATGCAGACTCCACCCATTACCAGGCTGTATTGTACATCATGTGTACTCACAACACTAGCTGTGGTAAGCAGTGTTCATGGCAAAAAGACAAATAAATTGTTTACCCCTTCTCCCCTCACCCCCCCCCCCCCCCCCCTTCAACATTTTAGTAAACTGGCCTTGCAACGTTCTAGTGGGATCATATGGGAAGACATGTGCAGTTTGACAGTGTGCATAAACCGTTTTTATTATCCTTTTCAGTATCCTTTCCGGTTTTCGGATTTTACCTACAAGATACCTTTTGTGATTTTCTTTTGAAATCATCCAAGCTTGAAGGTAACGCCTTTTAAGCTGGATGTACACTGTTGAGAATCTTACAGGTAAATGTAGGAGATTATGAGAACCAATGATGTAGAGACACATACCTTTTCTACTGATAGTGTGAAATGATTATTCATAGTTACTCTCTACCAGTAGATATTGCATGTCTGCCTGTATTGTGCCCCTGACACGTTTAGAAAGAGTAACCAATCCACTTTTAGCATGGGGGAAAGGGTGAATTAAAGCTGCTGTCTTCTATTGGATTACAATCATTTGAAGAGAGAAGAAAAGTAATAACAGAGTCAATTTTGAAGGGGAAAAAAATATAAGAGGCTTTATAAGTGGATTTGAGAGAGAAGATTATTGTTTGAAAATATAATACCAGGTAATCTCTTATTGATAATTTAAAGTTATGTAAGCAGATATTTTTGCCCTAACCAAGTGTTTTTCTCTGTTTCTTTCATTGCAGCAACTAGATATTTTGTCACCATTCCAGTTATACTTCAACCCTGATCTTATTTTCAACCACTTTGAGGTAAGATAAATGTTCATCTTTATTTACTATCTGTCAGAAAGTACTATGTTACATCATAATTCACCATCCCTTCGATTTTTCTCTTGAAAAATAAATCTTTGTGCATTCTGTTCTAGATTCTTTCTGTTCAGTAAGGTAATACATTGCCTTGTTTCATCTGCTGGACAAAGTTCAACAAAAAATGACCTATCCTGTACAGAATTATAGCAGAACCGAGAATATGACAAAGATTTATTGTGCACCATTATAAAAACCTGAAGATGTAATGTTGAATTGGCACTTATTTTTTTATGTTTTAGGACAGTTGGTTCAAATTTGTAATTTACCACTTCATTAAATGCTTGAAAGTATACAACAAAATAGGAATAAGAAGTCTTTCTTCATTTATTTCTTTCTTCATTCTTTTAAAATTGTTTTTCTTTGTCAGGTATGGCGGTTAATAACAAACTTCATGTACTTTGGAGCGATAGGCTTCAATTTCCTCTTCAACATGATCTTCACCTACCGATACTGTCGCATGCTGGAGGAGGGATCGTTCAGAGGGCGCACTGCTGACTTCTTCTTCATGTTTTTTTTCGGCGGCACCCTTATGACTGTATCCTTTCAATAATACTTGATAATTGTTATGACTCTGTAAACATATCTTACACCTTTGCACTGCTTTTTGTATGTGTGGTTCAGTCATGATCTAATTGCTCTAATTAATGGGGTTGTCATAGCTGCCAACCAGTGCTAGTATGGAGGAATGATTTCAATTTTGGAATCTTCAAAGTAATGCCATGAACCCTACATTCCTCTCTCTGTTGATAAAATTCTCTGTTTGAATGAAAATTGTAACAATACATGGTATTCCGAAGTGGGCTTTCAAAGATTCCTTTCTTTTACTGTGGAAGGTCGGCAGGTTTGGATATTACTTAGACGGGATAAGGACTGGACTTGATATTGCATACTCTGGACTGAAAACATGATAGTATCGAAAATAATATCGCTAGTACTTAATAAGAAGGGGGGAATGGTGATGACGAAAATGATATCTTGGGTAGACATTATTAGCCATTTCGGGGTGACAGAAATTTTGACAGAAATCATTCTATGTAAAGGATTACTAAATAATTTAAACCTCTGCTTTATACCCTTATCCAGAGGGTGGATCAGTTATATTCTGTAGACATACATACAGTACGTTCCTTGACTCTTAGTCCAGATTATAGCCCTGTTTGTCAACCTGGTGTTCCTGGGCCAGGCCTTCACCATCATGCTGGTCTACGTCTGGAGCAGGAGGAATCCTTACATCAGGATGAACTTCTTTGGTCTCATGAACTTTCCCGCACCTTACCTACCGTGGGTTCTTCTAGGGTTTTCTGTGCTGCTTGGAAACTCCATCATTGTTGATCTAATAGGTAAGCATTGGTCTCTGTTTTGGGGGCCTGACTTGAACTTTCATTGCCTTTTAAAGCCTGTCTGCACTAGTTTGGCCAGAGGGGATTGACCTCCCTTCAAGGTCACTGACAGGTGGTTGTCTCATCAAATCAACTCTCAATTAACATAATAAAAAGGGGATCATGGGGGACCAACATGCACAGATTAGGCATTGTTTGCTATATAGAGGGCGCAAGTAGCTATAAGTAGTGCAGTGGGGCTTTAAGGAAACTATCATAGATTAGAATTGCCTTTCTGGGAGATGCTTCTGTGGATTATATTGTTATTCTTTGGTCTCATAACCTTAGCTACTCTGGGTTCTTCAGGTTGAAACGATCCATCATTGTTGATATAATAGGTAAGCATTGATGTGTGTGGATCAGCCTGTTGATGTTTTCCCATTCAAGAACTGATTAACAATGCTTTGGAGGGATCCTTCTATGGATTGACATGTTTTTCTTTGGAAATTCAGCAATGTTTGTTAGTTTTGGGTCTCTTAAATTATCCTGTACATCCGCCTTTACTGTTGGGCCTGTGTCATGTTGTCTACCTCTCAGGAACTCCATAAGCATTTGCACCCTCATCTATGTGGCCAAACTTTAATATGTTTATTTGCCACTCCATACCCAGGAGATTATTTTTTTTTTAATGGGGGACGGGGGGTAGGAGAGGGCCATAAGCCATTTTGAGAACATTGACAGTATGCCCTCACTGTGACCTTATGGTATAAATTCTTCTATTGCAAGTGGAACGGTGCAGGTATTGTGCAGACAAAACAACATCACAAAAGAATGACTTTGAATACCGGGTACGGAAAAATGTTAAAAGGTACCTTTATCCATGCAATATACATGTAAAAATATTAAAATATCTTTAATGTTGTTCCTTTTATCACCAGGTATGGTTGTTGGTCATATATACTACTTCCTAGAAGATGTATTCCCAACTCAGAGGGGAGGTTTCAAACTCATCAAAACACCTGGTATACTGTAAGTACTTGTAGCATTACTAGCAAGAATTCTGTAACCTGTCATTTCCAAAGCTCTGATCATGAAGTAGAAGATAGGATATGACTAACAGACTATTGCTTAAATTCCTGTTACTCATACTTGAAAAATAAAAAGATATTGAGGTCTTTCTGAATCAGCATTATCCTCAAACTTATTACATTGATCTTTTAATTTATATGTTTGTGTTCTTCAAACAAAATGTTAGAAATTTGTAAATAAAGATTTTGCATTTTTCTTATTTGTTTTTTAATCCCATTTTCATTCTGGAAAATAAATTGTCTTTGGTTGTGTTGTGATTTGAATGTTTTTGAATCTGTAAGATTTTATTGGAAGTAAATACCAAAATACGAAAATTTATTCTTTTTGCAAGGAGAATTTTGAAATGTTGTTGTAAGGGATCATGAAAATAGAGAATATTATATCTGGTATCATGTTAAAAGCATGCAAGATTTACCTGCATATTTCTCTTGGTTGTATAACTTGCAGAAAAACGCTATTGGATACTGCACCCGAGGACCCCAACTACAACCCCCTCCCTGAAGAAGAGCGACCAGGAGGGTATGACTGGGGTGAGGATCAGAGACCACAGAATGATGAGGACCAACCACAAGAGAACCAGGACCAGCACTGATGAAGGCCTGGACTAGCTCTGATGGAAGCTTGGTGGACTAGTGGTGATTTAGGACTGCATTGCTGCTTATCTTGGAAGGACTATCAAAGACACCACAGATGGAAGGAGATTGGAAATTGACCAGGATGTAGAATGGATAGAGATTGAAATAGGAAATGTGGATCTGGATGTACCTGCATGTAGTCTGTACTGGAGATCTTGCCTCATATGTCCAACTACCTTCATGCAGCCTGCATTAAGTGATGGACAGACAGAAAGACAGAAAGATAGATGCAGACAGATTTAAAGATGTAGAGAAGGAGAAAACCATTGATGTAAAGAAAGACAGGTAGAAAGGGGAAAAGGGTTTAGAAAAAGAGAGAAGGATGTTTAAGAAAATCCTCACAGAGAGTTTGAGACGAATTTCAGACATTCGCAAAGAAGGAGAAAGACAGAGGAGAGACAGATGGATAGAAAAGTGTCCATGTCCATGATAACATAATCGCAGACTGAAACACAGCTCCACAACTTCAAAGACTTCAGGCATGATCACATTGTTGATGAAGAAGGACTTCACGGTTTGATGTTGGATTAGGGATGTAATAAAGAGTGGTGGAGAAAAAAATGAAGGGAGATCGCAGGATAGGAGACCATTATGGTTGCCAATTTGCCGTCTTATATGAACCAAGGAATAACTTTGAGTTAATAGTACTAAATAAACGATATAGAAATTTTAGGCCCATATTCTATTTTAAAAATTAAACCTTTTGTTCAAAATTTGGTTTGAAAAGGGAAGTTAGTCTGAGGTCTAATTTTGCCTTTGTAAAACGTGAGCTTAGACCCAGAGTTAGTTTAACTGAATTATTAGAATAGGACCATATGGTTCAAGGTGGATGGGTATATGTCACAAATGAATTGTTATATTATTTCTATGCCAAATCCAAAAGGGCATTATAAAATCATGTGCTTCATTTTCTTTCAGCATTACTGCATGTATACTAGTGGAAGTAATTCTCCATTTTACAGAAGTAGTCCTATAATGATTTATCAACATTTATACAAAATTTCTTTGGGTAAGACAGCTTCTAGTATATTCACATCTACGTGTAGGTAGGATGTTTCTGCAAATACTGTTTAATAATCAAGCTATAGATTTACAATATGTTTTTTAATTTTTAAGTGGTAGGACCAATAGGACATATCACGACTGTAGAATACCAGTATTGGGGCTATATAGGAAAGAAAGCTAACAATGCATCAGATCTCTATGAACTGAAATGAATTTCAGAATAAATAAACTATAATGTGCAAAAACACAAGTTTAAAAGCATATCTTTTGTTATCACCAAGCTATTTTTTGTTAAGTTTCTTTGGTAAGAGGATAATAAAGAAAGTGGGCCTAAGAAAGAGAGTAGTGAGAGGAGAAAGTTGTACCGATACCCTGGGAAGGTAACTTGTGACCAACATCAGAGTATACATCAGATCAGAGAGAGGGGATAAAGAGAGATGGAGGAAAAGGGAGAGATTGAGTGAGAGAAAGAAAGAAAGAGAGAGAGAGAATGAGAGTGAAAAATAAGAAAGATACTGATAAGAAGAAAATACCTACAGGTATGCAGTATTAAAAAGTGATACAATGTTGGTTTCATTGTTTCATATTCTTTACTTCCCTTCTTTCTCTCTTTCAGGTCCTCACCCCCCTCAACCCCTGTAATTGGGATGACACCACCTCGCCATAAACACACTCTTGTCATACTTGAACGTCAAGGACAAATTACATACTTTTTCCTGAATGCACATTCCAATGTATAAAACAGGCATAAATTCACACAAGGATTCAAAGAGATTCGATCATGCACAATACGTCCTCCGTAAATTTTGAAAGTGCTCCCTCTATCACCATATAAGGGTGAATAAAATGTTTGTGACACATTCTCAAAAGTTTAGAATTAAATCTTGTCTATTATACATATAGTACAGTAATATAAAGCATATTATTTAAATTAACATCTGTGCATGATCTTTGACAAGTTTGGCAAAAAGGGACTGGTCTTGGTAATGGAATCGATCATTACAGGCCTCTAAAATTAGCTGAGCGTAGTTAAAATACAATAATATTCACACACAAATTTGCTGTATAGGACCTACTGGTACTCAAAAGATATGTATAGGTGATAGACAAACTGCCGCCCTGCGACTGAATGAGAAAGACAAAATTGTGTTGTCTTCATTCTTTTTAACTGCAGTGCATTTGACTTAAAATACAGTCAACTTGGTATTTACCTGTATTTTCTCTGTCTCTGTTAGGAAGAAAGATATTTATTTACAATCTTGTTTGAAAGGCTGTTCGTCTCTTGTAGTCATTGCAACTGTCCTCCCTCTCTTTCTCCCCTCTCTCTCCCCATCTCTCATACCTCTGTCTCCCTCTCTCCTCTCATCTCCTCTCCTCCCCTTCTCTCTCTCTCTCTCTCTCTTGTCCTTCTTGTGTCTCTTTCTCTCTCTATCCCTTTGTCTCTTTCTACAGTATCTTTCTCTTCTCTCATTTGCTTCTTTTTCTTTTCTCTCTCTTTCTCTCCTTTGATTTTTCCTTTTCTTTCTCTCCCTCTCATTTTCCTTTCTTTTGCTCATTCCCCATCACTATCTTCTCTCCTCTCTCTCTCGTCCGTGTTTGTGTCTCTTTCTCTCTCTCTCTCTCCCTTTGTCCCTTTCTACGGTATCTTTCTCTTCTCTCCTTTGCTTCTTTTCTTCTCTCTCTCTCTCTCCCTTTCATTTTTCCTTTCTTTCTCTCTTTTCCCCTCACTATCTTCCCCCTACACAAGGAAATATCAAAACCCACAAAAATCAAAGAAAGACATCTTCAATTAATCGTTCCTTATATACTTCCGTACAGTACTTTTTTATTCGATCATTTGGTAATATATAATATATATAATAGATATTCTGAGCACTGAGTTGACGCTACATAATAGTTGTCGTAGTATAGTACATAATGTGGCCTAACCTGTTCTTAACTAGTAATCCCTCTTTTTTGCATTATATCATCTATATATCAAAGAATAAAAGACCTAAACATAATAAATAATCATAAGACGCTAGAAGCGGTCATTGCAAGATAAACAACCAGTCTTTCCAAAATGCACGCTTTCAAGTATAAAATGGCTACGTAGATGAGGTGGAGTAACTTTTCATAGTACAATATTTTTGTCATTTTTATGTTTTGTGACCTTAAAAAAGTAGATTAACATCGCAAGTTATATACATATATGTACTTTGCATTAGACTGGCATATATAGTGTACACATGACATGAACATATAAAAACAATAACTTTTACGTAACACTTAATAGTACAAACATAATAATCTATTTTCATAATGTAATAATATGTTATTCTTTGTATAGATTCTACAATTAGTTTTACTACAATGCATGACAAATATATAGAGCAAGACATTTCAGCTATTAAGCATATAGATTTCAAAATGTAATTATAACATGGCAAAAATAAAAGCGATTTTTAGCTTCATGAAAAAAAGAAATTGCTGTAGACGTGTGCAAGTTTGTTCAATACATACAGTTGAAATTTTCACCATTATTACAAGACAAAGATGAGGTATTAAGTACGTATGACATGTATGAGAATGCAATCAAATTTGAAGAATGAAATTCAATGAAATTAAAGGAGTTGTTTTTGTTATAGTTGTAACAATAACATATCTTGAACTAGTGACTGAAATTAGCAGAGGCCAATCTATAGGGGACTATAAAGCTAACAAATATTTTATTTATGGCTTGTCTGTACAAAATAAATTCCAAAATTCTTAACCCTCCATTCAATATGTTAATTGTAAAGGATTATAAATAAACACACTAACATAAATCCTGTGTAAGGAACCCCTATTGCATGCCCATTTCTACATGCATTCACAAGGGCACATAAGGAAACCTAAGATTGACTTTGGTTCCATATTTGAGGTTTTCATTTTTTCACAATCCATAACCATAGTTTTTAAAGTCGATTCATACAAACTAGCTGTATACAAATTAATTTCAACTGCTTAGTCCCCTTCTTAATAATTTTCAAACAAATTAAGCAGATGTTTTAATGGAATTCCTGGCAAGGTTGATTTTTTTAACACAAGCAAGTTACAAACAAATCATCATCGTTGATTTTCTGCAACAAGAGGAATTATTAAATCATGAAATAACATGTTTTCACATAAATGAACAGTAACGTCTTGCTTTTTCCTTTTTCAAAGCAATTATGACCAATCACAAATTGGTATGATAATCCAACTCTTTCTAATGATGAATTAAAACAAAATTGTTAGGAAATGTTCTAACATGAACTTCTAAAAAATCTGGAATAGAACTAGAATTTGGTCAAAAACAAAACTCACCCAACAGGACTTTAAAACAATAAAGATTTTTTTTTTAAAGTACTTCCACATAAAAGGTATATTCTTAAAAATCAGACCATATTTTTCAAAGAAAAGTGAAAAACTAAACATCTAAAATACATCAATTCCAAAATGTTTGTTTTGCAAAAGTGCAGACTTCAATAAAATGTGGGAATGTCATAAAAAGAAAATGACAACAAGGTTTTGAAAAAAAAATTAAATTTGTGTGTGTTAGTGTCTTTTCCACAAAGTGTATACACTTCATCAAAATGGTATACAGACCTGTGACATAACATGGGCAAGTAAGTCCAAACTATTTTGTCTTACAAGTTACCAAGCTCATCAAAGATTTTACTACTAGGTATACCTGATGATTCAATTAACCCAATGACTACTCCATATTCATATCCCCCATAGGTTGAACACAGAGACTGCCAGGTTCCAGCAGGTAACAGGTTAAGTTGGTTGCCCTACTGTAGCTTGGATCAGATGAATTACCAGGGGAGAGGAAACTTTTTATGGTAACCATGTTCCATAATCCCTGAAACTTGTTATAATATGGAATTCAAAATACATTGTCGAGTAAAAATCAATATTTAAAAAAAAAACATCCCCTTTTTGAACCACTTGAATCCAGAATGTGCTTTAAGAAGAAATTTTGGTTATATATTTCCCATATGATCAAAACTGTTTCATTGCCATCATATGGCTATAACAAATAAAATTTAAATAAAAACATGTTGAGATGCACATTAACAGAGGACACACATCTTTGGTTGCATGATGACAAGACATACCACATTCTCTGCCCATAGTACACAGATAAAACAAAATAAAAATAATTAAAATAAAATAGGCACAGCGACAAATGAAATACCGGTATCATTTTCAGAACAAGTTTGCTGGATAAGATTTGCACCACTACTAAATATCTTTGCATACAAGATAAACTATTACACTGATATATATATATTTCCTACATTTACAAATAAATCATAATATTCTCTCTCGATGAGCTGTCTTTTCTTGACATATTTTTGTCAATTTTCATATTTCACACAAATAATGCATTTCTAATATAATTAATTATATATCAATTTTTATACCAACAAGCTCTGTATTTCATACTCCAACTTTGAATCCACTTTGTTATCAAGTTTTGCTAAATCAACCCCTAAATTTGCTTTTTCATTTGCAAATACTAGACTTTTGATCAGTTTGGTATTATGATAACTGCAACAAAATTTTAACCACAGACTGTGGCAAAAAAATCAGATGCTTAAACCCTCATCCTTTAGAATGAAAGAGGAAGAAAGGAAACTAAACTGGAAAGTTACCAAAAGCTGTGAAATTAAGTAGATGGTGTTTCCATTTGTACATTTCTAAAAATCAGTTCAAATTAATGAATTAATGAATAAATAACATACATCCATTCTTTAAATAAATTTTAAAAAACAGCCATTATTTTCATCCTCCCAAGACAGGCGGCATGACATTAATCTAGGAGGCAAGAACAAAGCTCAAATGCCCTTCTTACAAATTAATTTAAGTAACCCTGAAACCATTTTTTCTTTACATTATCCTTTTCATTTCTAGCTATTTGCTGTTTAGATACATCTTATCGGAAAGTCTTCTTTTCTTTTTGAAGCTTTCTTGGTTCTTTCTACAAGTTGCTTCCATGTAGGTGTCAAAATATAAAATAATATGTCTCTTTACAAATGACAGGTTCCAATTTGTTTATCAAGTAAACTCTGAGCATTAGAGATGAAACTAATTTTATTTGTTCACATGTACACAACTGATTTGTTCGCGATATAATCTTCTAGAATGTCTGCTACTGTTTCAAAGCATTTTATTTGAACTATTCAGAATTATGTTATATCTTCCAGTTAGTGCTTGCATTACCTTGTTATGTTCATCCATAATATAATCACTACTTCTTCTTCTTTGCACATTTACATCACAAATCTAAGGGATAACTTTATGTGTAAATAATTAGAATTACAACAACAACAAATCAATGACAGTAGATTGATTAATGTTTTACATTGGCCAAGTTTTCCTCTGAATTTTCTTCATCAAAGACAAATTAACCAATAAAAAACATCTCAAAGTAGCCCACTGTGATATAATTTCAAAATCAATATTACCTCGCATCAAATCGTCAGGTTTCCATCACAACAACATTGATTTTTATCTCGAGTAGTTTTCAATATTTTTTCCTTGTCTTAATTCTTTGAAAGATTAGACAGAAATCACCTTAGTATGAGTTATATTTAGAACTTTAACCTTTTGATATTTTTTAATTGCCGAGAAGCACTACAACAATTAATAATTGAACATTTTAATGGCACCTCATTTGTTTGAAAAGTTGTTTCAATATTGAAGGGTTTCAGAGCAAAAACTGAGTTGTGGGATTGATAAAAAATAAACAGTACAGCTTCTTCTGCAACCAAGATTCTTTCATTGCAAAGTGTGAAAAACAATTAAACAAAAAATATAACAAACATTATAATATGTCTATTTTTTGTACAATCGGTCTCCTAACTCTTAAAAGAACAAATGCTTATAGATATTTGGACTAAATACTGAGCTCAATATTGTATTTGCCTTTACAATTTCTAGATTTCACCAAGAGTACTCCAATTAAGACAATTGGAGGGTGTATCATTATTTTTGATAGATGCAGATCATTTTGAGATGCATTTTTTCGAAGACTTTTGTGTTTGGCATACAACATGTCTGAGGGTGTAAATTTCATTTACGTTTTAAACACAAATAGCATTCTTTGATGCACATTTACTATCCATACATTTATAACAATAGTACCTTGCTTACACACAGCAATATATCTCATTTTGAATTGAATTAAATTAAATCAAAATATCAAATTAAATTAAATGAAATCAAAATAAATGTTTGAGCTGTTTGAAGTGGCAAGCTAGACAAAGTATCTCATTGAGTTAGTATATATGCAACAAAATACCATTTCAAAATATCATTTAAAAATATTAGCATAATTAATTGTAAGTACGAATTGGCTTGATATTTCATGGATAGGTAAACATATTTGGTGCAGAAATATATTCCTTGACAAACTCATTGGAAAGAATTTTCATTTGGTCCATCAAATACTTCCCTAAGATACAAACACCTCCCCATTTTTTGAAGTGGATTGGCTCACATGCAAACACCAACAAAGAAATAGGAACAGTCTATTACATCTATGGGAGAATTCATTTCCCTTCCACCAATTTCTAGTAATAGCTATTGCAATATAATTCTGAACATGCATAAAATATTATAGACAAGAAAATACAGAGATAAAGTAAATAATATGCAGACAGTACAATAGATAATATTTGCATTGATATATAGATTTGTAAAACATATAAATTGAGAGAGACAGCTTTCTAAATAACATGCAAAATTGTTCTCAGAGAGAAAGAGAGAGAGAGAGTGTGAGAGAGTTGTTTGCCCACAAAAAACATTTTAATTGAACCCCTCTCAGAAGCAAGGCATAAATCTCAAGATAGAGAAACACAGAAGAGATGACAAAGGAATGATATCAATGAGGGTCTACTCATAACAAATATGGTTGCTTTTACATCAGAAAGAACAACAAAAATCAAATAACTATACCTATTCTGTTATCTTCTTTAAAACAGATCTCTTTATTTATACATGGCTCCCTTTTGCATTATTATTAGTTTGTTTTTACACTCACTAATGACTCCAAATCTATTTTCTGATGTTTTTCTCCTTCTTAAAATATTCACTTTATTAAAAAGTATTAACAAATTGTTGGAGGTGGTCCTCCTTTGTATGGTTTCACTATTTTCATCTTCGTAGCAAAACCATTACAAAGAGTAAAATTAAAATCCAAAACAAGACAATCATGAATGAAGGACAAACCTGTTTTTATCTTGGCGCTTTCATTAGCTGGTAAATATAGCAATTAGCTGTTCCGTACCGACTCTTCCTGATATGGAGTTTAGAGACGATGGAAAAAAGAAAATGTTGCTAAGATGGGCGAGTTTTTTGTAAAAAAGAAACACAAGCCATGGATCCCATCATACTTTGGTCCACATTTTAAAAAGTTCTGTTAGAATGTCTGAAAACAGATTACAAGCAATTACATCTAAAAGAAAACGGGATTATTTGAGTCAAATCTTGAACTTAAGCTTACAAAAAATATTTAATAAATCTGCTTTTCTCAATTTTCATAAGGAGCCTTATTCACTTATAAACGTTTGTCTTCATTAAGCAACAAAACTAGCGGAAATGGATAAATATAGGACATTGTTTTCAAAGTGATTTTCTACTTTTATTTCTGTCCTAACATACAAATTCTTTTTCAATTAATTCAAATAACTTCATCTCTTTTCTCTCAAGTAAATCTCTCATTATTAAAATCAAAATGAAATAAAACAAAACAAACTAAATCATCTGACGCATTCTAGTACTGTCTTTGCTATGTACTTTCTGGCAACACAAATATCAATAAAGCATTGTATACATAATATAGATATATATATATCATCAATATAGGTATTCTTCTGACTAAAAAATTTGGTACTGTATATTTCTATAGAATGTTGAGATAAACATGAGGCAATAAGTCGTACCTTTTCATAAAGGTTGATAAAAGAAGCATAATATATGCATAAAAACACACATCTGTGATGATAAAAATGATGATAATCATCAAACTAATGGCAATAGTAGTATTTTTCAAATTGTGATACAAAAACAATAAAATAGTAGCAAGCAAAAGTACTGAGTACACTGTATATTTGGTATTAATTCTCTAGTACATATTTCAAGAGTACACATGTCTTGAAGTTTAAATGTACATTGTACTTTTGATGACAATTCTGCCTGTAATAATATGACCTCACAAGTTAAAGCATCCTTTATAGTTTTTCCTTTAAAAGATGACATTTCTTCTGCCATCTCTAGATTTTATTTTCTTTCTCCTTTCTTTGCCATTTGGAGTTGAGAATAGTTACAATACAAACTATTAGGAATGCAGGGGAATAAAACAAGAAAAACAGAACATAAATCAATGAAAAGCTGTAATTTTCATGAACTTATTCCTTCTTTTAGCTGAGCCTCACAAAAAGATACTTATGGGCTTTATTTTCCATGTTCAATCAGCAATCACTCATATGAAGCTAATCCTCCAAAAGCAGATTTCATTTCAAAACATATTTTTGGAAAATTACAATCGTGTTCTTCATTTGCACTTTCCTGGAAAGAAGTACCAAATTCACATAATTTGCGTACCTCCAAATTCTTTTTTTTGCTTTACGAAATGCCCAAAATATAATCTACACAAGATCCAACTAAGCACCAATAAAAAGAAATTATAGAAGAGAATATTTCAAGACATAGAACTTTGTACTTGTGCAGACAGGCAGTCTATGCTGTTTAATAGCAAATATTAAAGCAAGCCCAATATATTGCCTGACATCACAATGATCATAACAACAGTATGCATAGCTTGACAATAGGAACACTGATCAGGAACAGATAACAAACATTGCCTTTCACAAGTGTGAACACGTATGGAAATTGGCCGCCATCAAGAGAGGGCGCTAGACGAGTTCCTGTATCTCCTGCTTGATGGTGACTGTGCGGTTGAAGAGAGCAGTGAGCTCCTGGCCTATATTGGCGCCCAGGGTAGGGTGCGTGGATGCCATCTTGGCAAAGTTGACAAGGGCTTCCCGGAGACGATCCACCTCCTCCTTCAACACACCTTTCTCCTCCCGTTCCTGATGAGAGAGAAAAAAAGTATGTATCGTTTAAAAATCACAGTGGATTCAACAAGAAAGGCCTGGTTTAAAAGACTATGCTGTAATGAAACTTGCTTGGGATCTTCAAATGAACTGAGGTTATTTGATATATGTTTGAAAATATTCCTTGAAAAAAATCGCAGACAAAATTATCCACCTTTAAAGAATACTTTCGGGTTAAGTGTAAGAACAATATGTCAAAGGCAAGCAGTATTTCTGCCTGTCATTGCGTCTGTAAATCTTGATTAATTCCTCATGTCAATCTTCCCTTCTGTCACCCTCTCTATCAATCCTTCTCTCTCTCTTTCTCTCTCTCTTTCTCTCTCTCTCTCTCTCTTTCTCTCTCTCTTCCTCTCTCCCTCTCTTCCTCTCTCTCCCTCTCTCTCTTCCTCTCTCTCCCTCTCTCTCCCTCTCTCTCTCTTCCTCTCTCTTCTATTCTTATCTCTTCTCACTGATATTTCTCATTCATATCAGTTATTATCTTAAAGCTTTTGGTTTCAAACATAATATACTTGACTGGGAGCTAGATATGAATTAACTCATCTCGTATAAAAAGCTTTAATGCCCTTCTGGCTCTGGACGTGCAATATTCAAATACAGCATTGAAAAACACAGGAACAATAACACTCAAGAAATCCCTTGACAATAAACCGTTCCAAAATTTGCATGTCGCAGCAGTAGCTGATGAAAGTGAGCAACTCTGTCTCAATTTTTGCTGCCATATTTTGGCTTGATTAGATTTCATAGTTGCTTTAGTTCCACAAATTACATTATTGTTTGAGCGAAGAATTTGATCCCGAGACCAGACTACATGCTGAGTGAGATCTGTGTGCTCAATGACATTCGCGTCACCACCATGTTCATTCTATCTTGTCCGCTGAAAGCCAAAAGGACATTAACTCTACGCCAAGTGCTGTGAGTTAACACTCTCTGGCTCCCAACAGATGATCTCCTTCTTTACTCCCAAAACAAAAGCAATGTTTCCAACAAGGAATATGATCTTATCTTGTCAGCTTCTGGGAAAGAGATGAAGAGAGATATCCTTCATATCGATGCCTACGTCTGGCTCAATCTTTCAAGGAAGTTGAAGATATTCTTTTTCAATAATAGTATACTATACGGTCACCTGTTTGTTTGGAGCCAGAAGGGCATTAACTCTGTATAGCAGTATATCAGCGTGTCCACACACAAAACAATTTATCCCGAAACTCTATAACGAAACGTCGTATAAAGAATCATAGTATAAATTTCAAAGTGTCCACACACAAGAAACGTCATATAAATAATCATCGTATAAATTCAAGGATGTCCATAAACAGCAGAAAGTAATCCTGAAACTCTACAGTCTGGTCTCCTTTCGCTCGAGGTCACGCTAAGCCCCGCCCAATTAGTTACACTAGTTACACTCCCCCTGTCCACACACAACATTTTCCGTGATTAGGCGTGATTCTTTATTGAGTTTCAGTTCGAAACGATGCCCAAACCTGCGTTTCGTTAGACTAGTTTCGTTATACGACGTATCGTTAGTGAGCTTCCACACACACAATTTCATCATAAAACTATCGCGAAACGGTATCACGATCGCGAAACGGTATAGCTAATCACGGAAAATGTTGTGTGTGGACAGGGGGTATGACTAATGCCCTTGTGGCTCCAGATGAATTATCCTCTATACGTAATTGCTGTCCTGTATACTATATACTTATACTGAAGATGTACGCATTAGATCGGGAGCATGTTTTTGCAAATTTTATGCCCACATAATGATTAAATGAACAAGTTTTTGAAATAAAAATAGGAAATATCTTCTCACCTTGCTGAGTTGGTCCCTGAGTGATGTACATTGAGTACAATCTTTGCCATCTTCTGACTTCCTTTCACAATGTCTACTGTAGAGAGAGAGAGAGAGAGAGACAGAGAGACAGAGAGAGACAGAGACAGACAGAGAGACAGACATACATACATTAATAGAGAGAGGAAGAAAGAGAGAGAGGTAGAAAGAGAGAGAGAGAGAGAGAGAGAGAGAGAGAAAGAGAGAGAAGGGAGATAATGAGAAAGATAATCAATAAAGATCATTAAAACAAAAAACAAACAAAACTTTGTTAATTCAAGGTCTTGATCTAGTAAAGCTACTTTACAATTGTTCCAACAACAACGCCAACATTAACTTCCATTTACTAGCAGTGTGTCAATACCTATTTCAATGTTGTTTTATACTGTATATAATACAGCCTGTTTTTTGTTTACTCAGCCAACAAAATTGTAACTTTGACACAGAAAGACCTATGTATGAACTTGTCTATTGTTCTTTTTCTCAATATGCATACTGTTGACTTCTTCATAATTTTTGTGAAAAAAGACATTGTCTATATACTCCTACATGCAGATGTATACATGACATACCGGTATATAGGCTTGTACACATATATAATAATAATATAACACACGTAAATTGCACCATCTATACAGTGAAACTATTCGGAGACACATTATGAAATAAAGAAGTAAGAAAGGAGAAATACAAAATAGACTACAAAATAATTTTAATTGTGTTGAATTACATTCAGGTATTGCAAGCATTGACTGTCTTCAGATTAGGAATCAAAAGTTTCTAAGGAACCAGAATTGAGATCAGTGTAAACATGTTCTCTAAGCTTTCCACATTCCATTTTCAGTAACACTGGTTTCTTCTTACGTTACACAGTAGCCGATGGCCAAAAACCATTTCAAAGCATCAATGTATCTATCAAACCTGAAATGGGTTTTACCGGTTTGAACAGACCCTCTACACATTGTCCCCTCTCCTTCCCACACTGGTCATTTCATCATTTACAGTACAGGTCAACTAGCTCCTTTGGAAGCCCATGACTTCCTTCTATACACTATAAAGTAGATTACGGAACACCAATTTATCTATGGCATCTGAAATAGGTTTTTACCAATTAGTGTAAATAGACTCCCTAGAGTCCCTACCTTTTTTTCTATCTCCCCTTCCCAGACTGAACGTTTCCCTCTTTACATGATAACAAGGCATAATTCTTCCTATTCAAATCACAGAAATCTACCCTGAATGCTACACCAAAAAGGGTAGTCTATCAGGAAAGGTTTTTCACCAGGATAAAAAGACCATCTCCCATTCTTTTTATCTCCCCTTCCCAAAGGGCCCATTACCTCTTTTACAACACAAGCCTACTTACTACTAGCTGCTTTATAAGCTTTTGCTTTCATTCTATAAAGTGTAATATTACAGAGCACAACTTTATCTATCAGATCAGAATTGGGTTTAGCAAGTGTAAACAGACCCTAAATCCCCTCCCCTTCCCACACTGCCTGCTTCCTCCTTTACAATGCAAAGGACGATCACATGATTCCAACAGGAAAGAGTGGGCGAGATGAGATAAAAACGTTTCAACATTCCATCAATTGAATGGGGGCAACAAGTCGTAGATCACGAACAGGGAACTATAACGAAAACAGATCTGAAAAAACTCCCCCTTAATAGTCAAATTTTCATGAAAGGTTGAAAAACATAAACAAATACTCCTCTTAATGGTAATTCTTATGTACAGAAAAGGAATGGAACAAATTTGAGTTGGAACATAATGCATTTGTGCTTGGTGTAAAAAAAATCAATGTCTTTAGAGTTGTCTGGTCAATCAAGTCTGCATTGTTGTTTTTTGTTCGAGAAATATGACCCTTCTGGTACCCATGTAATTCAGCATTGATTTCAAGGATTTTCACTTAAAAGAAAATTATGTTTTGACTAAGATTAGGGTAGGCCTTTGTCCCCTAGTCTTCAAGAAATGCTCTACAGGAAGTTTCATTGAGCAAGAGATACTCAATGTCCTACTATTTATTCATACAAAGAGCCAGTATTACAAAAGTATTATGTCTTTTAGAAGTTTAATGTTTATAAAAGCAGTGGAATAGAATGAAACATCATTTTATATTGACAAATGATAGAGCGCGTTTATCTAGGCTTGCCACTAGATATGTACATATCGTACCCCACTATCGAACCCCACTATCGTACCCCACTATACGATCGTGATTTGCGGGATGTCGCGTTTATCGACCCTTCATGATTCAAAATAAAGGCCTTGTGTCTGCCCAGCTGTTTTGACCCGGGAAGCAGACAGTTTCTCGGAGGTCAACTTCACACGTATGCTTGTACACAACACCTTGGTGATCATATTTGTATGTGAGGTTCAAAACAGCTTTGCGTTTATCGATCTCTCAGAAACGTGATTCTGGCTGTATGTCACATTCAAAACGCACCTTTTTGCGTCTTTAGATATGCCCATATCTAAAGACGTTTGAAAAAGGCTTTGCGTTTATCTACTTCTAAATTTGCCTGAAAGACGTTTGAGAAACCTGATTCTAGCCAAAAATTTGCTAGATAAACTCAACCATAGACTACCCCTACCCCATTCCACCCACCCCAATTTGAAAATACCTCACAAACAGAAGATTATTCAAGAAATTGAAGGGGAAAGCATTGAAAATGGAAGGAAAAAATGAAGAAGAATTAGATTGAACTTTGTGTTTGTTTGATTTGTTGTTTTGAAATCTACCCACAAAGAATTCCACAACACAATACACACAGCTGCATGTATGTACATGTAATTGTGCTTGAGGAAGGGGTGCCCGCAGAGGGGTATAGAAAGAAAAATAAATTGCTGAATCGAATCAAATTTGGCAGAAGGATCATTCAAATGAATCCAAGCATGGAGCCTGAAATTGGAGTTTTCCTCTATGAAACGCAACAATGTTTATTTTGAAGGACGCAAATGCATTTTGGGGTAATGGGTAGGTAACTCGAGTTAGAAAAAGGAGGGGAAAAGGGATTGGAAAAGAAAATTGCATACCTGTTGACGAAGTATCATCAAAGTCTGATGTATTCAACAAAATATGAATGCCATTAGACAACAGTGATTTGCACTATAGGAATGGCATGCATTATATTATAATGACAGACAGTCATGAATGGAAGGTTTCTACTAGGTCTAGACAGCAAGGGGCATGGGGGCCTTGGACAGGGGGGGGGGGGCATTTGTGAGGTAATTCTAATCTTCACTGTACAATGCCGCTATAAGTTTACAAACAATCATCAAAATGCACTAAAAAGGGTCAATATGTTTAAGTTTCAGTTCTGTTTCTTCGTTCAATTCTCAAAAAGTATCTTTGATGGAAATTAATTTGACATCTAGGCCTATATGTATCTCTTCTGTCTTTCAGAAAAATGAATTATCATTTTCATTTTAATCCAAGCATTTAGTAAGCATACATATAAATTGAGAAATTAGATTGAATTTCCTTTTTACCATGACATACAAAAATACAGATCCAAACAAGAAGGGAACAAATTTTGAATACCAGTAGATGTCTTTTCATATATAGGCCTACCCATTTCTACTAGCCATAAATATTGAGCTTAAAAATTTAAGTAGAAATAATGATTTAAACTTGTAGATTCACATCTATATCTCATCAAATCTTAAACTCCATAATATAAAAATTATGCTCGAAAGAACTTTTCTAAAAGGCATTTGAAAACCAATCACCAGCCAGGCACACACTAATTTGACTGAAAGTGGGAAGAATACTTGTAACATAAATTGCACCCCCATGCCTACTGCATATCCCTTAAAAATCTGGAAATCTGGAAATGAGGAAACGCACAAGAAGGAATTTCAAAAAGAATACAAATTGCGAAAACTGAATAGGAGAGATCTATATCCCATCAATTCAGCGTTTGAATTCAATGCTTTACATGCATGTCACCTGGCCCCGCACTGCTGGTTTTCTCTCTTGCATGTTGTAATGCAAGCTTTCAAACTGCATATTAGCAAAACAGACTGGGCCTGCAACATGATAACTTTCATCATATTGGAAAAGGAAACTGATCTGGCCGGCCGCAGATCTGATTTCTCACAAACCTTCGCCAGGCTCCAGCTAATGTTTTAAACCCAATCTTGTTTATGCCTGTGCATGTATTAATCATCTACCAGGAAAGAGAGGGAGAAGAAGAGGGAGAGGGTGGGAGAGGGGGAGAGGGTGGGAGAGGGGGAGAGAGAGAGGGAGAGAGAATGGGAGACGGGGAGAGGGGGAGGGATTGGAAGATAGATTGGGGAGGGGTGAGAGAGAATATATAGAGGTAGAGTATGCATAACGAGAGAGAGATGGTGAGAGGATAGATGAGAGAGGAGAGAAAAGAGGGAGTGGGTCGAGGAAAAGGGGAGAACCTATAAAAAAAAGAGAAATGGAGACGGAATAGAAGAGGGAAGGGGAGAAGAGGGAAGGGGAGAAGGGAGAGGAGGAGGGATTGAAAGATAGATTGGGGAGGGGTGAGAGAGAGAAATATAGAGGTAGAGTATGCATCACGAGAGAGAGATGGAGAGAGGATATAGGAGAGAATAGAGGGAAAGGAGTGGAAGAGAGAGGGGGGGTTGGTAGAAGGACAGATAGGGAAAATGGTAGGGGGGAGAGGGAGAATACAACATGAAACAGAAAAATGAGAAAAAGAAGTAATGGATAGAGAGAAAGCAAAAAAATTATGTTTGGAAAAGATGTTGAAAAATTTAGTTTAAGAGAGAGAGAGGGGGGGGGGGATGGGTGAAAGATGGGGAAATGAGAGTAAAGCAGGAATAACAGAAATGAAAGAGAGAGAAGAAAGAGTAAACCTGAGAAATTTTGGAGCTGTGACATGTTAAAGAGGTAGAAAATAAGTCATACATGTGAGAGGAAGAAAGAGAGAGAGAGAGAGAGAGGTGGAGAGGAAGAAAGAGAGAGAGAGAGAGGAGAGGGGGTGGAGAGGGGGGTGGAGAGGGAGAAAGAGAGAGAGAGAGAGAGAGAGAGAGTGAGAGAGAGAGATGAAAGAGAGAAATTGTTGAGTTTTTAAACTGGAGTTTATTTCTGTGCATCAAATGTTGTGACCTAACTATTAAGCTTACATTATCTATCTAATACAAAAGAGATGGTTACTTCACTGGTTCAAGTAAACTTTTTCCAAGTCAGGTTCTCGGAAATAAAGGAATACAATAAATACCCCAAATGACCCGATAAGGATGATCAACCCCAAGCGGAGAGAAAGTTTCTACTTTTAGGCTACCCTGAAGTTGATTTCAGAGCCTCAGTGGATGGCAAAAACAAATTGAAACTTGTCTTCCTAATTCAATAATCTCCTAGTTGTCTTCGGTTGTCATAAAAACAAATGTGATAGATGCGTCATGGCAATATTCCATTCCTTGTCGCATATCTGCTTATTTTCTCTTAGTTTCTGCGGCACCAGTCAATAACCGTTAGCGATCGTGTCCATCCAGTCTGTGCGAAAATCAATCCTCCCTGACCCTCCGTGGCAACTTCTGGTAAAATCATCCGTTTTTGAGCCGGATCGCTTTCCCAAAATCCCTGTTTTAATCGCAGTTTTATTGAAGGCTCCCGATCGGTTTTCTTCGCTGATGAGACGACATAATCCGTTGCAGACTATCAAACGTGTCGGATGAGCATAAATAATTGCCAACTGACCTATTTCAGGATTTGGTCATTGTTGCAGTATGGTATCATGGAAGCTCTGGAGCGGATGTAGGTGAACATCGGCTGGGGTGCCATAAAATGGGGGGCATTTAATAAAAGGAGGCTGTCAAGGATTTCTAACCCCCCCCCCCCCCCCCCTCTCCTTCCGTGCCACAACCATACAATGAACATACTGAATCAGATCACAAAATGAGTGGGGAACTGCCAGTATGCAATTCTAGATTTTGAAGCTTTTTTCTTCAAACTGAAATTAATTTGATCTTATTATGAGAAAGAAGGTAGAATGCTACAAACTCATTTCATGCCTTCATTTTTTAGGCATACCAATATACATGTACACTTGACTAACAATATTTGCAAAGATATTTATCATGACTGGGAAGAGGTAAGAGAGCATGTACGTGTACATGGGAGCTTCATCTCATCTTAAAAGAAAGGCTGCCCTATAAAATCAATGAAAAAGTTATATTTTACTTTTAGTAAAATAAACAATAGGTTAACTTTGATTAATCTGAATAAATAAAAGGACAAACAGTACACCTGATTTCTTTTTCATCGAAGGTAAGCGAATTTGAGAAATTAGATATTGTTACTATCCAACCCACTCAGAAGTATTAACTTATTATAGGGAAGAATTAGTTTCCAGAGATTTAGGGAAAAGGGTACTACCGGTAGTCTAGAATTATAATTAACAAAGAAAAGAAAAGTAAAGGAAAAGCAGTTTAAAGAAACCCAAAAATGACTTGAGAGTGAGAGTAAGAGCATACTTCAAGGAATTGGTATCTTATATCTTCTAAAGATCTTGCGATTATTTTTGGCTCTATGGTTTTCAAAGGCTCTCTCTATACATAGGCTAAAACTGTAGAATAATCTGCCTGTACAATAACAACAATGGCTTAAATTGAATCTACACTAGAAAAATGATCTGATCTCTTTCGGAAAAGAGCGTAAAAGGCTCGGGAAGAGCTCCAAAATCCACCTTCGAATCCCACAAACAACGGATCCTTTACTAATCTTAGGCTCAGTTTCTTTTCTTGCAACCGAGACTGTCGTAGAAGGGGATTCTGGCTTTGAAAAAATCAAAGACTTTAAAGAGAGAATTATTTCAGAGGGTGTGATTGTCGTAGAGATGGATCTCGCCGCAGGACTAGGATGGAGTCAAACTAGAAAGATGATCTGATAGGACTAGAGAGCGAGAGGATGGAGTAGTTCATAATTACCTCCTAATAACCTTAAATTTCAATCGAACACAGCAATATTCATTCAAATAAGAGTTCACTTTAAAGTGTGATTTACAGGTGAAGAAAAAAAAAAGATTCCCCTGACTGAACGGAAAATTGGAATTTTAATCAACTCCCCAAACAATAAATCCCCAAACAATTACATGATTAGTTCCTGAATGATGTACACCTTTATTATTATGGTCAATGATTATAAAATTTGAAGGATAGAAACCATATCATAAAACAATTAGTATTTAAAGCTATTAACGGCAAATAAGGTCAGCTTAAATTCTTTATGTCTCGAGCTCTGTTCAGGCACAAGTCAGCTTGGGTTCTATTCAAGAGAAACTCCTCCATTTAAAACTCAGTAAATACGGTATCAAACTTGATCATTCTCAATTTACAAGAACTTTCCATATGGAAAATGACTTTTATTAATTTATTCTGCTGTAGTTATTCAGTATTCACTCATGATTTGATAAATGTTTTGAATAAAAAGGGGAAGAAATCCTCTAGATTTTTCGGTACATCACAAGAAATTTTTTTTTTAAAGTTGCTGATTTACACAAAAAACACTCCATTGATTGCTATATACCCTCCATCTTGACAAGATCAACCAGTATGGCTACACATTGGTCTGTATTCTACTCAAATTGACACCAGATTGTGGGTTTAACCTTGGTCTAAAGTCAGTACTAATGGAGGAAGTAAGACCAGGGTCTAAGATCTTCCTAAGATCTAAGGTCTAAGATAATGTATGAAGAATAGAGAAGAGATAACTCACCTTGTTGAGCTATGTTTGCCATTCCATATCTTGTGTCCCATCTTGTGGAGTTGTCTCCCTGTGTCTTCAGCGTGCTTGTGATGCACTGTCATTGTTGGTTTGGTCCCTGAGGAATCGTTCTGGTTGCAGCAGTCCCGACACATAGAGCGGTCTCCTTCTGGGTTGCCACAGACCATGTCTGTTGTCGTGCCCCCTACTGCATCCTCTTTCCCCATGGCTAAACGTGCCCTCTCGTGCCGCTTACGATGCGTCCGGAAGTCTGAGTAGAGGAGAAAGGACAGCCCACACTCTTCGCACTTGTGCCTGTTCCCTGTCATCAAGTCCATGATGGCAGAAGATTGGAGGAGGTTGGCTTCTTCCGGGGCTTGTTCCCCGATGAAGGTGACATCGGATTTACCAGGATTAGAGGGGCGTGGTTGAGATGACAAGGAAGTTGGTGTCTTTGGTGATTTGGGGTTAGAGAGATCCAGAACCATCCTGTTGGTCCGAAGCATCTTAGGATCTGGGCCACCCTGCTGCAGATCACATTCTCTCTTAAGTACTGTTAATTCGCTGAGTGGTCTCCTCTCCAGGAGCGTCCTTAACTTGCTGTTGTTGAGTATTGATTCTGCCATAGCGTTGTTGTTGTTGGTTGCCACTGTGGTAGTACTGTCAACGAGCTCCTGGGAGATACGGTCTTGTTGGTCTTCCATCTTCCTGACTTGCTTCTGTTGTTGCTGGATGCGACGCTCCAACAGTTGCAGCATGCCCATCAGCTCTTGTTTATTCTGCACATTCTTTTCTGCAGCATTTGTTAGCATCTGCTTCAGCATGGTTGGCCTCTCTGATTCTTTATCCACATCGTATTTACTTCCTCTGGCTGCATGCGTGTGGCGGTGATGTGTCAAGTCCGATATCAAATCAAAACCTTTCCCACAGATATTGCATTTGTACTTCTTTTCAAATACATCATGATGCCTCACACGTTGATGGGTCTGGATCTGCCGTAACTTCTTGAAGAAGTCTCCACACAGGCCACACCTGTAGGAACCGGGGGATCCCTTACGCTTCCCGCGTACCCTCTTTGGAGACCCGTCCTCTCCTTTCGCAAAGGCTGCCTTGCAATCAGGATGCTCTGCTACATGGGCAACGAGGTATGCTTCTGTTGGAAACACGCTGCGGCATTTGAGGCAAGGGTAGGTCTCTGGTCCATGAATGGTTTCGTGCTGTCTCTGGTGGTCCCGGTCACTGAAGGCCTTCCCACAGATACCACACTTGAAAGGCTTCTCCCCACTGTGGATGCGCTGCCAATGCCTCTTTAAGTGGCACTTCCTTCTGAACGCCTGGTGGCATTCTGCACACTCAAAGGGACGCTCGTTGCTGTGCGTTCTTCTATGCCTCATCAGCTGGCTTGCATGCTGGAACGTCATGTTGCATATGGGACAAGCATGGATCTCTGGCACCAGGTTCCCATTCTCATTGATGACAAGGGCTTCTCCTGTTAGCGTGTAAAACTCTCCATTGGTAGGTAACATGGTGCCAGTCACAGGACTTATTATTGGGTGACCATTGCCCAAGGATTGCGCCATGGGGATGTGGTACCTCATATCCAAGACCTCACTGTCATTGCTCTCTGTGTCTCTCCTCAAGTCGATTGGAATGGGAATGGGTATCTGCAGTGGGATGGGATGGTGTAGCGTGACAGTGGCTTCATCATCTGTCTTTATCTCCTCGGCTGGCTGGCCTTTCTCTGCTTCGGGTCCAGCCCGACATATGTGCTTTCGTAAACTTGACTTGGAAATATATCTCTTCTTGCATACTTTACAGGGGTAGAAGTTCTCTCCTGATTCCTCTTCCATGGGTTGGCTTGGGCTACTCATTGATCCTGTCTCTTCGTCGTACAGCTTGTCTTCGGAATCATCATCACCATCCTGGCTATCTTCCGCAGCCTGTCTTTCCAGCTCTCTACAGTGCATGATGGTGCCGTCCACGATGTTATATCTCGTCACTTCCTTAAACATTGCTGCATCATCATCATCATCCACCGGACCCATCCTACTTACAAACTTCTTCCCTTCCTCCTTCAGGTCATTCTCTTTCAGTTTCAAGTATTCCAGGACCTTGGGCATATGCCCAAAGTGTGTACCCGTATGTCCATTTGTACTGCCCTTGGGGATTTCTTCCGTTGCTTCAGTGGTGGCCTGCTGGGCGGCCTGCATCTTAAGCACAGCTGCGTCAGCTGGGTCAAAGCCTTCGATGCATTTCCTGAAGTCGTCCAGGAAGCTGCCGGAGTCAACCAGAGACGAAGATGAGGATGTCTCTCCTTCTATACTCTCATTCTTTGATTCTGAAAAGAAAAAGGATGAAAAGTAAGAGTAAATTCCTCAAGTCAAATGTTACTTTTCATTCCATTCACTTAAAATAACTAATTTCTCTACAGATGTATTGATAACTGACTTAATATTTATATGTTCATCTAATCATATTTAAGAAAAAAACGATCCTATTACATGTAAATGTAGATAAACATCCATATGGCCTAAAGGCTATATATCCTATACTTGCAAAAGTGTTGACGATGAAGATGTTTCGATTGTAATGATATTTCTTTTTTAGTCAAGTGAAAATAAATCTGTTGCTTTCCAAACATACACAGAGCATCCAGGACAAGAAGGAGTGTCATTTTTAGAAGAAAACATGAAAACATGAAAACCCTACAACACACAGTAAACATGACAGATTTGCAGAGAATAAAAGAAGTGTTTCAATAAGACAGAAATCCAGCTGCACTAAGGGAACAAATAACAGTGGTCATCTAATGGCATTTGGAAAATCATCACCAGATTGTTGATAATTTGCAACCCAACAAGTCCATCTCTCTCTTTTCCCTCTTTTATCTCTTCCATGGGGATGCATGACACCACTACAGCAGGGACTTCATATTGCATGTCAAATACTTAGAGATATTTCCATGCCCACACATGGATTAATGCCTCTCCGTTTGCGCATTTACCGAAACAGAAACGGACAGAGAGACAAAGGATGCAGCCGTCTTTATTGCACCACCCCAGGTGAAACATTCAGCTAGAATTTATATCAACGGTTGCGATCAAACACTGCAGCCTTTCCCTCCAACTCCCCTTGATTTCCTTGACATCTAAGTGGCATTTTACAATATTATCTCGCTTAAAAGGAAACATCGAAGGCAGAGGTAATATTCGTAAAACCCCTCTGGATAATAGCCCGGCCGCGTGTCACGTTCACTATCAACGAGCCACTCTCAAGCCGATGGAGGAGAGAGTGGACGAGTCATGTCATGTAAGAGCATTTACCAGAGAAGAAGGAGGAGAGAAAAAGAAAGGATAGCATCATCATCATCATCATCTGTGGAGCATTGTGACAGCAGCTTGTTTTATTGAATCCCACTTCGACCACCCTCGGGATGGGGATACGGTTGCGCTATTCACGCCCAATTGTGGGCTAACCGTGTACCAAAATACGGCTCTGGAGTTATTACAAGGGATTGTATCCCTCTGGGCAACGGGTTGATCCCCAGTGGCTGTCAACCAGCAGGTGACGACGTGTGAACACACCCACATCCGCGACCAGACACATGTTGCATGCACACTCGGTGTTACATACGTTTCTAAGCTGCTTCTCAAATGTCTTCAAGGTCTTACATTGCACTTTAGAACGATAAATCTGAACTCCTTCCATCCACTTTATGACTGATTTAATTATGCACTTATGAAAGCTTAATTCACTGTCAAGAATTCAAATGCAAAGCATCCACTTTTTTTGCTTCTAAAATGACAGAAGAAATGAAATATAGTGACTTTTACAGGTTGAAAGAAAGAAGGAGAGTACATAGATTTGTAACTTTTAATTTTATCCCCTTTGAAAAGTCCTTACTGACTCAATGCTTCACTGTTACTAACAACAAAAAAGTCACTTGAAAGTCTCATTCCCCAAAAGAGAGACACACTTCCATATCGCTCGTTACTTCATGTACGATTTACAAAATAGCTGTTGTACAAACCACTTTCAGAAGCATTAATTATACTTTACCAATGAGACAAGATGAAGTTCTTAACATTTTACAGTTCACTCCCATTCAAAGTGATCTATGACTCAGTGCGCTGGCTTCCGCCATTCAAAAGTACTTTCAATAATTGCATAATTTAAGGATAATGTGGTTTCAATTTCTATACCGGTGTGCGTAATGCCAGTATTCAATAATTCACCTCTAGACATTTCTTCAGAATTCCTGGAGGACATTTATCTACTCCAAGATAATGCATGATTAACAAGATTATTAGGCATACTGGGTAGTCTCTGGTGATTTAAACAACTTTATGTATTATAATATTTAGCAACATATATTAATTTCTTGTCGAGTTGTACTTTGCGAGACAACTTGGTACTGAGATGCTGACAAATCAGTCAAATGATATGACAATATTTCAAGATATTGGTAACAAAGCCATTAGTCCCTTCCCATCAGTATTTTCCCCTCTCTCTCTCTCTCTCTCTCTCTCTCCTTCTGTCACTCACCATATTTCACCTTCTTCATATCTCTAAACCCATTGCTTTCAACATCTTCGATATCAACTATCTCCCTTCTCTCTCTCTTTCTCTCTCTCTCTCTCTCTCTCTCTCTCCCTCTCTCAATATCTCACTATCTCCCAATTCTTTCCACCTTTCTCACCTTCCTCCTCTCTTTCTCTCTCTACTGAGCCATACCATATTTCCACTGCACTACACCCTTATTTTATCTTTTACCCTTTGTATCCCTTCCTCAAAGTCTCCTCTCTTTAATCCTTCCTTTACCCTTCTATCTTTTTCTACGACATTCTCCTTTTCACCCCCCCCCCCCTCTCTCTCTCTCTCTTTCTCTCTTTTCCTACCACTCCCTTTCCCACTCTCTTTCTCCTACCCCTTCCCTGATTTTCACCTTCTCCTTCTCCTTCTCCTTCTCCTTTCTCCTTTCTCCTTTCCCCTTTCCCCTTCCCCTTTCCCTTTCCCATTCTCATCTCTCGCTTTCCCTATGGTTCTGACTTGTACTTAGGAGCCAAGGCTGTCAACAACAAGTGAAATTTACCACTTGGTATTTCAGGTATGATAAATTGAAGGGTGGAATATGATATCTTATAACTACACACACAGAATGCAAAACATGTCAATCTCACATCTCTCTATCCTCATCCACTTTAGTCTTAAGTCAAGACTATACTTCCATAATTTGAAACAATAACTACTACCGGTAGTCTATAAAATCAGAAACTGCCGCATGCATGAAACTTTAACAAATGATACACAAGGTATGTATTAAAAACAAGAGACTTGTGTGACCTGCAACTTTTAGGGCAAAAAGGGTCATGAAACCTTTATAAAATAGTGAATCTATTTTAAAAAGGTTTCATGACCTTTTTTTGCCCTAAAAGTTGCAGGTCACACAAGTCTCTAGTTTTTAATACATACCTTTGTGTATCATAAAAGACAACAAGGGTTCTCTAAAAGGTGAATGATAAACTTTTCTTTTAAAATTATCAATTAAAATGCCTAAGAAAGAATATGTTTTGGTTACTTGAATTGAGTCATGAAAAAACAAACTTCTTATAATTCGGACAATCCTTGAAATTTCTTGAGAGGCTCACCAAGTAATCCTGTTTTTCACTGGATGATATAATGTTTATAAATTTTAACTTTTAATGTCTTTGGCTTGAATTCTTAAATGACACTTGACCCATCATTCAACATTCAAAATAAAATGATTGTCGCATGCTACAATTATATGGGTAAATTCAGGATAATCAAGAAACAAACAAATTACTAAATTAAATTATCATTTAAAAAAAATATATATTTTGACTTGGTGACAACTCAAATAGTGAATGTTTCTTTCCTTTACTGTTCCTCAAGAAAAACTACATATATTGCCACCAATGTTTGATCAAATATGGACGAAAACTAAAAGTTAACAACCCAGATTTCCTAAATATCTGCAAGTATGTTGGCAAACAAGCAATCAAAGACATGTGTAACATTTTATAATTCTTCACTTTGACTTTTCACTATAATACTCTTGTCATATGAATTATGGGTTTCAATCTAATAAGGCAGTTCATAACAAGTATACAATGTTTGATTTACAATATCTGCAATACAACAGTAATAGAAATCTGATAATTCTTTGGAACAAGCAGCAAACTATAACTGTCTGTTAAGCGTACTTAATGGGCTTGAAACAGAGTACCTCTGACAGGTTTTTGGTGATGAATCGAGTTGATCTGAAAACAGAGCACAATTAGCTCGCTAATTCCTAAACATGAGTATCTCAACCGCTTAAGGGGGCAAGGAAGATTAGCTCCTCTTCTTCTCCTTTAATTCGATATCACTGAAACACTCGTTAATTCAATTTCAGGCTTCAAATGAAGGAGTCCTGTTAAGAGTTTCATCGAAAATGGGCAGTAAACACAGTATCCATGTTCAAGAAATATATGTAAGCAAGCACGGGAGAGGACCAAAAATGCATATTATATTTTCACGGTGATACTGAACAATCGCAGGAAAAGTCCCATAATTGTAACAGTTATATGACTATTAGTTTCCATTTGACAGTTGGAAATCCATTTGATTTTCAAAATTAAAATTGACAAGTTAATGAGGAATCCTTAACTAGAGAAACAAAAAGCAAGAAATCAAGGCAGCTTTCGACTGGAAAAGAAATATTTTAGAGAGTCACTTCTCCAAGCAAAGAAAGAAACACAAAATCTAATTATTGATAATGGCATAAAAGGGAAACAAAAGCCCATAGCTGGAAAGAAGTTTCTCCATTCAAACTGTATTTTGGAAGTATACATGGCACATAATTTGATTCTCATTTCTGAAATCCACTGATAGATTCATTTTGAAATGAAAATCACTCTGTTTATTACTTGGTTCTTCAAGGAAGATATGATCAATCAATTTCCTATTTCGCAATTAGGGTCTCATAGTGAATACGGGGGGATGACAGAAGATATTTTCTGCACAAAATTTTTCCACCCCATCTCTGTTGATAAGTCAATGCCCGGCCCAGGGCAAGTCCGCGCGGGATCACGCGATACCCTTCAGGGAGCGATTCCTTCCTCGGCAATGGCAATTACACGACACAAGACACAGGGGATGGGTATCCGCAAGTTGGGTTGCGCATATCGTTTTCCTTTTTATTTATGAACAAATTCGACTATCTGTGACTTTTCCCCCGCAACTGATTTAGGAGATGGGATCCGGGCGTCTTCTTCCTTCCCCCCTCGAGGGAGGAATATCCCTTGCCCCGGTCGCACATCCAAGTCGACTCCGACTTGAAACATTAACGAGCGGGCGAGATGAAGAGC